GTTTTAATCGATAAGCTATTTATCAAAAAGAAATAATGAACAACAAGCACGATTATTACGAGAACAATTTTAAAGTAGAACCATGCAGTTCTATTAGAGTATAGTTATAGCACGAATGAGTCGGCTCGACCGGGGAAGAAGGACCACGCTCTCACAGAATATCAGCGTAAAATAGTAGCTTAATGATGCTGTGTTTCGTATGGTGAGTGTAGAGAATCTAGAAACATTTTTAAAGGAAACGAGGCATTTCATCTTAGTCCTCAGGGATGACAACGCATCATCTGCATTTTGTCAGATGATGTCTATGGGCCACAGTTACCACTTACCATCAGGTGAACTGTGTGCTCGGTTGTCACCCTATCCTATAAAAAAACGTCGATTTCTTATAATTTAATCGTGCAAGTTTTCGAATTAGCATCATCATTACAGCTCTTCACAAGTCCACTACTGAACATCCTCCTCCACAGACTGACGCAAAGCATGGTCCTGAGCCACTTTCCTTGTCATGAGTTTTTCATTTATGTTCTAAGTTATAATTAGTACATATTATTAAGTCAGTGTTAATTTAGTGTGTTTTAGTGTGTTTGTCTTTCTCAAAAAATAATTAAATTACTAAATAAATTATAAGGTGTTTTTATGTACATCAAATGTCTGATAGGAAAGCAAGTACATGTTTTGCTAAACTTTAAAATCAAAACCCAATTTTAAAACATAGTCTAATCGATTATAACTTCTTTACTTAGGTTCTATTAATTATTCCAGTTTATGACGCATGTAAAGAATAAATAAAGCTACTCGTAATTGTATATTAACAGCCCCATTAATATTCACTATTCTTTTATAATTATTTTATAAAAACGTTACCCCCCACACTGGATTTTCTCTTATCGCACACTTACAAACAAATTGCAGAACACCCAACCATTATTTGTAGGACATACAAAACTTGTTCCGTGCGGGATTCAAACCCGCGGCCCCCGGCCCAGCCACTCATTTCTAAGCCACTGCGCCACGGAGCCGTCGTCCAAAATAAAATAAATTCGTCCGCACATTGGCCTGAAGCTTGAACCGAAAACTGATAAACTGAACGACCTTCCAACGTGTGGATGCCGTCACAAACTCTCGGCCAATATCTTCGCCACTACATTCGCCACTGTGTTGGCCAACGTGTAGAGCCGCCGTTAGGCGGCGCAGGGCGCTTGCGCGAATGTTCGTGTATGATAATTAAAGCAATTCGTGGAAAATTATTCCCTAATCATTCCAAAATATCAAAAATGCACAACGTTAATATTCAAGTTTTCACTTCTGCCGGCACTCCCGGAGTGCAACCCGTCGTTTTTTATAGCATTGGGTGACAAACGAGCACACAGTTCACCTGATGGTAAGTGGATGCTTGGCCTATAATTTATTCTCAATTAAGAATCAAAATGCAAATGAGTTGTCACCCCAGAGGATAAAGATGGTATGCCTCGATTCCAGTAAAAAAGGGTCTCTGGTTCTCTACACTCACCATATGAAACACAGCAGCATTAAGCTACTATTTTAGGCTGGTATTCTGTAAGAGCGTGGTCCAGCCCTGGTTGAACCGACCAATTCGTGCTACAACTATAATATAGATGTACCGTGGCTCTACCACGTACAAAAAGTTATTATAGAAGAAACAGTTCAAAAAGTTAAAGCCGAGTCACAAAATAAGACAAACAAAAAAATCACAAAATTACGCGCAGTAAGCTCGCGAAACAGAAACAGAATTTTTTTTATTCATAATAGATTATGAATAATACTTATTGAAAGTCACTTTTTCATTTACCACTGGTTCGTAAAACAAAGCTGTGTCCTGGAATTTTGTTTAAAAGCAACGCTTTTTTACAAAAAATCCCAGACAAGAACAAGAAAAAAAATGTACAAAATTTGACGTAAGTACACAAAGTTCAAAAACTTTATTAAACTAAGTTTGTATAAAAAGGGTTATTTTAATATTTAGGAATTTATGGATGGTAATAACCCCTGGGAAGGGTGATCGCTACAAAGCTATTTCTAATTTGTTTTATGTTGTTAATTGTAACACGCATGATTTTAAGCTTATATTTAAAAAAAATAGTCCCGTTGGGTTTCTTGCTGGTTCTTCCCAGGACAGAGGTTTGTTTTACGAACATCGCCCCAAGAATGAATTACTGACTCTATGGAGTGGAGTAACTGGTACATAAATGGCGGGATATTGAAATTATGTAGTGGTATTTTAGCACGGCCGTGTGTATGAGTTTTTTTTTGCATACACAAATTTACTGATAAAGTAAAAAAAATAAACTTGTTTTATTCATGATACGTGTAATTTAAGGAATTTTGAAAATAAAAATTGAAGTAAGTAAACAAATAATAATTGATTATTAAAAAAATTAATGATTCGATTATTTGAAAATGTTTACCGATTATTTGAATATTTTACCGATTATTCGCATAACAACCAATTTTAATCATCCAAACACTACGGTAATATACGTAGCGACATATCATTGAACACGTCAAGTAAAAAAAGTTAATACTGGTTATTTTTTAATATCCTGCATTGTTTGAAAAAATAAAATTTAGATTAGTGATAAAAAGCTATACACAGTGTAATGAAATCTACCTAGATAACTTCATAATTCTTCGGATTTACGTAAAAGATTATTTTAAATCGTGTGTACGCTGGTGCAAAGTTACTGCTGAATGATTAATGTGAAACGTCAAAAGGTATTTTATAGATTTGGTTGACTATAATAAAAATGTGGCAATCTCGCAGTCAAGCAAGCTCAAGGTCGCGCAGCGAACTACGGAAGGAGCTGCCCTCTGAGTATCTCTGATAACAAGAGCTTATAAGCAGTGCGTGTTACCAGTGATGACATGGATCTGAAACGTGGTCTTTCATATCTTGCCGTATAAGGCAGTCAAAGGTTGAACGAACGGTTGTTTCTCTGCGCAACAGACTTCGCATTGATATACCTCAATGAACCAGTTAGCTAAGTAATTAATAAGCCAGTCGTATATAATTCAACAACCTGGTAAGACATGCAGGAAGTCGATGGATGCATGTGGCTCAGGACCGTGTTTTGTGACCTTGGGGGAGGCCTATGTTCAGCATTGGACTTGTGAAGGGCTGTAATAATGATGATGATATAATTCAAAGACCTGACATCCGATGATACGGAAAGGTCCTGAAGTAGCAGTCTCGTGTTGCTAAGCGAAGTGTAGGGTGGCCCCCACTGAACAGAGTAACAACCTGTTAAGTGATGCAGAAACTCGATGGGTGCAGTCGTCTCAGAACCGTGTTTTGTGGCATTCCTTTAGGAGGCGTGTTTTGCAGTGAACTTATTGAACTGAAAAGCTACGCCGCTTGGCTAAAAAGCTGCTTTATAAATGTCAACTTCGTAAAAAAGTATTTTAAATTTGGCTTTGATCATTTGCCATTCTATTCAATGACACAATTATAACAAAATTAAAACAAAATATATAACAAAGTTAGTCGCATTCTATTCTATGATGCGGAATAGTCGAATTATTTGCCCAAATTAATCGATATTATATACAAAGTTAAGCTACGTAAATTAAATTGTACTGTTGATTTGTACAACATCTTAAATCTCCCAAAGTAATTCTTCACTGATTGGAATTTTGACACAACGTAACATTCGAATATGCGCGTGTTTTATATACTTGTTTTAAAAAAATTACGAAATATCAATAAAACAATTTAATACCATACGCTCTACCTAATACGTTTTTTCTTTGTTTTTATAAAACAGTTTCAATTATACTGTAAACGTTCAATTCAAGCTCGTGGCAAGTGAAACCGAGCAGCCCTTACTAATGACTAGAGACATACGCATTTGCATTTTTAGCCCCTTTTCAGCGGTATGTGCATATTTTAACAACATTCTTGAAATCATGCAAATTTCTCTCGATCGCCTAGCTGTGATAAGCATTCATTTCGCCCACAAACCTACGAGTATTAAAACACTTGAAACTCATGAATTGGCGTTGAATGCATTCAGCTTATAAAGAAAATTCATCTTATGAACTCCTCGTTGCCAGATCTATTCCCGAGTAAACTGAATGAAAATTTTCAAAAAATATTGAGCAACAACTCAGGATTTGAACCCATATTCCAAATTGAAGGCTTCATCAACGAGGCGGGTATAATTTTGCCAGGCACAATAAGTTCAAACATGGCTCCCAAATTTAAGTTCTGCCCAGTCATCTCAGTGGGCGTAGAATGGTCCTTTTCCGCTTACAAAAATGTATTAAGCGATCGTAGACACAATTTCTCTACAGAACATTTGGAACAGTACTTAAGTCTATACATTTTTAAAGGTAAACTGTAAACATTGTTAAATAATATAGTTGATAAATATAAGAATTCATTATTATTAAATATATTTTATACTTGAAATTTTCGCAAACACAATTGTTATCGTTGAGAAATAATAGCTTTTAAAAATTAAAATAAAAACATTTAAAAACACTGCTTTATTTTTATTTCATGTTGAATATTTTGTTCTTCTATTTTTCTTGCATATTTACGTGCATACCTTGGGCTTTTTATGTTTCATATAATCCGATCTTTACTAATGACTATCCCTTTTTAACTGGTTTCAAATGAAAAGGAATTAGTACTTACTCGGTTCGGTTGATCTCGGTATATCTCCCGGATTAAATCGATTTTACTTCTTTTTATCCATAATGTATATATTTTCGTTATTATAATTTGGTAGAAATCGAATATAAATAATTATTTTTAGTCAATATTCAGTTATCGAGTTTTTTTCAATTACGCTTTTATATTGAATTTTACGCTTTAAACAATTACAAAAAATTCTATTACTGTGTGATATTTCTTTAGTTGTGATTTTCTTTCATTCAAAATCGACATACTAACGGAATTACGGGTTTTTCAGTTCTTGCTTTGTTTATAAATTGTTTTATTTAATACTACTTGATATCAAATTATATATTGTTAACAGGGATATGAACCACCCGAAATTCGTGTTCGAAGACGTGCCACTGTTCCTGGGCCTGATCAAGGACCTATTCCCTGGCTTAGAGTGCCCACGCGTTGGTTACCCGGAGTTCAATGCGGCCGTCACTCAGGTGCTGGAGAGGGATGGATATATCGTTCTACCACATCAGGTGAAATATTTATTGAACATGTAATTACAAAATCTGCGTGAGTGTCCAATCGAATGGTTACTTTATATATCAAAAATTAAAGGAGTAACAAGTAGCGACAATTTTTTATTAATAGTAAAGAGGGCAAACGTCAAAAGGGTAAACTCAGCCATGCTGCAATTATAAACCTCCGGACCCCCCCGAAAAACTCTGCTACTAACAAATCCCTCCCCTCCTCCATGATGGAAGATATATGTAGATGCTATGGGCCCACACCACCCATCCTCCCCCAAAAAAAAACATGCGAGACAATACAAAAATGCTTATAAAGTTGTAGAGAGATTATAGAAGTTGTAGAGAGTTGTTGTTTAATAACTGCAACGAGGTTATTTTAATAAAGTTGTATGTATAAAACTTAACAAAATTTTTGGTGGTATAAAAGCTAAATGAGTATGATTATAACATATTCAGCTAAATCATCACTTACTTATAATATTTGATTATCACGTACTTAATCTAAGTATTAATTATCTCATACCAGTCTCTTTCTATTGTCATTCAGTAAAACAAAGAGAGTAACCAGCTGCTAACAGCCGACTACAGATCATCGCTATGTCTAGTCAGTGAGGCTTCTACACTAAATCGCTGTTTTAATTAAAATTGATTTTTTGTTCGAACGCAAGGTGGATAAAATAGTACAGCTGTATGAGACGATGATGACCCGTCACTGTACAATGCTGGTGGGACCGACGGGCGGAGGAAAAACAGTCATACTGCAGACTCTATGTAAAGCACAGACCGATCTCGGCCTGCCCACCAAACTCACTGTGCTCAATCCTAAGGTCAGTTGTTTTTATTATAAAAATTTACTTTAGTTTTAAGGCAAACTTAGATATTTCACGAACCCTAGATCCCACAAAGCTTGGATGCCTATTATAAAGTAAAAGAAAATACTCTTATTTGATGAGTAATGATTATTAATGTAAGCTCTATACACAATATTCATTCGTTACAAATCAGGGATCCATCAAATGTCCATTGCTGAAAATATGCCTCCTACTACTCCATATAAACCATAGAATATATAGAATTAGTCAATATCTTGACTTCAAATCCTGACTTCAATGCCACATGTCAGATCTTAGCATAGCTGTGAACCATCGCATTCATAAATAAATGGGTGCGTTTGGCAGAAAAAAGCGCTAGCAAGCGCTTACAAGCGCTAAAATAGTTTTCGGCCAGGACACGATTGCTACTTCAGTAGCGCTGACACAATCCGCCATTTTGCTTATTTAATTTGTTTGTTTTGAAGTAGAGTTTATAAGTTCTTTTGTGCAATATTAGTTTTAAGTAATATAATAATGACGTGAATAAACATATATATGTTATTAAAATTCATGATTGGTAAGTTTTTAATATGAATACTTTACAAACATATATTTAAATGAGGTTAGGTTCCCCGGTTAAAACTAACATCGTGTCCTGGAGGAAAATAGCTACTTACGATTTGACAGCGCTTACCGCTTACGATCGCCATTTTGCTTATAAGCGCTTGCTAGCGCTTTTTTCTGCCAAACGCACCCAATATATTCAGTGATTATGACCAAAATCCGTCGTCGTTCACGAGTACAACCTCTAACAAACGCACCAACGATTATATGTTACAGATTCAGTTATCAGGAAGATGCTGCTGTCATTTCCTATTTCAGTTTTCCTCTGTTGTCTCTAACTGTAGTCGATTATTTTACACTGCCACTATACAATCATCGAACTATATTATTAGCTTAGAAGTAATATCTCAATGTATACAATATGCAAAATTTTCTAAATTTACTTTGTGTCAAAATATTTTATGTTCATACGTTTCAATATTAAGGCGACACCGCGAAAAAATGTACCTCCTTTCATCGAATCGTATAGAACTATGACACAACTAACGAAACTGGAATTTTGATATAGGTAAATTCATGTTTTTATCTTGAATTTGCTTGTTCAAAACACGATTGTAAAAGCGGTCTAGGTGCGAACCGAAATGTCCACCTAACTTCCCAGTGGAAAGAATAAAAAAATATCATATGTTTTAATATTTTATAAAAATTTTCATTCGGCACAAAAAAATGACTTAACCGATTTTGCTCAAAATTTAATGAGGTCTAAGTTACATAATTATGCGTTAAATGAAACTGGTCCCATGTCAATATCACTCTGTTCTCGAGATACACGAGGCGAAAATTGAATCCGAACATACATACATACATCGTACATGTGCACGGACATCCTTTTAAAACCCATACTATTCGACTCTAAAGACCTTGAAACGTGGAGATATGTTAAAATTTCCAATTTGCAAAATCGGACCCGTTACAATAACTTCCAACTTGGAAGTTAATAATTTTGACTCGATCATAATTATTTACGAAAACACCTCTAAAAATCACTGTAGTTGAAATTACAACGAAATTACCTAATCTATATGCTTGGAAATCGCTGAAATATATTTATAACATCAATATTCTTAATTTACTTGCTCATTATTTTGATTACTTAAATCAGTTTTTTTTTAATATTTTGAGATTCTGACAATTTCTAAGCGATCTTTATCGTCGCGGGCGCTACGGAATTTTAGATCTTACCACAGCGTTTTTTAAGTTTTTATAGAAATTATCTGTTCACTCGGATCAGTCGGGCAATAGCCCGGAACTATTTTAAACGTTCATTTTCGATGTGTCGTCTTAAGGCCCTTGTTAAGTTGGGCCTTGGGCTCGCACCCCATGTGCGCTTGGGAGATGGAAAACGTAACTGGTTTAACGTATTTGTGCCAAAAACATGAATTCTTGCCCTGCCGTCGCACGGTGGCTTTTTTTTTTATAGAAGAGGGGGCAAACGAGCATGCGGCTCACCTGATGTTAAGTGACTACCGCCGCCCATGATCAACCGCAACACCAGGGGAATTGCAGGTGCGTTGCCGGCCCTTTAGAAAGGAGTAAGCTCTTTTAAGGCTACTGGATGAATTGTGTTTATTGCCGAATCTAACCCACCTCCGATCTTATCGCATAAGCGTTGCCATTACATGGCGAATTGTATTTCTTTTTATATATAAAACTGAAGTGAACTTACAATCCACTTGATGGTAAGTGACTACTGCAGCCAACTTCAAACAAAGAACTACATAAGAGTGCTATACTCCTGCCCTGCGCCTTCAGACCGAATTTCGGTTACAAAATTTATTATTATATCATATCATTTCATATCATAATAAGGCATTTTTATTATCACCTCTGATGACTAATATGAAATGCCTCACAGCGTGAAATTATACTGCCTCTCTATACCCTTCAGACCGAACACAGCAGTACTATTTAGTGACAAAAATAAATAAGCTAGTGATATCTACCCATACGGACATCACACAGCAATATTTATAGTACACTAGCGATCTGCACAGGTGATATCTAGCTTCTACAACAGCGCCAACTACTGGATCCAATTAACCTTCGCGGAAGTGCAAGCAATTTGTTGACAAAGTTTTACCGCAATCTGGTGAACGGTATGGCAGCGCATAAAATACGAACAAACAAATATTAATTTTTATACATGTTGTCCTGTTAGTAGTAGTCCAAATGAAATGTGGCGAGAGATGAGATCGTGCCCTGTGAGAACAGCCAAAAATTTTAATACAACTGTTACAGTTTTCTAGATTTTTTGATTTTCATTATTTTATCGAAAAATTATCACCTTAAGACGACACATCGAAAAGGCTATCGCCGTACTGATCGAGTGAATACATAATTTCTATAAAAACTTGAAAAAACGCCGTCATAAGGTCTAAAATAGCGTAGCGCCCGCGACGATTAAAAGCGCTTAGAAAATCTCAGAAACTTTAAAATATTTTTTTAAAAATTATTGATTTAAGTAATCAAAATAATGAGCAAGTATGAATATTTATGTTATGAATATATTTGAGTGATTTCCAAACATATAAATTAAGTAATTTCGTTGTAATTACAACTATAATGATTTTTTAGAGGTGTTTTCGCAAATAATTATGATCGAGTCAAAATTATACAATCTTGTTTTTGAACAATCAAATTCAAGATAAAGACATGAATTTACCTATATCAAAATTTCACTTTCCTTAGTGGTGTCATAGTCTTTATACTATTAGATGAAAGGAGGTGCATTTTTTCACGGTGTCGCCTTTAATACTGTTACGAGCTTGAGGTTCGTGACAATAAAAATTGCCGATAAAATTACCTAAATTAACACTTTAATTTACTTTACACAAATTAAAGTTAAAAACACTAATAATTAAACACACTAATTCACTTTATTCCGCTCCGAAGCTTCGCTTTTCTCGCCAAATCAACACTGCCTCGATCGCATCTTGCAGCGCCTATATATTTAAATTAGCAAAGAAATATCCAGAATATTCAAGTAAACACGCGCAAGGTACCGAGCGTTCGAGTTTCGACTAGGCGCTGTCGGTTGAGTAATTTGTGATGTCATTTTCTCAATGCTCCCCTCGCTCTCGTTCCTGACACTAGATGGCGCTAGTGTATTATCGATTTGAGCGCGTAACACTGCCCCCTCCTAAGACATGCTCGTCCCGAGCATTATCGGCCCCATAATAACGCGCTAGGCGATCCACATGGACGATCTTAGGAGTCCCTCTTGCGCCTTTCTGTATCCGGTAGGTTACATCGTTGATCCTGGTCACAATCCGGTACGGGCCGTCCCATTTAGCTTGAAGCTTAGGAGATTTCCCTTTGCTGCGGACTGGATTGTGCAACCACACAAGTGAACCTTCGTCGAACCCTTTGTTGTTCATTTTGCGGTCATACCGGGTTTTCATCTTTTCAGACATTTGCTGGCCGGATTGTCTGACGTGCTCATAAACGTCATTCATTTTTTTCCGCAAGTCATTTGCATAATCGGTTATACTGCGTGGAGCATCAGGTGGTGTCCCGGTGATCAGGTCTGCAGGCAGCCGTAATTCTCTTCCAAAGTTTGCGAAAGCTGGTGTCACTGCTGTACTTTCGTGAACAGAACTTCGATATGACAACAAAAACGGTTGTATGTGCTTGTCCCAATCTCGTTGCCGATTGTCTAAAACTTTTGCTAGGTACCTCTCCAATGTCTGATTAAATCGTTCCACCATTCCATCAGATTGCGGGTGATAAGAAGTCGTTCTTGTTTTATGAGTACCCATAACTCGGCAAGTTTCCTGGAATATTCGAGACTCAAAATTCCTTCCTTGATCGCTGTGAATCTCTAAAGGTACACCAAAACGACAGAAGACTTCATGAACTAGTTTATCAGCAACTGTTGAAGCTTCTTGATTTGGAATGGCGAAGACTTCTGGCCACTTAGTGAAGTAATCCATCACAACCATGAAATACTTGTTACCGCTTTCACTCTCCGGAAACGGCCCCGCCACGTCAATGGCTATTCTCTCCCATGGTGCACCAACATTGTACAACTTCAATGCACCTCTACTACGAGTCTGAGGTCCCTTTACAGCCGCACAACTTGTACATTTGCGACACCAGTCCTCGACATCGTTTCGACAGTGAACCCAGTAAAACCGTTCTCGGATCTTCAGCAGAGTTCGTTTAACTCCCAGATGGCCTCCTGAATAATCATTATGGTACAGCTGTAGAACATCCGGTACTTTAGCTTTAGGGACAACCATTTGTAAATGACAGCTGTCTCCCCGAACATTTTCCCATTTACGGCACAGAACTCCATCCTGAAGCTGCAAGCTGTCCCACTGGGCCCAATAGCTTTTAGTGGTCGAACTCATCGCTGAGACGTCGCTTCACTTGGGCTTGGGAGCACTGGCCTTCATCCATTCCAGGATCGGCTTGATGTCCGGATCTTCCTGCTGTGCACGTTGTAAGCTGTCCTTCCACTCGTTGCTGAGGTGGTCTGCCCTGAGCATCCTCACGGATACCACTTCCTTACTCTCTTGCCTAATACAATGTTTGCAATCTTCAGGACAAGGTCTTCTTGACAATGCATCTGCGTTGCCATGAGATTTCCCGTTGCGATGTTCGATCTCAAAGTCGTATTCCTGCAGTAGTTCAATCCACCTCGCAACTTGTCCTTCTGGATTTTTAAACTGCAATAGCCATTTTAGTGCAGCATGGTCAGTTCGTAAGTGAAATTTTCGCCCCAGAAGATATTTGCTAAAATGCTGCAACGACTTTACCACAGCTAGCAATTCGCGTCTTGTGACACAGTAGTTCCTTTCCGGTTTTGACAACGACCTGCTGAAGTACGCTATCATGACCTCTTGGTCACCATTACGTTGAGACAACACACCGCCAAGTCCTATATCACTTGCGTCTGTGTCAACTATAAATTCTTTGCTTGCATCAGGGTATCCCAAAATAGGTGTTTTGCACAGACGGTCCTTGAGCTCCTGGAATGCGATATTACAACTTTCATCCCAGCAGAAATGTCGCTTCTCCTCGGTTAGCTTATGCAGAGGTTTGGCTATATCTGCAAAGTTCTTCACAAAACGTCGGTAATAGGAGCACAAACCCAAAAATGCTCTAACCTGCGTCTTGTTTTTTGGAATCGGCCAATCCTTTACAGCTGCGATTTTCTCTGGATCCGTGCGGATACCTTCTTCCGACACTACATACCCCAAAAAGTTGACTTGCCGTTTGAATAGTGAACATTTCTTCGGACTCAACTTGAGGTTGGCACTCTTAATCTTCATGAGCACGCGTTCCAGGTTTTGAAGGTGTTCCTCAAACGTACGGCCCACGATGATGATGTCATCCAAGTAGACCAGACAGGCATCGCCAATTAGCCCGGTAAGTACAAGTTCCATCAGCCTTTCAAACGTTGCTGGAGCATTGCACAACCCAAACGGCATTACTTTAAATTGCCACAGACCCTTTCCCGTCGAGAACGCAGTTTTCTCCTTGTCCTTAGGGTCAATTTCAACTTGCCAGTAGCCACTTTTTAGATCCAGCGTGCTAAACCATTTTACTCCTGTAAGCATGTCCAGCGTGTCATCAATTCTTGGCAAGGGATAGCTGTCCTTCTTTGTAACGTCGTTCAGACGGCGGTAATCAACACAGAACCGCATGCTGCCATCCTTCTTCTTTACCAGCACCACGGGTGAACACCATGGACTAGATGAAGGTTCAATAACACCATCCTTCACCATTCCCTCAATCATGGTTTCCACCTCCTTTTCACGTGCTACCGGCAATCTTCTTGGCCGCTGACGGATAGGCAATTCTTCTCCTGTGTTTATTTTGTGTTGAACTAAGCCAGTCTTTCCTATGTCAGCATCGTTTGATGAGAATACATCGGCGTACTTGAGTAACAACTTCTTCGCCTTGACCAATTCGTTCGGGGAGAGAACACTGCGACAGTCTTCCAAAAGTGTGGTCACTCTCGTTTCTGCATCCTTGCTGGGGGTCCCACTCGATATATATTGGCACCGACGTAACCAATCCACTTCCTCACAAGTACCAATCAGTGTGCCTTTTTCTATAATCTGTTCCCGGTCGCAAAGGTTCAGCACACGTACTCCTGAGAGGTCAGTGGTCCTGACCAAGGTTCGAGCTACTTTCCATGGAAGGTCATTGTTTACCCTTTCCACAAGTACACAACGGTGAGCTTGCCCAGCGTTTCGAGGAAGACTAACCGGAACAATCGTTTCCGATCTCGGCGGAAGAACAATCTTCTTAATGCTGTACACGTTCCCTGGTAAGGCACCTTCCATAAAAAGTTCCTCCTGTCCACATTTCAAAACACCTTGCTTAACGTCGATCTCACAACAATTATTCCTCATAAAGTCTAGGCCTAGGATGCAGTCGTCCATTATATCAGCCACGATGACATTATGCAGGTAGATCACGTTGCCTAGCTTCAACTCCATCTCCTTCTCTCCACGGACGGGTATACGCTGACCGGTGGCTGTTACCAAATTAATGCGTTCTCGGTTGTATGCGGAGTCCCCAAGGAACTGACTTATAAGTTGGGAACTAACAACCGTACGAGAGGCTCCAGTGTCTATGGTCAGTTTACACGGCATTCCGTTGACCTCGCCCTTGATGATTAGACTGTTCCCATCATGGGTTTGTGAGATCGAGATCCTTGGGGCTCTTTTAACATCAGCCAGCACCCGCCCCGCAGTTCTGGCTTTTACTCGTTTCCCTGCCGCTGCTGGGCGGTGCTGTTGGCCGCACTACCCACCTGGGATCGTTCACCTTCCCTTTCTAGGGTTCGCTTAGGGCAGCTGGATCGAAGATGGCCCTTTTCCCCACAGCCATAGCACCTTGGGCTGTATCCTTTGTTGCGGTCGCGAACTGTAGCGGCTACAACCTCCCTGACGCGATGGGAACGATGATCCTGCCGCACGGCTTCTACCTCCAGTGCATGGGCCAAGGCGTCCTTAAGCGTCTCGTGGTGCCCAAGCCTCACAGCAGCTCTGACTTCCAGGTCGCGGATGCCGTCGATGAATGTCTGCACCAGGTTCCCTTCAATGAGCGCAGGTACAGACCGGTAAGCTTTTCGTACCAGCTTCTCCACCTCTAGAGCCCACTGCTGCAGGTTTTCGTTGATGCGCTGCACACGATCTTTAAGCTGCGCACGAAAGACGTGTTCCAGGTGAGCGTCGCCATATCTCGCCTCCAATGCCTCAAGGAGTTGCTCATAAGTCACTTCCTCACCGAGAGCTTCCAGAACTGTTAAGGCCTGGTCGCGCAGGCCTAGTGTGAGAGCAGTCATGGCCTGACTTTTATTCCAGCCGTTCGCCTTCATAACAGCCTCGAACTGGATTTTGTAGGCTGACCAGGAAGAGGTACCGTCGAACGGTGGCACCTTGAACCCACGTAGCGAAGGTGTTGTAGCTACTACGGGAGCTGTAGCTCCATCTCCAAGTTTGAGTTCGTCCAGTGATTTCTTCATGTCAGCCATTACGTTGTCAACCCGATTGTTTACTTGGTCGATTCGGGTTTCAGCTTTCTCGATTCGGTTTTCAGCTTCCGACAGGCGGTTGTCATGGTGAGCAACCCTATCCTTCACCTCCTTTATCTCCTTCCCGAAGGTAGCGTGAAGGTCCTTCATGAGGAGCATCTGTTCCTCCTGTCGGCGGGCCTGTTCCTCGTGTCGGCGGGCCTGTTCCTCCTGCTGCTCTTTCAACTGACTGGCCTGTTCCTCCTGTCCGCGCTTCAGCTGCTCTTCGAACCGACGAGCCTGTTCCTCCTGTCGGCGGGCCTGCTCCTGCAGCATCACCATCAGGGCGCCCAAATCAGGTGCTGCAGATGCAGGAGCTACTGACGGACCGGCCTCCGTTGCCGGCCGCTGGCCCTCCGACGTCTGCGGCGTTGCACCACCAAATCTTCGTTGGTCCGTCTCCTGCTGGCGTTGACTTCGGGTACGGACACCCTCCGTTTCCTCCTTAGGTAAAATCGGCATTATTTTATCCCACTTCTGACACCAATTGTTACGAGCTTGAGGTTCGTGACAATAAAAATTGCCGATAAAATTACCTAAATTAACACTTTAATTTACTTTACACAAATTAAAGTTAAAAACACTAATAATTAAACACACTAATTCACTTTATTCCGCTCCGAAGCTTCGCTTTTCTCGCCAAATCAACACTGCCTCGATCGCATCTTGCAGCGCCTATATATATAAATTAGCAAAGAAATATCCAGAACATTCAAGTAAACGCGCGCAAGGTACCGAGCGTTCGAGTATTTCGACTACGGCGCTGTCGGTCGAGTAATTTGTGATGTCATTTTCTCAATGCTCCCCTCGCTCTCGTTCCTGACACTAGATGGCGCTAGTGTATTATCGATTTGAGCGCGTAACAATACGTATAATTTATGTAATTCTATTGAAATAGCAAAAACGTATTTTTTTATTGATATGATTGACTAGATGTGTAACTGCATATTTATTGCAGTTTCCCAACAACATGAACAGTTTCTTTGGAAAAAATATTAAAGTTGTAAATTTCTACGAGACAAGTTTTTCATCCAAGTTTTAGATACTGTGGCGTTAAAAAACTAATTGGCTTGAAAAATAGTGCAATAAATGAAGATTTAAAAACAATAAAACATAAAACAATTTATAATAAAACAAAAAGTTATTTCTATTTCATTGCTGAAGGGCCTAATTTTTCGATAAAGTTTTTTTGTTTTACTTTGGAGTACTTCTCAAAATAATGTAAAAATTAAAGATTGTGGCCAAAATTATAAAGGTGGAACCAAAACTAGCAACAAAACATGGAGTGACGACCAGATAAGGGACGCAGGACGTCGATTGGTGCAGGTGGCTCCGGACGGTACTTTAGAGCATTCTTTGGGGGACGCCTATGTTCTCTTGTAAGGAGCTGCAATAATAATTAGGATGAATCACACTTAAATTCTTTACTTCTTGTTTAGAATGGCTAACCGAGCTTTAAAACTACTGTTTATCCGACACTTTAACATTACTATATTATATTTAATAAAACTAATTTTACGGATATTTTCGTGTTTAATAATTGAACTTAGTCTACTTATTTTAATTTCTGATGTTAAAATATTGTATTTTGCCTAGTAGACAATATAATAGGTAAGTAACAGACAGAACTTTTATTTACTCCTAGGCCTGCTCGGTGATAGAACTGTATGGTGTCCTTGATCCGGTCACCCGGGACTGGACGGATGGTTTATATTCAAAAATATTTCGCGAAATGAACAGGTAATGAAAATTTCACTGAGACGTTTTATATACATATTTAATTTTTAATCGCTTCTGTTTCTCCAAAAACTACCGTAGACAAGCTTTGCCGTCGGTTCTTTCTCTGACGTAAAGGCGTATTTTAAAAAATATGATCTACGCGTACATAGTCGCAGGTGAATTATATTTATTCTATTTCCTTTATCAGTATATATTAGATACCTGACTGTTTTTGTCTTTATCAAAGAGTATTAATATCTTTTTTATATGACTGTATGAGTTCCAATACATACGATGATTAAACGTCTTGTTTATTTAGCGTCTTTTTTTTAAACTATAGTAGTGAAGCAATTAACAATATTAATGCTCCCGTTAACCACTCCAAGTAGGCTTTAAACTGCTTGTTTTAGTAATGTTTCACAGCAGTTGTAGTACAAATGTGACCGGGGTAGGACCACTCTCATGCAAAATACCTGTATAAAATAGCAGTTTAGTACTAGTGTTACGCATGATGAGTTTTTACTGGAACTTAGTATTCCATCTTAGTCCTCAGGGGTGACAACGCATCTGCATTCTTAATCGAGGATAAAAGAAGATTTCTATGGGTCACAGCACCCATTTACTATCGGGTTGACTATGTGCACGTTTGTCACCCTTATTCTATAAAAAAAAGTAGTCGAATGACGGATTCAGATCCATGATTTTCCAAGCTTGCATTCTTGCTGCAGTCCACTTAACCATTAGGTGAATTTAAACTAAGTATATTGTTAAGAAACTATTCAATGTTTATTTTGTAAAACGATTAAAATAATTTACTGGTAGTAAACTCACCATGTAATGTTAATTTTCGTTGAATCGAGCATCGGGGGCGTAGCTCAGATGGTAGAGCGCTCGCTTAGCATGCGAGAGGTACCGGGATCGATACCCGGCGCCTCCAGTTTCTGCTTTTTTGTCGTGCTCTGATTTTGACATGTAGTAACTTTTCTTTTGTATTTTTTTAATTTTTTGTTGTTCTTTGTTTGTGTTTTATCCGTTCTTGTGCAATTATCATTGCTTACTTATACCCGGTTCCTATATTAAAGAAACGTCTCGTTCTCTGTAACTATTCGTTTTATTACATATTAAATTACATTACATTTAAAAATAATTTATATTACAAACTATTCATTCAATAATTTAGGAGGACTTAAAATGAAAAATATTTTAACTTTTCATAAATTGTGGAACTAGTATTTTGTTTAAAAAGGGGTTTTCTAGCATTTTATTTGCTGCGAAACGGCTCGTCAAAGAAAACAAAGTGTTTTTAAATATAGAAACCTGGCATTAGATATCATGTAGGTCCCCAGTTATCCTCACCTACCGTACGAAACACAGATTCAAGTAGATTTTTTTTTTCTTATACTATTTGAACATTTTACAACGGGTATATCAAGTTGATATTATCAACCCATTGCCTTAAAAATATAATTTGCATTTTGAAAAATATTTTTACAAATTAATCCTATGTTAATGCTGAAAGAAGAACGGGGAAGAAAGATCTTAATCAGAATACCAGAAAGTGCGAAATTGAAAATGTTTCTATTATATGTGTGAAGTTTGAAATATCCCTTAAAAGATCTGTCTATTGTCTGTGTCTAGTATTTATACGCGGTATGGATGTGAACAAGATATCTTTCGAAAAACTGATCTTATCGCTTTCAATCTTTAATTAGCTTTAGATTTTAATCCGTAGGAAGTCCTTTGAATATTACCATTATAAACCGTACCGTTTTGCTTCGGTCATTTATATTTGACAATTTTTTTCTTTTACAAAATACGGATCACCGATACCAAGCAAAAAAAAAGTTCGTGTAAATTAAACAGAAACAATTTTTTTTAACTTTAAACGAAATACTTGTTTTGGTAATTAATAAAAGTAAATGAATAATCTCATAACATTACATGAGTGTTCGAGGTGTGCGGTTTTGGATTATCCATTTTTTTTTAATTCAAACTATTTAGGCCGTCAGAAAAAGACGAGCGACGGTACTGTTTATTCGATGGTGATGTGGACGCCCTGTGGATAGAGAACATGAACTCGGTCATGGACGACAACAAGCTGCTTACTCTTGCCAACGGGGAGAGGATACGTCTCGCCCCATACTGCGCACTGCTGTTCGAAGTTGGGGATCTTAACTACGCCTCGCCGGCGACCGTGTCCAGGGCCGGCATGGTCTACGTGGATCCCAAGAATTTGGGATACCAGCCATATTGGGACAGGTGCCCACACCTTTTGTTTCTTTATACTGATAAGATAATGACCGTTTATTTTATTTTACCGGTTGATCTTCAGATTCATCATCAGATTTAAGATCTTCATAGCTGTGCTAGCTTAGGGGTTAAATGCTTGCCGTAAATCTCACAGTACGGTAGCAGCCTGGGTTTCGATCCCCGCTGGTACAAAAAAGCATTTCGAAGACATGTGAAGATGGACAACATACATTGGAGTAGCACGGCGGACACTTCCTGCTCTAAAAACTTTTATGTATATATACTTATGTCATAATGCGCAACACGTCAATTCTTGATATTAATTTAATTTTATGTTCCATCTGATCCTTTATATCTAAGATAAAAATTTAAGGAAATTAATATATTAACTTTGGCCTCTCAATACATGTACGAAAATATAATGTATGTATACAAATACATAAGTAGAAAGTTTTAATAAAATGAGTAATATTAGAAACAAAACGAAGCTAGTAGTACCAGTTACTCGAGCCAGTAATTCATTCTTGGGGCGATGTATTCGATTTTCCAAGAAAATCACAGAAAATATACAAAATCTGACTTCCGCCATGTTTAAAAATTTACTAAACTAATATTGTATAAAGAGGGTTATTATATTAATTTATGGATGATAATAACCCCTGGGAATGAGGTGATCGATACCAAGCTATTTATAATTAATTTTGTATTGTTAATAACTGTGTAAATGATTGTAAAACGTTCTTTTTTTTTACAAATTTCCCACTAGGTTCTTGCTCGTTCTTCCCAGGACAGAGGTATTTTCCGAACCGGTGGTAAATCAAACATAAGAAATACTTTCAATAAGTTTTAATTATAAACAATAGAGTAAAAAAAAGTTTCTATTTTCATCACATTAATAAGTCAACGTTTGACGATGATCCAAATTGATATTAAGTGGTGCATTTTGACGACTCAGGAGCGAATTGATTTCTAAGCGCTGGGTTGCAGTGCTGGGGACTGCGGATTCTTGTGTATCTTGTGCACAGTAATAGCAAAACCTTATGTCACAGATCCACGAGTAGGGTGTCCGTGACTAAGCGTTTAATTGCACTATTGGGGGTAGCATATTCTTGCACGGAATAATTATTTTGTAAGGCCGAATATTTATTATTAATATTATATAACCTAACGAAACAGTAATGCGAACACGGTACTCGAAGAAGGGCCTACCAGGTCCTTTTTCGCCTTTATAACAGAGACTAAGATTACGTACTAGTAGACATAATATGATATCATATTTTATTATGTAAAATATTATATATATAAAATAATATATATATATATATACAACATGTAACATAATTAACGCACTTTGAGAAAGTAGTTTGTTCAGAACCATTTACTGAATCGATTCCTATCATTTTTAATATAGGTAATTTTTTATCTCAAAAATAAATAAAACTACGTAAATTACAGTCACACTAAATCTGTAGAGTCAAAACAAACTGAAATGGGCCGTAACTTAAGGCAATAAGACTTTTAAGAGTGCAGTTTTATTTGTATTATTACTAATTCTGTCATTCAATAAAAATAAAGAAAATGAACTTTATTTCAAGCATGTTAAAGTCTTTGCGTTCGTGGATTTGTACTGTGACCACAACATTCATCTGGAATTAGTATAACTAATTTGATAAATAATCAGTGCATAATAATATTTAACTAAAAATTCAGTGTATGTATTATGATTATAACATAATATACTAATTGGGGTGTCTGAGGGTGTGCGTTAATTACATTACATATTGTGTATATATATATATATATATATATATATATATATATATATATATATATATATAATATTATCTCATTATATACACATGTTATATAAAAAGATTTGTTATACAATTTTTTACACATCACGACATCCGATGAGGAAGAAAGGTTCTCGAGTGGCAGTTGTGCATACTAGACGTAGTAAGGACCGTCCGTGATATAGTTTTTAGCACATTTTTATAACACATACGATATATGAAGAACGACCGTCAGATGGGTGCGTGGGCGCAGTAATGAAGAGGAGCGCGAGCAGCTGCAGGATCTGTTCGAGCACTACGTGCCGGGCGCCATCAACTACATCGTGCTCGGTCTATTCGGCCTGCAGCAGCAGACGCCGCTGCGCACCGTCGTGCCGCAGACTTCGCTCAATCTGGTCACCGCCATCACCGTCACACTGCCTCTCCTCGCCCCCACCTCATACTCATGATCAGCCCGCGAACGGCCCATCCGTAAATCCATTAGAGCCCATTTAAGACCGCTGCTGAACATGACTCTCCGTCATAGATTGCAACATTTGACAGGCGTTTTAACAACCGCAATATTTGATAGAATCAGGCGTCACTTTGCGGAAATCCATTATAATAAAAATATTAATCACTTCGCAACCTTCCGCTAACTAAATACAATGATGTGTCTTACCTGGACTGAAGAGCACGTCCCGCCCTCCCTCAATTGCATGCATTAGCTCCGTCACCACTAGTCCCAGCACCACTACTCCCGGCACCACTACTTCCAACACCAATATTCCAGGTAAGACACACCATCGACGATAATACGACACGTGTTTCGCCTCTACACGACGCATCCTCAGGTGATGTAGACTCTACGGCTGACCAAACAGAATGCTCATAGCATACCACGCAGCCGGCTGCGTGGTTATGTGGACTCTTTTACCCGCTAAACACCGCCTTTTAGGGACTGGCTTAACGATCTAACTAGAGATCTCTAAGCCGTATACGGACGCGACCCTCCTTGGCAGAAAGGAGGGCACAGAGCGGCGAGCCGAAACAGCTGCTATTTATACATTGTATTTAGTTAGCGGAAGGTTGCGAAGTAATTAATATTTTTATTAACCGCAATATTTTATTATTTCGAGTTGATATGAGGAAGATGCTGCCCATCTACTGTTTTGGTTTTCCTCCGTCGTCACTTACACCATCCACGGGACGATATGAGGTAGCGGATATTACTACACCACTACTACACGTTTTCATGGGGCTACTGCAACAGAATATATTAAGAACTTATTACGTACAGAATAGTCTCTACCGCTAATCCGATCTACCTCACCCAACTCGAATTCCAATAGACAGTTCATATAATATAATATTTTGATGCATTCACAGTTACGACGTCATCGTTTGTTTTATACATTTTATCATGTTTGTCCCAAGCCACTGCTACTAGCAACGTATCACTGTTGTACTTAGTTAAAACTACGAGAGTTAGTATAATTAGCATAGCTCACAGTATAGCAGTGTAAAATAGCAGGTGTTTAGTATGGTGAGTGTATAGATCTGGAGACCCCTTTTTACTGGAGTCGAGGTATTCCATCTTAGTCCTCAGGGGTGACAACGAATCCGCGTTTGATTCTTAATTAAGGATAAATGTAGATGTCTGTGGGCCACAGCATCCACTTACGATCAGATTGACTGTGTGCTCGTTTGTTACACTAATTCTGTATAAAATTGTATACTATGAGGCATTTCTTCTTAGTCCTCAGAGGTGACCACGCATCTAGATTTCTTTTTTTTTTTTTTTGAAATTAGTTACAGGGACTCATGGGCTACAGTGGCTACATACCACCGTAAGGTATTTTTGTTCGTACATCAATCAAGTAAAAGCCCATTGGTAGGCAGCATCAGCGATCTTTTTTTCTAGAGAGCTTCAGAGCCAGAACGAGTTCGCTGCATTATTTAGATGCGCGTTGACATTTGGCGGTTTCACCATATCTTTGAAATATTTTTTTATTTCACTTAGTGTTTCTCTACGATGCTTTCTTTCATCGACAAGCATGTAGTAATTGAAAGGGCGATCGTTTTTTGCTGGCTCTTGACCATAGTGTCAAAACTTAAGAGATCTAGTGCTCAATTAAAAGATCCATCTGTCTACTAAGCACTACGGTAAAAAACCAATTGGCGAGCGGTTTCAGAGTCGATGTAAATATTGCTTTCAATTATTTATATAACAACTGATACCTCGTTGGCCCTGATAATGACTGCCTCGTTGGTCTTGTAATTGTAAACACGACTGCATATGATGAAATTCCGGGTTTGGATCCCAGGTCGGGCCAAAAAACAGTTATTGAGTTTTTCTCTCAAGAAATTCTCAGTAGTTAGGAAGTTGGCGGTTTGTCATCCCCGTGCTTCGGAAAGCACGTAAAGCCGTTGGTCCTGCGCCTGATCTCTCTCCGGTCGTGTCGGTTTACCGTCCCATCGGACTATGAGAGTGAGGGAATGGAGAACCCACCTGTGCTTACGCGTACACTAGGGCACTATAATCCTGCCCTGCGCCCATGGCTAGTCTCCGTTCAGACGCCACCGCGACCGAAATTCGGTCCGAAGACGATTACTGTGTTATAAACTCAAGATAATATACTTATTTTTTGGTCTGAGATAAAGAACGTAATCGCAGGTGGTACAGCTGTGCTACATGATCAGCGGTCTGCTGCCCAATAGAGAAGACAGTAACGAAGAGATTGATAGGACAGTCGTCGAATGCGTGTTCATGGTGGTAAGTACTGATGCTGAGTATGTAGTTTTAGTATTCTTGAATTGAATTTTCAGCCACAATTTAAAATTAGTTCTTAATTCTCAATTGCGACCGCTATGTGATTAGTTTTATTTAAATCGATTATTTACTCGATTAATTACCCGAGCAACGAACATAATCCATAAGACATCTATCGAGCGTTTGGAATGTCAAACCGTCGGTTCGTGCTTGGGCTATGTTAATGTTTTTACAAGTGAAATTATAATAACGCTTTTGTTGCCGACTTTTGGAGACTTCTTTAAGCTGTGCCTGAAATACTTACTCTGCATTTATATTTTTTAACATCCCCTGAGCATTTAACGATAGGGTCGAAGCTCGACTAGGAGTTTTCTAAGGGTTGCCACAAAACACCATTGAACCACCTGCATTCATCGATTTTCTACGTCTTACCAGGTCGTTCCTCAAACTAGTGAGCCCCCCTGCACTCCGTTTACTGGTACCTGGCACTCGCGAACTCTAGAGCCTTAGTGATAATGTTACTAACTATTATCAGCAAGGAATCTTAAAAATTAAAATGTTTTTTTTTGTATTTGCCTTTTATTAAACCAAAAACTTGATTGAGCACTGCTTTGTGTAGCGTTCAAAGAGAACTCATCGCCCCATTTCATTCCATGGTTAAAGTAAGGGGAAGCTATGAGAAAAAACCAATAAATCATCTCTCTCGTCTCATTTTCGATGTATGTTGGCATATACAATTACGTATATCATTATCCGCCTGTGGTAGTCCACAGCTAGACATAGCCCTGTCCCAGGGACTCAGTTGCTACCAGAGGACTTTCGGTACGGAAAAATAAATCCGGCCGAATAAAAGTTGAATAGTGCATTATTATACCTGACTTGAAAGAAGTTTCGAAGGTGATTCTAACCTTGGAAACTTCATCCATTCATGGCTGGTGGCCGACGCCGTTAAAAATTACGGTGCCATAGAAAGAATTTTAAGATGTAAATTAAAATCGTGAAAATCGAAAGTTGTGTCCAACTGCGTATAATAATAAAATTAAAAAGATAAATGTCAGTGGTTTTCTGTTTGAAGTTACACAAATCGGATAAGTACTTCCATTCTCGGCTTTATTTTTATATCTTTACAACAAAAACTAGCAATGATAGTTTTGGAGGCGCCGGGTATCGATCCCGGTACCTCTCGCATGCTAAGCGAGCGCTCTACCATCTGAGCTACGCCCCCGGTGAAAGCTGTTGTTCAAAATTCGTATAGCACTCCAAGAAGGTCGATGGATTAAAATTATTATACGTAACGAACAATTTCCTTACATTTAAGGTCATTGAAATTTTTATAAGTATTCGAAGGCGAAGTGTTTCAAACTAATTTATGAAAAACCTTTTCCTGCATAAGCTAAAAAACGGATCTTCCCTAATTGCTCAAAAGTGTTAGGCTGTTTAATGTATAAGTAATAAGTTTAATCCTTAACACGGTAATTAGGAGTACCGTGTTTAGGATTAAACTTGAGATAAACAGGCTAACACTTTTGAGCAATTTTATAGGGAATATCTGTTTTTTTATAGGATAGGATGACAAACGAGCACACAGTTCACCTGGTGGTGATGGTAAGTGGTTGCTGTGGCCCATAGACATCGACATCTATCCTCGATTACGAATCAAAATGCAGATGCGTTGTTATCTGTGAGGACTTAGGTGGAATGCCTCGTTTCCAGTAAAAAGGGCCTCCGGTTCTCTACACTCACCATACGAAAAACAACAGCGTGGTCCTTCCCCGGTCGAGCCGACCCATTCGCGCTACAAATATACTTCTAATATAACTGTAGCATGGCTCTACCACGTAAAGAACCACAGTATATTATAAAATTATAGTAATAACCGGAGAGCGGGCGCCACTTTCAGGGCCTGATTTACCCACAGGCTAATAAGGACGGAGCCTAGGGCGCAAGGTGCGAGGGGGCGCTGAGCTTTCCCTTACAAGCGCCACTTATGTACAGAATAAATTTTGGTATAATAATCTCAATAAATTATAGAGTACATATGTAAGTGTCGCAAGCAATTTACTTGTTACCCTTTCTTTATTTTTGGTAATAAAACAAGTAAATAGATTTTTAAAATAAGTGTTTTAACTATTTGGTGTATTACGTCTTATGTTGACAGAACAACTGTGATTAAAAGATTTTAAATATCTTAAGGTCCTCTAATTCTAATTTAATTATAGTGTTTTGCCAAGACTGTCGACTTGCTGTTGACTCGAAGAGTACTCACTGACCGCAAAGGAGAAAGTCGATCATTTAGGTTCTATTTTTGCATCCAACTCGACTCTCGATGACGTGGGGTACTTAACGCTGAACATCCCGCGGTGTGAGTCCTCCATGTTCGATGTGCGTTTTGCACAGCTCTCAGTGTGCAAAACACTCTTCTTCACGTCTGGACGTCAAAATTCGAGTGGGCCTAATGGAGTCAGTCCCTCCTATTGTGCTGAAGACTGGTGTTCCGGAGTTAGTATCGGTTCTTACGCGTTTTTTTCCGGTACTGCTCCCTAGGCGTAATCCTGAACTCATGGAATGAAGGATTTAGTTTATCTGATTTCTAAAAAGACCTATCCATCTACAGGACTATCGCCATTACCTTATTCTCCAAATCTATTAAAAAGGTACTTCGAGCACCACCAGCTGATTAATTACCGCCAATGTGATTCCATTGCGTTGCTGGAATGTTTTAATGTAATTGATTAGATGAGTGGAAGCAGTACAGTCCAAGAGGGAGGCTTTGGCTGTTACTTTGGACATAGCGAAGGCCTTCGATGGGCTTTGGCACAAAGCACCTTTTTCGCAAATTCCTTCTTACTTATTGGCTTCCCGAGAAATTGTGCAAATGGATCATCAGTTTTCTTGCAGATCAACGTCATAGTAGACTGTGCATACTCCAACTACAAACCTCTCAATGTTAGTGTTCTAAAAGGCTGCGTCCGCTTTCTCTTCTGTATACCAATGACATGTGGTAAATCGGTAACATTCGTTACTATGCGGACGACAGGACTGGTGATTGTTTTTACACCGGAGGTGATAATATTTCTCTGGAACACGTTTCGAGTAGGAAGGAACAAAACTGTGTCTGAAGTGGAGTTTAAAATAAACAGTGTAAACTTTGAACTTCAGAAAACATTTGATGACGGTTTGCGCGTTTAACGTTAACGGTAACCCCTTTGTTGTATCTCCTCAATTTCAGGGCTCTCCCCATGCTGGCTCAGCCAGCATCGGAATTCTCGGCATAGATATATCGAATGACGTACACTTTGAAAGGGAAGCTAAATTAACCACTAAAAAGCTTGACATGCTCGGCAGAGCGGGACAGTATTTTCATCGCTTTCAACTTTCCTAAGCGCAAGTTTGGCCTCACATAGAGTACTGTTCTCATCTCTAGACCGGGACACCTCAGTACCAGCTCCTTCCACGTGAGCGTATCTATCAAAGGTCGGCTCGAATCGTCGATGACCGAGTTCTTTCTGATTGGCTCGATTCACTAGCGCTATGTAAAGATGTTGCATCTATTTCCATTTTTTATCGCATTTACTACGAGTAGTACTTAGAGAAATTGTTCGGATTAATTCAGGCCGCTGAATTCCACCAACGCACATCAGTAGAAAACTCATGTACCATCCACACCATCTGGATGCTTCGCGGTCCACCATGACTTCGATTTGCTAGGAGTTTTCTTCCCCGCGAGACTATGTACCACCGTCGATTTTTCTGAATGATTTAGAGACCTTAACGAAACGAACTTCTTTTTAAGAGATGCAACTCTTTTGGGGTTATAATAGTACATAGTTCATGACCGATGGTGGACTCCTATTATCAAGAAAATTTGATTAAATGTGGGCGAAACCGTGGGGTCGAAAGCTAGTGAAATATAAAAAACGACGGGTTGCACTCCGGGAGTGCCGGCAGAAGTGAAAACTTGAATATTAACGTTGTGCATTTTTGATATTTTGGAATGGTTAGGGAATAATTTTGCACGAAATGCTTTAGTTATCAGTATAAAAGTACTATCATTTATGTGGTAGAATACAATATTTATTTATTGCGCTATCGTAGACAACTAAACGACACAGCAGGCGCAGGCATACATTTTCGCCGCGCCGTAGAAAGAGAGGGGGATACTTCCTCTCCTACGCCACGCCAGCTGTCTCTTTCTCTCCATCCGTCTTACTCATTTTCGATCAGGGTCACGTGTCCTGACGCGAGTTTAACATTTTTTACCCATTACAAAAAAGTGTACAACGCCGCTAAAGAAGTTTTCACTTCATAAATCTAGTAAAAATATTCATAGGCGGGCAGCCACAGACAGAACGGGCCGGCGGGAGGACGCATATTCATAGAATTAGCCTAGGGCTGTCAGAACTTTCAATCAGGCACTGCCCACTTTGACTAACGTGGAAAAAAAAAAAAAAAAATTCAAAAAAAAAAAAGGGGCCCCCTTTCCAATGAAGTTTAAAGTTACAGTTTTGTGTATTGTTAATTCAATATTAGTTTACAAATAAAATCATGGTGTGTTGGCGTAGGAGCAACACTTTCCCCCAAATGTATAAACATTAAAATATTATTAAAATTTAACATTCTTTTACAAGCCTTTAAATATAATTATATTAACTCATTTTCATAAGAAAAGTATTCAAAAGCGATTCTGTCGGTTACAAATATTTCCGAGGTGAGCTTATAGCTCTCAGGAAAGCTAGTATTTAGTATCATACATTAACCACGCTAAGATTTTCATATTCCATAGTTATTATGGCATAACAGAATAGATCAAGGGCCATAAAACTATGTACAATGACTTTTAGTGGTGTCTCCCAACGGATAGGTTTAAAAATGAACACGGACAAGACGAAGGTTATTTGTGTAACATCCATGTCCCACAATATACTATTATTTGTTGAGATCACTACGCTCGAAGTCGTTGAGCAGTGGGTTTATTATAATCCATAGATTTCCTCATAGATACGATATTTGTAATCGTTGCGAGCGCTTGGCAGGCTGGTTGGCAATCGCGGATTTTTTGTAGGTGTTGCCAGGAGGATGCAGCTGCTCCTCTCCTATTTCAGTTTTCCTCTATCTCGTCTTAAAACTCTCCCGAGATGATATTATAAAGTATTGAATTAGCTTACGCCGTCACTACATGGCTTACGAGTATGTCGAATAGGGATTTTAAAATTTTCCGACTAGGTAAGTCCATCTTCGAACTAGAGGACAATCGACTGATATAATGCGGCATATTTTCTCGTCGTATATTCCTCAAACCTTGAAAAAAGAATTTATGACCAATGCGTGTTTCCAGTGATGACTTATGGATCTGAGACGTAGTTACTTCTCCGCTATGGAGTTTTTATCCGTGAAAGAATGAGAATATAATAACCGCAATAGAACTGTCATAAATGGAGTAACCGATATAGCCCAACGGACGAGTAAGCTGAAGTGGCAATGGGTCGGCCATATAGCTCGAAAAACATGCAATGCAGGAACTCGATGAATGCAAGTGACTCAGTGCCGTGTTTTGTGGTATTCGTTGGAGAAGGCCTGTGCTCAGTAGTGGTCGTGAAGGGCTTCGATTATGATGATGATATTGGAATTCAAGATAATTCTAATCAGCAAATAGTACGTATAACAATAAGTAGTAAACAACTTGGCAGCGCAGTAGGCAAGCGGTTTTTGTTTTATAGGACAGGGTGACAAACGGGCACACAGTCCACCTGATGATAAGTGGTTGCTGTGGCCCATAGACATCTACATCTGTATTCGATTACAAATCAAAATGTAGATGCATTGTCACCCGTGAGAACTAAGATGGAATGCCTCGTTTCCAGTAAAAAGGGACTCCGGTTCTCTACACCTCACCATACGAAACACAGCAGCATTATTAAGCTACTAATTTACGCTAGTAATTTGTGAGAACGTGGTCCTTCCCCGGTCGAGCCGACCCATTCGTACTACAACTATACTACCAATATAACTGCAGCATGGCTCTACCACGTACAAAACGTTTGACTGCGGCGCTGCCGTTTTGAATACTACATACACGGAAGCGATCAGATCTGGAAAGCTCATATCCAGATCTGAGTGTTTGTACCTATATGTGTAATTCATGCATGTATGTGTATCGCTTCCACGAGAATGTAATATTCTAGTATGGAGGTAATGTTTTTCAATCTATAAAACATAATGATAACATACATTGACATACGTGCATAAATAAATTTGTAGCAAAAGTATGTGTTGATGAATTAAGAAACACTAAAAAATCACTTATAGGTTAAATTCGTTAAACCGTAAAAAAGAAGAAACGCAGTTTTTAGATTACTTTTAAAAATAAAAATTACTTTTGGAGGCGCCGGGTATCGATCCCGGTACCTCTCGCATGCTAAGCGAGCGCTCTACCATCTGAGCTACGCCCCCGGTGTTTATAGCGTTGTAAAAAGGCTACATAATGCAAAATGATACGTGACAGAGCCGTGCTTCGGCATATTATGGCTTCAGCATGAATAAGTTAGGTTGACCGCATATGAGCCACCCTCGCATAGAGTACCAGCTTAAAATATCAACATAATGCTATTTTTGTACGGTGAATGGTGAGAAAGTAAGACACTTTTTACTCGTAACGAGTCATTCCATCTTACCTCTCGGGATAACAACACATCTACATTTTTATTCTTAATCGAGAATTAAGTGGATTTCATGGGCCACACATTATAATGGACTATGCCCGTTAGTCGTTGTCATCCTTGATCTTATAAAATATTGTACGGGTGAAGTATCTATCAAATGGCTGCCTTGTATTTGGAGAAAGGCATGTTAAGAAAACTACAAGTTACTTAACAATGAGATAATACTACACCCACAGGTCTGCCTTCCTTATACACTATGATTTTAAAGAACTGTGAAGGAAATAGTGAATAGGTATGTTTTAAAACGTTACATTAGAATTTTCTTCTGTATCGTAGGGCAGTTTATGAAATAATTGACATATTGACTCATCTTGTCAATTTTTCATTCTCATCAGGGCTTCTCAGATATCATAAGTATAGAACGAGTGAACGCAGGACATAGAGTAAATGGATCTCTCCAGTCGTGTCAGTTTGCCGTCCCCGTGTAAGACTATAAGAATAAGGAGAATAGAGAGCACACCTGTGCTTTTGCGTTTGCGTACACTCGGATACTGTAATTCTGTCCTGTGTAGATGGGTAGTCTCCGTTGAGATTGACATTATATAACCTTACCACTACTTGGTCTATTAACGATTTAAAATTCCCACACCACCTTAATCTTTTAATATGTTTTATATATACCCTTATTTATAATTAGTCTTACATTTAATCAAAACAGTAGTATATACATTAAGCAATTTTAAAATTTAAAATTGCGCAATGAGAGGGCGTAACTAGGCCGTTGCTGCGTTTGACATTCACCAAACGACATGTCTGGGTCGGTGATTGCTTGCCTTATAATACACAGCAAAACACTAACGCACTTTCATCAAACGTGATCTAAATTAATTTACTAGAGTAATTTATAAGAATATTTTACACAAGCGTACCTATATAAAATAGCGTCTGAGGACCACATTTTTTTTAAAAATTAGCAAAATACATTATATGTTACCACCCAAACATTCCCCCCTATTTAATTATAAAAAAAACCCCCCCCACCAATTTACCAAAAATAGCTCCTTATTAAATCGCTGACATAATAGTGCTTGACTATATTATTCAATTAACAATAAGTAGTATGAAATTATACTGTTTGTACTTAACTTTTTTAGAGAAATATGTTTACTTATCACACGCAATAAATGTCCAGTGATATAACGTCCTAATAAATTGAAGATGTTAACGTAAATTTAAATTGAAACGCCTAACCCTGGCAAATTGCCAAACACTCGAAGACCACAGAAACACTGTATATTTATCAATAGATATAAAAAATAACGAGTTTGTTGTTAAAATTGAATTAATTGCTTATGTATTTGAAGTAAATACGAGTGGAAAAGTACTAAAACAACCAGAAAATTGCCAAAAAAATGCCTAAAAGCTGTTACTGTAAGCCTTATTATGTTTGTAGCCTGAATGGGTCGGCTCCGAGGAAAGACCACGCTCTTACAGAATACCTGCGTCAAATAGCAGCTTAATGCTGCCGTGTTTGGTATGTTGTGAACCGGAGACCTTTTTTACTGGTAACCATGTATTAAATCTTAGCCATCAGTGGTGACAACGTTTTCTGCAATTTTTTCTTATTCGGGAATGGCTATAGATCTCTAAGGGCTACAGCATCTATTTATCATCAGGTTAACTGTGTGCTCGTTTGTCGCCCTTATTCTATAAAAAAAACTAATCTCTTCTCGCTCGGCCCTCTCTTCATTACAATCAACAATGACAGAGTGCGGGCATCTTAGCAGAGAGATAAGCACATGTGTGCAGCGAGACTTATGCAATTATCATCATACAATTCGCATTAAAAAGCTGTCGCTCGGATCAAAGGTCCAAAATCTTCATGAGACATGAGTGCCGAAATCTTTAAATAAGATTTATAACTTTTACGGACGTTTACAATACATCATTTGAGCTACATACAAAAGTAGGTAAGGAACGACCCAAGAGTGAAGGTTGAAATTCATCTGTCATTATTCCGGCAATAATGCCCACCAGACCAAATTCGACAATTTTAATAGAGAATAACCATCTACACAGAACAATAATATTGCACCAGTGTGCAAACACACGTGCACTTTCTGTTCCTTGACTCGGATGGAACGGCAATCTGACATGACCGGAGTGAGTTGAGGCACAAGACCATGCTTTCCGAGACACCTCGTTAAAACACCGCCAACATCCTAAATTCTGGCTGCCACTGAGAATTTCTTAACCGAAAAACCCAAAAACTGATTTTGGCCCGACCTGGAGTTCGAATCTGGAACCACATAATCAGCAACCGCGCCTTCGCGTCTTCGTGCTATTTTCAAGGGACGGACGTTACGAATCGACTTCGACTACCTACACATTTAACGAGTTCCGTTTTCTAAAACAAGGCAGTTTCTGAAAAGGGTTATTGTACCATTTTATTTATATTAAACATTGTAGATGTAGACTAAATTAACTTTTATACCTTTCAAACTAAGACAATATTTGCAATATCTGTAGTACCTTTCACTTTTTACTATAGTATTTGTATCTTGTAATATCAATTTTGACGTTATCCTACAACGGGGGCGTAGCTCAGATGGTAGAGCGCTCGCTTAGCATGCGAGAGGTACCGGGATCGATACCCGGCGCCTCCAACAATACAATTATTTTATATACTATAATTAAAAGCTCTTTTGGTATACTGATTTGGATCGGACTCAAGTTTGTTAAATTTTTATTATATTTTTACAGTCCATGTACAATAGCCTGGGTGCCGCCATCGTGGATAATGGACGTTTCGATTTCGATGCCTATATCAAAAAAACCTGTCCGATGATGTTGGTGGAAGATAATCCTGAAAAGAAGGCCACAACGAGTTAGTAATCCTTTTACCGTTGTCAATGTTAACTATATATTTTTGGCAAGAGTTTTGATTTTTTAGTCAAAAATAGCCGCAAGTTTTAGTCTATTCCATCTGCCTGTTAAAATTGTCGCAATTTCAAACCCTTCCTTCATAATACCTATAAAGAAATAGATGATTTAGTTTAGGTAATTTGTTGCATAATTCAGATTGTAATATTATGCTATTTAAAACAATAAATATTGTAATTAAATGACTAACTAGTAAACAATTGAATTTGGGATAGATTTTATTTACTTTTTTAGCTCTCCCGTGTTAAATTATAGGATGATTTGACATAATTGCTTCGTTTGGCCTACTGACTAACGAGCAGTTTCATACGACTTACATGCTTTGTCTACAGCAGTAAACACAATACAAACTGATTACTGACACGCACCTGGATATTTATAATTATTAATGAGTTAGTTATTCATATATCCCTCATATTGAAAATAAAAATCCGATGAATGCAGACGGCGATACCAACGTGACGTTTTTCTATAGAATACTTTCCAATGGGCTTCCCGTCTCTCTACGACTATTGCCTGGAGCTGACGACAAAAACTTGGGATGCATGGGAATGGCTCGTGCCCGAGTATATCCACGATCGCGATATGAAGTTTCCCTCTATATTGGTGCCTACTGTGGATACGCTGCGAGTTACTTGGCTTATTAAGATCATGGAAAGTGTGAGTAATGATATAAGTATTTATTAACATTTCAGCCAGTTGTTATTCAGTTTAACCATCCTAAAAAATCTACTCCAGGCAGGGGTGGACCGTGAATTTGTGGGGCCCTGAGCTAACACCACTTGGGGCCTACCAAATGAATCAAACTAATCTAGTCAAAAAACTTTTCTCTAACGATGTATACGGTCTGGAAAAAAATTATATAACTTAGATACACAAATAGCAACTGTAAGAAATTATTGCTTAAAAAACTAAAGGGTTATGTGCAATTATGTTAAAGTAATTATAAAGACTTTTCTAGATTTTCGCGCTGCGAATTCCTTTATTTGTTTATCACATTATCGGTCCCTTGTTAAATCACAATTTATGGGAAGAACTGAGAAGTTTTCTACGTATGACATCCTGGAAAAAGAGCGCTCCGCTTCACAGCTAGTGCTTGATAACGTTAAAAAATTCTATAAGATAGTAACGCAATTTCGGAAAACATCATCAAGTTTCTTTTCATTAATTAGCATAAACGTTTCACTGCGAGACTCTAGCTTAGACTTTAGTAAGATTTTAACCGGATTCACTCATTCACTGAATGTTCGTCTACGTCAATCTGATAATAATCAATAGTATTACGTAGAAACACATCAGATCTGTTTTCATTATTTTTGTCTTTCAATTCTAATAAAAATTTGAATTTTTACCATATTATACCTCATAGACTTCACATCTTCTATTTAAATTCAAAATTCAAAGCAGCATATCCAACGCAACTTTTAGCGTATTTCTATAAAAATTTTGACTTCAATTGAAAAATTTGATTTCTTTAATTTTTTTCTTTGATCGATGCGTTTTTTGTTTATGTCACTATATTTTGTTTCCACTCTAGTACTAAAGTTTTTAGATTTCTCCTCGTATATCTTTAATTTTTGATTCGATTGGTGTCGTATGGTACTCGCGAACTCTTTTAATGTCATAATTAACTTGTTGCCTTAACAAATATCCTCTCTAAAATTTCTTCCAAAAGAATAGCGTCGAGTTTAGCCACTTTTATTAAATAAATTTCGTGCCTCTTTTCGAAAATTAACTTTCTCATAATTATTTCCACTAAAACTCATGAAATTTTCATATCATTATAATTATTTTTGAATCTTTGACAGTTATTGACTTCCATTGGGGCTGGAGGCCCTTATATCCACGGGGTCCTGGGCTGGGCCTGGGCCCAAAGAGCCTATATACTGCCCCTGACCCTAGGGTGGATACTGGAAAACGCATGTTTACCTATCTACCCTAGAAGGGGTGGATAATCGGAGTTCACCCCTTATTGCTCTTCAGACTTTTTTCCCCAAGTACAGTTCAACAATGAATATACTCATACATTTTAATTGTTAATTAATTTTTAATAACCACAAAAATCCAACAAAAATAATATTACTTATTGCATTTAAATCAAATTAAACTTAATCGTTTTAAACAATATTATGTAATTTATAAATTCTCCAATATGTCCAGGAAATTAATACTAATTTCATTACTGAGTAGACGTAATTTGATATCCTGGATAAATTCGTCTCTTTATATGTACCTTTGCAATCGTTTTTTGCTACAATGTGTTACCAAAAACTGGGCCTTATTTGCTAACATTCCAAAAACGTTACTAAATTTAAATGTTTGTCTTGTAACTTTTATTTTTATTTTTAAATTGTTTTAAGCCAAGATTGTAATGAATTTGTAGTCCTGTGAGGCACTCCTTTTATGTCAGCATTGTCCTTTCAAACAAGAAGCATGTATACATGTTTATAGGTATGCTAATTGCTATTGCTAATTTTGAACCAGTTTTCATCATGTATTAACGTGGTAGAGCCATGCTGCAATTATATTAGTAGTATAGTTGTAGCACGAATGGGTCGGCTCGACCGGGGAAGGACCACGCTCTCACAGAATACCAGCGTGAAATAGTAGCTTAATGCTGCTGTATTTCGTATGGTGAGTGTAGAGAACCGGAGACCCTTTTTACTGGAAATGAGGCATTCCATCTCAGTCCTCACGGGTGACAACGCATCTGCATTTTGATTTGTAATGGAAGATAGATGTAGATGTCTATGGGCCGCAGCAACCACTTACCATCAGGTGGACTGTGTGCTCGTTTGTCACCCTATCCTATAAAAAAAAATGTTTCTGATGACTGTACAAAATCGAAAGAAAAATAATATACAAACTCTGATTATCCACCCCGTCTGGGGTGGATAATCGGAGTTTGTATATTATTTTTATTCTCGAAAATGACAGGTGCATGGTGCTTGCAGCGAGATAGTCATGATTTATTACTTAATTGTTATTAGACTGAACAATATAATTTTCTTTAACTATTAGTACTCATTTTATAAGAAATTATTTAAAAAGTTATTCAATTGCAGGTAGAACGACCGGTTGTATTGGTGGGCGATACAGGAACGTCTAAGACCGCTATCATAACAAACTATCTGCGTGGATTGCCGGCAGATAAATACGTGAGTATATTAAGTAATTCGCGAAATATAACCGTAGATTATACCGATAGATCGATATAACTGGGTGATATTAGTAATTTATTGCTTACCATGCATATCATACTTAGGTATGGATTAAAATATCTATATCTGTAATAATAATATCCTCCAGATTAAATTTCGGTCACAATGGCCAGTCTCAATATATATAATTTTTTATTTTTAATCAGATTTACACCAAATTTATCTACATAATATGATCTTAATTTTTATATTTTAAATTATAGTCAAGGTTTAATAAAAAAATTAGATTGAATAGAATTATATAGAGGTCAAGATATATATTTATTAATATTATTCAATTTTTTATTATTTATATCAAATAAACAATTTTAAAATTTATTTATTTAGATTTATTTTATGAATAATATTTTTTTATGTTATATCATTAATTTAAAATTTAAATATCTTATATATACAGCATAACACTGAAGATAGTAAGGAGATTATACCCTTAAATATTTATTAAAAAAAATATTTTCACAATGAAAATGTAATGCTTTATTTTAAACTATATAAAATATATTAAAATAAAATAGAAATATTAATGATTTGAATAATAACCATCTACGCTGGTCAAGATCAAAGTGCACAAGTGTATGGGCGAGCACAGGCGCACTCTTTATCCTCTAAATCTCATAGTGCGATCCGAAACGACCGGAGGAGGAAAAGGGCCAATGATCATCCTTTTAAAAGATTTCCGAAGCATGGGGGTAAAGCACCGCTAAATTCCTGACAGCGTGCGGCCCGTGAGAATTTCTTGACAAAAAAAACTGATTTTTAAACCGACGCGGTATTTGAACGCGGAAGCACTAAATACGCATTCACATAACTGCTGATCAACAGGCATCATTCGATTTTTGTTTGACGGTGACCGCGTAATTCAGCACAGCTGTTGAGTTGGAGATGAATGAATCTACTAGTACGAGTAGCTCTATGAGAGAGAAGTCTCACGGATGCGTACCGACGATACCGCACTGCAATAATTTCGGTGCAGAAAACCAAGCCAATCATCATTATCGTCGTCATCATTGCAGCTCTTCACAAGTCCACTGCTGAACATAGACTCTCCAAGAAATGTCACAAAACACTATATGGAGTAACGACCTGCTAATAAATGCAGAAAGATGAAGTCGAAGTTGTTTTTTTACATAAATATCATATCTGAAATGGCAACACATGGTCCTGTAATATTTGCCTCCTCTCCTCAGATATTCAGAATTATTCACTGTGTTTTCCTCCACCGCCCAGCACGTGGTAAATGAGCACTTAAAATTACAATAAAACATTTCTTTGGTGCCGACGGAGAAACCAAGTTGCTCGCATACTGTGTAACTTACGGCGAGTACTAACGCTTAGCCTATAAACTACCACGGCCTATTTCAATAAAACATGAATTAATGATTTCTTATATTTACGCGAACACTATAAATGATTAAAACTACTTTTACGGATTTTATCGCGTTTATTTTTACTTTTTATTTACTTTTATTTTTAATTCCCGACGTTTCGGGCGCTTTCCAGCATCCATGGTCACGGGGGACTGAGATGACTGACGTCCCGATGTCATTGTTAAGCCCGGAGTACCTTCAGCTTTTTTAATTATTGTTTATGGTCATCGGGACGTCAGTCATCTCAGTCCCCCGTGATCATGGATGCTGGAAAGCGCCCGAAACGTCGGGAATTAAAAATAAAAGTAAATAAAAAGTAAAAATAAACGCGATAAAATCCGTAAAAGTAGTTTTAATCAAAACATGAATTACTTATTTTGCGTTATGTTCTCGCAAAGTGAGTAAAAGTATACCTAAATATTTTATCATCTGTTCTTTTTTTAATATGATATGAAAGGACATTAATCATGAAGGCTTTCCGAATACTTTTTGCCTTTCACAATAAATGAACCTGAAAATAATATATTCTGTAACGTCATTTATTCCCAAAACTGTCGAATTTAATAATTTTTTGCAATATTATTTATTCCCAATGCGGAAAAATGTTTTATTTTCTATTTACTTTTCAACTTACAAGATGTTTATTGCGTATTATGCTGTATTTAACGAGAACAAGTGTTTTTAATTTATTCACTTATGTATTTGTTACAATGTAAATGCCCTTGAATAATATGCTCTTTATTTTACGGTCGTTTTCACTTCATTTTACCAATGGGGGCGTAGCTCAGATGGTAGAGCGCTCGCTTAGCATGCGAGAGGTACCGGGATCGATACCCGGCGCCTCCAATAACCTTTTTTCGCAAGTCATATTTTGTAATAATTTTAAATCCATGCATTTTAATAATAATTTATAAAATTTTGTCAATCATAAAAACTGTGACATCATCTGAATTTAAAAAAAAAATGTAAAAATGGGAGGCTCACAGAATACCAGCGTAAAATAGCAGTTTAACGCTGCTGTGTTTCAAATGGTGAATGTAGAGAACCGGAGACCTTTTTTGGTGGAGGCGGGGCGTTCCATCTTAGTCCTCACGGGTGACAAAGCATCTGCATTTTGATTCGTAATCGAGTATATATGTGGATGTCTATGGGCCACAGCAACCATTTACCATTAGGTGGACTGTGTGCTCGTTTGTCACCCTTCTCCTATAAAAAATAAAAAATAAAAGTAAATTGTGTCAATATTTCAGATGATTCAGCAAATGAATTTCTCATCTCGAACATCATCGATGGATGTGCAAAGAAATTTGGAGTCTGTGGTAGAAAAACGCACTAAAGATACGTTTGGCCCGCCGATCGGCAAAAAGATGTTGGTTTTTATAGACGACATGAATATGCCAATAGTGAGTATTTTTTTCTTTCAATGAATCTATACAAATAAATAAAACTGAAGCGTCTGTTTGTAGTTTCAAAATAACAGCATTTTAATAAATGCATATGAAAGTATATATGATACGTATAGCAAAAAACTATTTTTAAAAATTTTGTCTGTCGGTCTGTTTGTTCCGGCTAACTTCCGAAACGGCGGTACCGATTTTGACGGGACTTTCACTGACAGATAGCTGACATTTATAACGAGTACCTTAGGCTACTTTTATTTTAGAAAATGAATTAGGGTTCCGCGCAAGAAAATAAAAACTCATGAAATCTATATGTAATAAATTCCACGCGGGCGAATTCACGGGGATATAATATTTCTCTAATTTCACGCCTTTAGAAGCCTTTGAAAACAATTTGTAATTAACCACTTTTTGTAAGATATAATTCTTTTTGTATCTAGTTACTATCATTTTCTGCTTAAAGAATCAAAAATAATTTTATAATATCAGAGAAAACTCTGTCAAACATCAGACGTCAAATGCTCTCAGAAGCATTAAAATTATTTGTCTGATATGATACTGTGTACACAGGTTGACACATACGGGACTCAACAACCGATCGCGCTACTGAAGTTACTTTTCGAGAGAAAAGGTTTCTACGACCGCGGGAAGGATCTCAATTGGAAGAATTTAAAAGATATTGGCTTTCTTGCCGCAATGGGGAAAGCCGGTGGTGGCAGGAACGACGTATGAGGCTTTGTTTATTATAAACATTGGCGATCATATTATATGTTGTTTTAGAAATAAAAAAAATTATTCTATGTAGGTGGACCCACGATTCATCTCAATGTTTTCCGTATACAATCTACAATTCCCATCCGAGAGTACTCTGCGGCACATTTACGTGTCCATACTCAGCGGTCACTTCTCAATTTTCTCCGAGGGAATACAAAACATCGTCGATAAGATGGTCCAGATGACGCTCGATCTGTATAAGGTAAGTGTCATTTCCTTCAATAATTTGGTATAAGTAAAGTTGATATAAGTGCTCTGTCAAGAAATCTAGAATTTTGTTTTTATGAAACTGAAGTAACGAATGAATTTTCAATCCATCTGATGGTAGGTGGCTATTGTAGCCCTTGAACACCTGCAACCATCTTAAAACAGAGAAGCCTACAGATGTGTTGTATCACCACTGAGGACAAGGATACGTGGCAGAGCCACGCTACAGCTATATTATAGTTGTAGCAGGAATCGGTCAGCTCGACCGGGGAAGGACCACGCTCTCACAGAATACCCTAAAAATAAAATAAAATAAAAACGTAAAATAGCTTAATACTGCTACTTTCGTATGGTGAGTGTAGAGATCCGAAGACCCTTTTTTACTGGAAACGAGGCATTCCATATTTGTCCTTAGGGGTGACAGCGCATCTGCGTTTTGTTTCTTTATCGTGGATAAATGTGATAGAGATAATTATATGGGTCACAGCGTCCACTTACCGTGGACTGTGTGTAAGCTTAGGGAGGGGGTACAGAAAAATGTTACGGCCGTTACATCGGGAGAGGGAGGTTCAAAAATTGCGATACGTAATACTTGAACGCCTCATAAGATGGAATGCTTCGTTTCCAGTAAAAAGGGTTTCCGATTCTCTACACACACCATACGAAATACAGCATATTTTACGCTGGTATTCTGTGAGAGCTTGGTTCTTCTCCGGTCGAGCCGACCCATTCTTGCTACAACTACACTACTAATATAACTGCAGCATGGCTATACCACGTATAATAAACAAATCATTGTAAAATCTAATGTAAAAACCTCTAATGTGCGCTCGTAGGAGTGTAAGATTTGGCATATTTAAAGTTTATATAAAGAAGGAGTGCAGAAAGCAAAAATTTATGTGTTAATAATGCATTAAAGTAAATAAAACACAATGTTTACGTTCATACTGCTAATGTCAAGGAGTAAGTACAAGCGTATTACGTATGTTATTACTATAAGGCCAATTTCAAATCACTTAATAATCTGCGGTCATACAGTCGCACAGAGTAGACTGTGGTCAAAGAATTTTATAATGTTGCCAACCAACAAATGATTATTGGCAGATTGACAGAATAATGTGTGAATTTTGTGTGATTTCAAATGTTCCGTTTTCAATAGTGTGTGTAGTGTAGAGTATCAAGACAAAAGTTATTTATATTTTATATATTAAATCTGTCGTTTGTATATAATATATAAATTTGCAGTTGAAAGTGAAATACAATATTTAATGATTTCTTATATTTACGCGAACACTACACATTTAAATAATACTAGTTTTTACTAAAACTAGTATTATTTAATGTACAGTGTTTAATATACAAACCTCTAAATTTAATGAATTACGGTCGAATTTCTACCCTTGGGAGAGTGCTAATACTAATAACAACACATTATCTCTCTTGCAACTGTAATACCCCCCCCCCTCTCCAGATTTTAATAAATAATTGGTCGTCTGTTAAAATATAAAACTATTGAATGAAATATATTCCGTGACCAGACTAATAAATAATAATCTTTCCAACTTTGTAAAGGTTTAGGCCGTTTATGGCGTGATCGTCTTAGTTAGGACCTTTATTTACGTTGTGTTCCTTTAGTCAATTAGTTCTTAGATGTGTCTTAGAAGAATAAATATTCACTAGAGCAATCACTAACCGTTAATAGTACCCGATAATTATTTTAAGTTAAAGATGTGGGATTGTGGTCAAGCACTAACTTATAATAAGTAAAAACATTGGCGGACCCTGCAGGCTAACCCTGGAACTTCCCGCTGATTTCAAATGCAAAGCGCTCCAAATTTCACCAAATTACGACTTTGAATATAAAATATCGGAGTTGAATAAGAAATCAATATTTCCTAAATTTTTCGTTATCGATTATCTCACGAACGAATCAACCGATTTTGACCGGATCGGCGGTAATCGAAGTGATTTTTCAAGGTTAAAAGCGGATTGGAAACAATTTGGAATCACCTTAGTTACATCAATTTTTTGTTTGCGGCCTTTTGGTTTGCGCATACGCTATGTGAAAAATAGAGGGGGAGGGGATTAGACCCAGTGCGTAGTATAAAACAGCTGTATTATAAGTACCAGAATACGCTATCCACCGGACACACTGTAATATAATAATAATTCAACCATCAGAAAGGATTTGCGTAAGTGGACGTTGACGTACATCACACACACAAAAAATTCCTTTATTCATACACACAAATACACAGAGACACATTACACGTATTATTGTTACATACAAACATACATGGATGTCAGTTAGCGACCCACCCAAATGATCCCATGGTAACAAAGTTGTTAACTAAAAATAGTACACAATACTCGTAGTATGGTAACACCTACTAAGGCGCCAGTAACTAAATTTCCATGTATCATAGGACTTTTGCACTAAGATATGTAGTTCAGTATGATTGTTGCACTAAAAAGTACTACCAAACACACTCTCCCTGATCTGTAAGATAGTTGACGTATCATACTCGACTCGATTCCCGTAATGGATAAACTGTCTACATACTAGTTTGTACGGAACCCTCAGTGCGCGTCAGACTTGCACTTTCCACCTTTCCAGTAATGTATATTAGTTTTAAGGCCGATATTAAGCCTTTACACTTCTATGATATTTAATGTTCGAAATGAATGTATTTTAACATTATTCAAAATGCAACGTCTATGACACTTTTAGACGGCTTTATATAGAATTTAATTATTAATAATAATAACGCGCGTCGCACAACTTTCAAGATAATAATAGTGGAGTTGCCGCCGACGCCGGCGAAGTTCCACTACATCTTCAACCTGCGGGACCTGTCGCGCGTGGCGGCCGGCCTGTGCCTCGCGCACCCCAAGATGTTCGCCGACAAGCGCTCCGTGCTGCGCTGCTGGCGCAACGAGTTCACCAGGGTCGTCTGTGACCGCCTCATCACTACACACGTTAGTCTATTTCTTTTCCATATAACAGTCCACTGTTAGAATTAGGATGAGAAACAGAGGCACAAAGTCTACCCGATGATAAGTCGATGCTGTGGCCAATAGACATTTTCATTGATTGTCGATTAATAGTCAAAATGGAAGGGGTTAACATATTACAGTTGAGCATGGGCCTAGTTGAATAAACCACTGGTGTATTTTTATAGAATAAGTGACAAAAGAGTACACACTACCTGATGTCAAATGAACGCTGTGGCCCATAGACATTACCTTGATAAATAATGAAAATTTAAAGTAGTCACCCATAAATACTTGTTACGAGTAAAAAGAGCCGCCGGTTCACGTAAAACAGTAGCATCAAACTGCTATTTTGCGCTGGTATTATGTGAGAACGTTGTCCTTCCTTTTAGAACCAACCCATCACTGATGTAATCATAATATAACTGCAGCTATATAGCTAGCAGCTAAGTGCAACTCGCAGTTTACAGGTAGGTCGTCACCTCTAAATACTAAGGTGAGGTATGAAGAGTTAATACATTTGGTGTTTCTCTGTGTGCGTTAAAATTTACAACGAAGGTTAAATCCGCACTAAAACAAACTGCCATCAATAAGTTAAAGTGGCAACAGGCCAGCCATGTAGATCGAAAAATTGATGGGGTAGAATGGAAACCTTTTTGATTATATACGATTTATATGAAATAAAAACAAAGTAAAATACGATAAGGCTGACATGTTCTTGTAGGATAAAAGTCTCTTTATATCACATAAGAATATAAAAGAATGGGTTAGACAGGCAGTCGGTAAATGCTGGTCACTCAGGACCGTACTTTGTAGCAGTTTTGAAGTATTCTTTTTTAATAGGATAGGGTGACAAACGAGCACACAGTCCACCCGATGGTAAATGGTTGCTGTGGCCCATAGATATCAACAAGATGTGTCCTCGATTACGAATCAAAATGCAGATGCTTTTTAACCCGTAAGGACTAAAATGGAATGCCTCATTTCCAGTAAAAAGGGTCTCCGGTTCTCTACACTCACCATACGAAATACAGCATCATTAAGCTACTATTTCACGCTGGTATTTTGTGAGAGCGTGGTCCTTCTCCGGACGAGCCGACCCATTCGTGCTACAACTATACTTCTAATATAACTGCAGCATGGCTCTACCACGTATAAAATACGTACATGTACGCATGTATCTTTAGCAAGGGACTTGTAATGCGCTATAACTGATGATGATAAAGGTGACGCAAGTACTTACTTGTAAATTTAAATAGGACAACGAGCTAATGCGTGGACACATTCAAGAACACCTTGTTAAATACTTCCCTGAAGAAGAACCAGTTGTGCTTGAAGAGATTGTGTTGCCTGAAGAAGAGGAAAAACATCCCGAGGAAGAAGAAGACGGTATATATTTAATTTTCCCTTATTTGACCAACAGATTAAGATCAAGGTTTAAGGTACGTTTAATATTTATGTTACGTGATCTTAAATATTACACATCGAGTTTTTTAAAGCGAATATCGCAGATACTCACCTCAAGGGAACAGAGTCCCGCGTTGAGCAGCTTTCGGCTGCAGCCTTGAGTCTCCTTCCAGCTACCACCCGCATGAGGTTGACGCATATGCTCCACCAACCAATGCAATAGCAGCTATAGCCAAAGGAAATAATATTATTATAATAACAATTCAACCATCAGAAAGGGTTTGTATAACTGACGTTGAGTATATGCATTTTTCGCTCGTTTTTGTCTCACCCACCACCAAGTTGTCTTTATTTATTCAAAGGTGGTACTCTTTATTATGTTGCTATACGAGTATAAACATCGAGGTCAGACAGCCTGCAGCTCCGTCCGAACGTCGCAGCGAATTCCGCTCACGGCTGGCCGGCCCCACGAAGACTAGCCAGCCGTGCGGAACGTAATCATAGTGCCCGAGTGTGCGCGCAGTCGCAGGTGCACTGGTCTATTCACACACTCATATTCTGATAGATCGGCAACCCGACGCAACCGAAGTAGGATCAGGTTCAAAAACAATGACATTGCGTGCCTTCCGAACCAGGGAGTGAAAAACCACCAAGTTCCAGCATCTGATCAGAATTTCTCAAAAAAAAACCGATAACTGTTTATGGAACGACTCAAGATTCTGCCCGTGACCATATGATCAGCATATTCCAACTTACGGTCACTAAACTTACGCGGCAGTCGAGTACTATATGTGAGAAAGAGAACACTTAAATATTAATTTATGTACCATACTCTAGACGTTGGTAACAATGACGAATTACTATCATCTAGATGTTAATAACGGAATATTTTTCGCAATTTCAGACAAAAAATAAAACATTATACACTTTAAATTATAGTTGGTACTTTGCTTACATCCGCGTAATGAAATAAAGTGATTTGTCTTACCTAGCGGGAGGTGCTCTTCAAACAAGGTAAGACAAATAAAATTATATTTCATTACGCGGATATAAGCAAAATAATTTGAACCAAATTTAATTTAATAGATTCTATTAATTACTAGTTGTTCCCCCCGACTTCGCTCGCTTGTAACTTAGGGTTTTAAAATTTTTGCGCAGAACCCTAATTCTTTTTTCTGAAATAAAAATAGCCTAAGTTACTTGTTATAACATCAGCAACAGAATAAATAATAGCATCAGCTATTTGCCACTGATAGTCCCGTCGATATCAGTCCAGCCGGTTCGGAGTTTAACCGGAACAAACACACAGAAAGACAGACAATTTTTTTAAAATTTTCATTTGTTATAAATTCCATATATAATTTCATATGCATTTGGTAAAATGCTGTTATTGTGACATTACAAACAGACACTTTTATTTATTTGTATAAGATAATTTTTATTCCAGAGTTCATGTTAAGCGAAGAAAAACAAAAAGCACAGGAGGTGACTGACGAATCTGAGACGCTGATGGAAGAAGAAGTGGAAGAAGAAGCAGAAAGAGTTGTAACGGTAAGTTTCCATCACTGATATCTGACATGGTTCTTCACCATCATCAGCCTGTACAGTACACCGCTCGGCGTGTGTTTCCCCGTTTTCATTAAGATTTGCCATAGTGGCCACGCGTTGTAGGCGATCAAGATGCAAATTCGCCGTTGATTGCTGTACCAGACGACTCGCATATTTCACACCATTCTTTGACTTGTTTTATTGTAATTCTAACACTGGCTCAGAGTTTCTCTCAATCTGTGAGAACATATGCCGTCTGGTGGCGGTAAGAGAATCTGTCATCCTATTTCGTTCCGTAAATAATCCACTACCCCATATCATCGTAAAAATCAACTACAGGAAATGCCAGAAGTGTTTGGTTTTTAATAGATGGCTGTTTAACAGCCTCGCTTACATCAGAAGTGAAATATCCAGAGTGGCGGCGGGCAGCGGCGTCAAAGGTGCGAGGTGACTGGTACTGCAATCGTTCTGACTGCCAAGTCAGATTTATTTATCAACAGTGGTGGAGCCACGCGGCAGCCTTTGCTGTTGTACGTATGGGTCACCTCAAACCGGGGTCACCTCACAGAAGACCAGCGTGAAGTAGAGGCTTTGCTTCTGCTTTTCGTCCGGTGAGTGCAGTTGGCCGGAGGTCCAATTCCCCCCCCCCATCAACATGGTATCGGAATTAAATGCTAGACTACCCCAGGAGGGTACTAGCACCCCTGGAGAATCCCTCGCTGAGCATCCACGACCAAGATACTCCACTCCTGTGGGTGTTCAGGCTGCCCTGCGTATTCTGGGGGAGGGGGGTAGGAAATTCCGCTCGAGACTAAACCTACTCGGGGCAAACGGAGCAATAAGTCGAAGGCGCCCCCTGCCACGCTATCCGTGAATCTCTGCAACATCAGGGGACTTTATTCAAACCTTAACGCCGTCCACTACCATCTGGAAACCGCAAAGCCGGCCTTGCTCTTTCTATTCGAGACACAGGTGTCCTCTCCGGCTGATACTTCGTATCTCTCCTACCCGCGGTACAAATTAGAACACTCCTTTGTGCCCCGGGCTGGAGTTTGCGTGTACGTCAGAGAGGACATCTGTTTTTGACGCCTCGACCTTGAAGATACGGTCCTGTCCATCTTATGGCTACGCGTAGACAGCGATCATTCCTGCGTCTACGGGTGCCTCTATAGGTCCCATAGCGGTAATGCCGACACGACCGACTCATCGACAACGTCCAGATGGCTGCAGACTCCGTGCTACAACAGATTCCATCCGCACTGATACTTGGTGATTTCAACACCCACCACGCTGAATGGCTTAGTTCTCGTTTAACCGATCATTCGGGTAGATCTGTTTATGACTTAGCTTTGGCATATGGTCTGACACAACTGGTTACCTGGCCTACGTGGACCCTAAATGTGGAAGATCATGTGCCTTCCTTGTTGGACCTTCTGCTAACCTCTCATCCGGACGGATATCAGGTCTCCGTTGATACCCCTCTTGGCTCTTCGGACCATTGTCTGATCTGGAGTACGGTGCCACTCACGCTCCCATCGCGGTTGTGTACTGCAGGTTACCGCCGTGTTTGGCGTTATAGGTCAACCGATTGGGACGGGATGCGATCTTTTTTTGCATACTACCCTTGGAGGCGGGTTTGCTTCTCGCCGGATGATCCCACCGACATGGAGTTGAACTTTTTATTCCATTCATCTGTGGTACCTATCGGAGGCAGAACCCAGCCATGGTTTAGTCGCTCTTGCAAAATTGCATTACGTCAAAAGCAGGAGTGCTACTAGACCTGAGCTCGCGCATTGACATCTTGGGATGTAAATACCAGCGCTTTCAAAAAGAAGTATAATTCTGCCTCCTGGTCCTTCAAAAGTGTCATTGTCAAGGCAAATTCAGAGCACATCGGCAGAATTAGCGAGAAACTAGTTCGTCAAGGCTGTCCAAGAGAACTTCTGTCAGCCATCTATCCATAGGGAGGACGACTCACTGACTCATGCCGCAAAGGACAAAGCCGATTTGATGGGCTCTCTCTTTGCGTCCAACTCGATGACTCTTGTGGAAGGGGGAACACACCGCCGACGATCCCGCGGTGTAAGTGCTTCATGTAGGATGTCCTGTTTACCCAACGCTCGATGCGCAGAGCACTCCTATCCCTGGACGTCAACAAATGGAGTGGGCCTGATGGCGTCCCTCCTATTGTGCTGAAGGCGTATGCTCCGGAGTTGGCACCGGTTTTAACGCGTCTTTCCGGTACTCCTACTCCCTAGGCGAAATCCCGAAATCATGGAAGACAGCCTTCGTGCACCCGATCCCTAAAAAAGTTAACCGCTCTGATCAGTCTAACTATAGGCCTCTGTTCTGTAAAATAATGAAATTTGTTATTAATAGCCAGCTCATGCAGTACCTTGAGGATCACCAGCTGATTAGTGACCGCCAATACGGTTTTTGTCGCGGTCGCTCGGCTGGTGATCTTCTAGGTTACCTAACTCACAAATGGCGTTGACCTTCAGTTAGGACATAGTGACTTCGATCGAGTTTGCATAAAGCGCTTCTTAAGAAGCTTCCTTCCTATGGGCTTCCCGAGAAATTGTGCAATTGGATCACCAGTTTCCTTGCTGATCGGAGCATCAAAATCGTAGAAGACGATGCATGCTCCGATGACAAGCCCATTATCGCTGGTGTTAACAAGGCTGCGTGCTATCACCAACACTGTTTCTTCTGCATATCAATGATATGTTGCAAACCCGTAACATTCATTGTTATGCAGATGACAGTACTGGTGATGCTCTGTACACCGGCCGTGCCAATATTTCTCGGGAAAACGTCTCCGAGTACCGGGACAAACTTGTGTCTGAAGTCGAAACTTTGTTGAACAAAGTCTCGAACTGGGGGCGACTAAATCTAGTCCAGTTTAATCCCGAGAAGACACAAGTTTGCGCGTTTACCGCTTAAAAAAACCTCTTCGTTGTATCTCTTCAGTTTTAAGGCACTCTCCTTGTTGCCTCTGCCAGTATTGGAATCCTCGGCGTCGACATATCGAGTGACATCCAGTTTCGTGGACACTTGGAAGAGAAAGCCAAATTGGCCTCTAGAAAGTTTGACGTGCTCAGCAGAGCGGGACAGTATTTCATGCCGGCTCACCGCTTGCAACATTACAAGGCGCAGGTTCGACCGCACATGGAATATTGTTCCCATCTCTGGGCTGGGGCTCCCCAGTGTCAACTCCTTCCATTTGATCGCATCCAGCGCAGAGCAGTTTCGAATCGTCGGCGACCGAGCGCTTTCCGATCGGCTTGACTCACTGGCACTGCGAAGAGATGTTCTTTGCGTATTTTATCGCATCTACCTCGGAGAGTGCTCTAAGGAATTGTTCGGACTAATTCCAGCCGCAAAATGTCACTATCGCTACAAAACTCGCGATACCATCCATACCATCGGGATGATTAGCGGTCCACTACCGTGCGATTTAAAAGAAGTTTTCTTCCTCGCACAACTTCCTTGTGGAATCGACTACCACCTGAGATTTTTCGGACCGATACGACTTAGGGACGTTCAAGAAAAGAGCATAACTCCTTTTTAAGAAGCCGGCAACATATCTGCCATTCCCCTGGTGTTGCAGTGGTTCACGGGCGGCGGTAATCACTTTCCATCAGGTGAGCCGTATGCTCGTTTGCCCCCTCTCCTATAAAAAAATATAGACAGCGGAAATTTTTAAAGTTTTTATATTAATCTCTGTTTTTTCTTTTATCTTATGAGTAGTGACGGGGTAAGAATATCTACTGGGTGTCGTAAAAGACGGCAGAGTGAAAAAAGTCAGGAGATGGGCTGCAGCGTCTTCTTAATACCTACTAAAATAAAAAATGGGGTTGCAAACCCGCTTTCCAAGCGTGGCAACTATGGCAAATTTCCCCGTATGAAGCAATCTATGGGGGACGCCTATGTTCAGCAGTAAACTTTAATGGTCTGTAACGGTAACGATTTTCTATTATAGCTGGAAGAATACGTGCTTCGAGATCCATTACTCTTCGGTGACTACCGCAACGCGCTGGATGAAGATGAGGTGCGATATTACGAGGACTTGTTGGACTACGAAGCGGTTTACTTTCTGTTCCAAGAGGTACTTTTGTTTTTATTTTCCTGCTATTATAATTATGGGGCCGTAGTTTTTCATAGGCTGAGCGCTCGCCATAAATTTCACAGCACGCGAGCACCCCGGGTTCGATCTCCACCGGAACTAATGACATCGTTATTTGCAATTTTATGTGTTGCTTTGATTTTCAAGATGTTAGCAGTGGTGGAAAATATCGTCAAGCCTACATGTCTAAAAATTAAAGAAACAATTTAAAAACATGTGAAGCTTTCAGTCTTCCATGAGTTCGTGACTACGCCTGGGGAGTAGGAGTACCTAAAAAGACGCGTTAACCCGTGCCAACTCCAGAGCACGCGTTTTCACCACAATAGGTGGGAATCCATCAGGTCCACTCGACTTGTTGACGACCAGGGAGAGGAGTGCTTTGCATACCGAGCGCTGTGTAAGCAGCACATCCTGCATGGAGCACTCACACCGCGGGATGGTCGGTGGTGTATTTTCGCCGTCATGTCGACTTTGTCTTGGCAATAACACTTTTGAAGGACCTGGAGGCGGAGTTATACATCTTTTTAAGATTGCTGGTGTTTGCATCCCGAGACGTTGATGCGTTAGCCCGGGCTCGGTAGCACTCCTGCTTATGGCGTGATGCAATTTTACAGAAATTACCAAACCATGGCTGAGTTCTGCCTCCGATAGGCACCCCAGATGATGGAATATATAATTACATCCCCTGAAGAACCACATCAGCTACAGAATCAGCAGAAATGTTGGGATCATCAGGCGAAAAGCAAACCCCCAAGATTAGGATGCAAAAAAAGACCGCATCCTCTCCCAATCGGCCTACCTATAGTGCCAAATGCGGCAGCAACCTGCAGAACGCAACCGCGATGGGAGCGTGAGTGGCACCGTACTCCGGATCAGACAATGGTCCGAGGAGCCAAGAGGATTATCAACAAAGACCTGACATCCGTCTGGACATGATCCTTCACATCTGCGATCAGCATAGGCGAAGTAACCAGTTATGTCAGACCATATGCAAAGGCAACGTCATAAACAGACCTACCCGCATGATCGGTTAAACGGGAACCAAGCCATTCAGCGTGGTAGGCGTTAAATTCACCGAGCATCATGATCTCTGCGGATGGGACGTGTTGTAGCACAGAGTCTGCAGCCATTTGGACGTGGTCGATGAGTCTGTCTGTTACGGCATTACCGCTATAGGACCCATAGAAGCACCCGTGCATGTGGTACGTACCTTCAAGACTGCCGAGGCGTCTAAAACAGAAGTCCTTTCTGACGTATACGTAAACTCCAGCCCGGGGCACAAAGGAGTGTTCTAATTTGTACCCCGGGTAGGAGAGTTACGAAGTATTAGCCGTAGAGAACACCCGTGTATGGGTTAGAAAGAGTAAAGCCAGCGTTGCCGTCGCCATGGTAGTCGTCGACGTTAAGGTTTGAATACAGTCCCCTGATAGCGTGGCTGGAGTTGCCTTTGTTCACGTTCAGGAAGAATAGGGTAGCTTGGGCGTGTACGCTCAGCGAGCGATTGTCCGTCACCAGGGGTGCTAGTACCTATGGCTGCATTTTATGAAATAGAAAATAGAAGCAACACGTTGTCATAGTCGTCAAACAAATAGACTTTGTTTATATGACGTTCTTTGCAAATGTTCGTAAAGTTGTTGTTTTTGACGTGAAATCTCTCAAAGCTTTCCGTAGTAACATGTCCCGGCCATGCTCGATAGGATTTAAGTCTCGCGACTGTGCAAGCCTGTCCAAAACTTGAGTATCGTGGTCTCGGAGAGTGGCTGACACTAGGATTTGGATAGGAACATTATCGTGCATGAGTAGAAATTTCTGTCCTATTTGGATTCTGTGTGGGACAAAAACAGGCACTACTACCTCTTCGTGGTATTTTTGTGCAATCATACTGCCTTGAATCCATACGAGCTAGGTTCGTCCGACTAGACGAATTCCTGCCCGCACCATGATTGTCCCGCCTTGGTATGGGTGGATTACCTGAGGGTGCCGTAGACGTCTAACTCCCGTCAGAGTTCTCCAAACGCGTGTTCTCCGTGAATCCAGATAAAAAAGAAAAAGCACCAAAGACCATTCTTCGTTACTCTAGTTAACTGCACCCGAGCCCACGAAAGCCGCCGATCGCGATTGCCACGTCGCAATGCTGGAACACGTAGCGGTCTTCGAGCATGAAGACCAACTTCATGCAACCTCTTTCGCACGATTTCGTCGCTTACCAGCTTCTAATGGTCCTCCTGGAGCTTTTGTAGTAATTGCATCGCTGTTTGGAGAAATCGATCATGTCTCTGCGTTGTAACAAGATATCTACCCGTGTGCCGATCAGCCACGTCCCCAGTGCTGCGATAACGTGACCACAACTTTGATATCACGTTTAGGCTGGTGTGTAGAGCCTCAGCAACGACGCGTTGAAATGCACCATCTCCTAATATTCCCACGGCTACTACCATTTCATCTTGATTCAAATGACGACGTGACACGACTCTTAAAGCACACACGGCACGTTAAATTAAAAAAGAAACACAATCCTAATCCCTTTTCCTTAATTAATATCAGTAGAAAATTTTTAATTTTCCTTAAGGTAATGAATTACTAACAATTCTACCGCCGCATTTTTATTTTAGTAGTAGTAAGTTTTTTTTAAGTTGTAATAAATAATTTTGAAAATAGGATAAAAGAGGTTTTCATCTGTATATTCATTTCATCTGTATATATAAACTAGAAAATATGAAACTAAAAACATTTTAAACTATAATGTCGTAAATAATTTAGGATTATTGTATTCCTAGATGTTGATGTGCTTATTACGCCACACCCTTCCTCCAAACGAGGAGGAGGAGGTTATTGATGGTTGTATCGTTGGATCCCCCATAGATCCTGGAGGAGTACAGTGAGCGCGTGGGCCCCATGTCAGTGGTGCTATTTGAGGACTGCCTGGAGCATTTGACGCGCGCGCATCGTGTGCTGCGCATGCCGCAAGGGCACCTCCTGCTGGTGGGCGTCGGTGGCTCCGGCAAGAAGTGCATCTGCCGCCTGGCCGCCTTTGCTGCAGGTAACCAACACCTCATGCTGGTAGGCGTCGGCGGCTCCGGCAAGAAGTGCATCTGCCGCCTGGCCGCCTTTGCTGCAGGTAACCAACACCTCATGCTAGTGGGCGTCAGCGGCTCCGGCAAGAAGTGCATCTGCCGCCTGGCCGCCTTTGCTGCAGGTAAACACCACCTCATGCTAGTGGGCGTCGGCGGCTCCGGCAAGAAGTGCATCTGCCGCCTGGCCGCCTTTGCTGCAGGTAAACAACACCTCAAGCTAGTGAGCGTCGGCGGCTCCGGCAAGAAGTGCATCTGCCGCCTGGCCGCCTTTGCTGCAGGTAACCAACACCTCAAGCTGGTGAGCGTCGGCGGCTCCGGCAAGAAGTGCATCTGCTGCCTGGCCGCCTTCGCTGCAGATAACCAACACCTCATGCTGGTGAGCGTCAGTGGCTCCGGCAAGAAGTGCATCTGCCGCCTGGCCGCCTTCGCTGCAGATAACCAACACCTAATGCTGGTAGGTGTCAGTGGCTCCGGCAAGAAGTGCATCTGCCGCCTGGCCGCCTTCGCTGCAGGTAACCAACACCTATTGCTGGTAGGTGTCGGTGGCTCCGGCAAGAAGTGCATCTGCCGCCTGGCTGCCTTTGCTGCAGGTAAGCAACACCTCATGCTAGTGGGCGTCGGCGGCTCCGGCAAGAAGTGCATCTGCCGCCTGGCTGCCTTTGCTGCAGGTAACCAACACCTCATGCTAGTGGGCGTCGGCGGCTCCGGCAAGAAGTGCATCTGCCGCCTGGCCGCCTTTGCTGCAGGTAACCAACACCTCATGCTAGTGGGCGTCGGCGGCTCCAGCAAGAAGTGCATCTGCCGCCTGGCTGCCTTTTCTGCATGTAACCAACACCTCATGCTGGTGGGCGTGGGCGCTCTGGCAAGAAGTGCATCTGCCGCCTGGCCGCCTTCGCTGCAGGTAACCAACACCTCATGCTGGTAGGTATCGGTGGCTCATGTGAAATTTTATTACTATCGGTTTAGTCATTCAGGGGATAAGTCCAGACGGACAGTCGCTTACATTTTGTGTATGTATTTGATGATCACCTAATGCCGCTAGTAGACGTCGACGGTAATGGCATCTCTATGTTGACAACCTTCTTCTTTTTACCTATGCGCAAAACTTTACCTTTGGGCCTTAGTCGTGACATCGATTGTTAGTCGTTGGAATGGCGTTTGTTGTACCAAAAGTCTCAGATTGGGAAAGTATACCAAGTTTTTCTCCTAATGTTACCCCCACCTGATTAATCGCTCTTAATTGATAGAAGATACTGGTAATGTTCTACTGACCTGTTTTGTACACGACACCAAGTTTTAATTCGAAACTAGATTTTTCACACAAGACACAAAAAAGTCGTAAGCCCTTCTCAATGAGGTCAATCTTTTGAGTTTAAGTAAATTTGAAGCGAAAATTCTTACTCAAATAACTTCGTGTTTTGGTTCTGAGTTCAAAGAGGTTTTTGCTTCTAATATAATATGACGTTACTTCCAAGGCCCTTACTATAAACTTTACTATCTGTTAAATTTCTAAAATTTCGCAATAATTGTCGAATTGTACTATAATGAAGCTACAAAATAGTAAAAGTACCACTGCCAAATATTTGCAAACTAAATCATTAAATTTGTAAAAATAGGCCAGTCATTTTCGATAACAATAATTGTATTTTACAAATATGTTTTTCTCATAAAAAATTAATAATCACTAGTTTAACGTAATTATTTAGTATTAGTTAGTTTTTATTTTATTAAACTCTTATAAATATTTCGATGCAGATGATAGCATTGTTTACAAACTTTTGTAATTCAGATAATAATCAAAAACAAATATAAAATTAATTGCCCAAATCGTAGTACTATTTTACAATAATGTGAACTCATCACTAAAATTCTGCAAAATTGTAAATTATTGCCTGTTATGTTAAAACCTTTATTGGAGAGAAACATTTTAAATTGTTGCTAAAATTCTAAAAATATATAAATTTTCCACCATTATAGTTTTGTAAATTTTAATTTTTATTATTTGTAACTATAAATTGTTTTTGCCTATGTTTCAGGCTGCGAAATGTTTGAGATCACGATAACGCGTAACTACAATGAGAACACTTTCAAAGAAGACATGAAGCGCCTCTACAATCAACTCGGAGTCGTGGGGAAACCGACTGTGTTCCTCTTTACAGCATCACAGGTTTGAAAATTTGTTTATCTAGCGTAACCTAAAAATTTCTTACATATTTTATTGTAATAAAAGAGGGACAGATAATAAATAATTTTAATTATTTAAAAGAATTATTTAATTTTAATGGACTGATTAGCTGATTATGTTAATTAATCTGTATTATTTTTCATCATCATGAGTTACTACTACGAGTTTCCTATTACCTACCTTAAGTATGATTCAAAAATCATTTCGTCTTATCAAATCGTCTCTGTATAGTAAACGATCTTTTATCTTATTTTACTGTTCATCATCAACATTATAGCCTGAAGTCAACTGCTAAACGTAGGTAGCCTCATAGAAAGATGCCTTTACTTAAATAATAAGCAACTATTGCTTATTATCTAAGTAGTAATCAGAATGATGCTGATGCACATCTGTTCAGTTTTCCTCGGTCGCTACGAGTACTACACGGCGAATTGGTCATGGGTTTAGATGTAAAAATTTGACAGGGGTATTTTTGTAATATTAAAGAGCGTTACACAATTTGTATATTCGTTCTCACCAGATACTGGAGGAGGGTTTCTTAGAGCTGATCAACAACATGTTGATGATCGGTATGATCCCGGCGTTGTTCGATGATGACGAGAAGGATGCCATCATCAACTCACTGCGCAACGAGAGCTACGATGCGGGCTACGGGATCGGCAAGTATGTCCATATTATTACTAATTAACTTTAACATTTTTTTTTCTTATGAATGGTACCATTTAATTAACGGACTTTAATACCTTTGGGCTTTCCCCATTCGGAGGTAAGTATTAAGATCAGAGTTCAAATATTTTATAGACACTCTTAAAACAAAAATCGCGATTTCAACCATTGCAGGAACCGTTTAATTTAATAGCATTTATTATTCTTTTTTTTCTCGTTTTTTAAACTGCCATCCTTACAGGATGTTTTAAATTTGACTGTATTTTAATTTTTATGGAATTACGGTGACAAATGAGCACACAGTCCACCTTATGGTAAGTAGATGCTGTGGTCCATAGACATCTTCATTTAACCTCGATTAAGAATCAAAATGCAGATGCGTTGTCACCCCTGAGGACTTACATGGAATGCCTCGATTCCAGTAAAACAGGTCTCCAGTTCTCTACACTCACCATACGAAACACAGCACTGTTCAGCTACTATTTTACGCTGGTATTCTGTGAGCGTGTGGTCTTAACCCCGGGGATTTTGCCATTGCTGCCGCGCTTGGTAGTGTTTTATAATTATGAGCTGTTATCAAGAAAATTATGCTATGCATATCTTGTTTCAATTGGCCCAAATCTATATCTACGACGTTCACGGGATACGTGATTGCGCTTTAGCTCACGACTCCATCAACGTAGTTGTCGGAAATAATATTTTTGTTGATATAATATTGTTTTATTTTAAATAAAACTTTTTACGGTCATTTTCGCGTTTATTTATTTTTAAAAAGTTTTACAGTCTCATCTTCAATACGTTCTACTAATGTGCATAGTTGGAGTTGAGTAATTTGAGTGATCGATAAGCTTTGAGAGGTGGATAAGCTATGTGGCTAATGTTCAGCAGTGCACTTGTAAGTGTCTGCAATGATAACAAAGAATAACCATAGGTCTTCTCTCATTTCAGAGAGAATAATAAAGTAATTATTTCGCCGCAATGATTTAGTGTGTGGTGGCAGTCTTCAAAATTCTAAAAAAAAATAATTAAAAAATTAATCATAATCGGTTCAGCCATTTCGAAGATTAGCCCGGACAGACAGACAGACAGACCGAGAGACACACAGAACAAAAATTTTAAAGTGGTTATTTCTGTCTTAATAATATACAAATAACCCTCATCATAGCCAGTTATTTCAATATTATAGACAGATACTTCAATTTTTATATGTATATACAGGGTTATTTCACCCCTGTGTGAGCCGACCCTTTCGAGCTACAACCATAGTATATACCACGTAATATTTTATATATTATCGCGATATTTTCGCCAGTTGTGAGACGATTTTAATGATTTTTTTAAATTAAATTGGCTTATGATGTTTTCCTCGTTGAGATGGTATGTTCTACGTAAATCTTGCTTTAAGAGCCCTCTTACATTTCGGCGTTACGCAAATTTAGGTATTTTAGGCTCCGAGCGGGCAATGACCTACGCGAGCGATATTTTATTTCTATATCTATTTTCATTCGCTCGCATTATGATACATGCTAATGTAAGTATAGCGACTAAACGATCTTGATCTTCCATTATACAAGTTTTCTTAGGATAGAGTTCAGTGGATGGAAAATTTTTGGTGTGTCATTTTTATGCTATCTGAATTTATATATCAAAATATGAATATGTAATAATAATATGTGAAGTTAATAATCTCGTTTACAGACTTGTATACACGGCTAGAATGCTCAGCGTCACACGTGTTCACGCCAATAATGATAAATGTCCATCGCCTCACAATGCCCGTCATCTAGTCAATTGATTTCTCAGTCTCGATACGTCTGAATTTCAAGCAGGGAAAAACATCTTGAAATTAAAGTTGCTTCTCCTTCTGATTGTCATGAAAAATCTCAGATTTTGTCTCAACCTCGGAAGCTGGAAATGGAGAACCCAGCACACAAAAAGAGATCTAAAGTCTTTTATGATAAAAAAAAGAAGCTCGTTTGAGGGCAGGCGGGATGCCACAACAATCGCGATACAAATTTCTCAAAAATCTTCCTTGCTAAACATAACTACCAACGACATTTATTACAAAAGGCAGCTTAGTTATATTATGTTTAATGCTCATGTCCTTGCTGATTCCTCATCTTATTATCGGATGATGTAGCCTCTCATCTCTTTAAATTTATATGCCATGAAATGGATATGCAGGGCAAGATTCTTACGATTTTCTGTGACTCGTGTGACGGTCAAAATAAAAATTACACCATTTTTAGAATGTTACACTACATGGTTCAGTGTTGTAATCGCTTGGAATTTGTCAGAGTAATATTCCCGATAAGAGGTCACTCCTATATGGAATGCGACCAAAACGTGGCCTTTATAAATCAAAAGGCTAGGATTGAACTCCTTAAAGAATGGGCTGAACATATACGTGGAGCTCGAGAGAGACCGAAATCTTTCATTGTCATTGAATGTTTACAAGATGGATTCAAGGGCTGGACTGCATTTCTAATACCGTTTTATAAAAAAAACTTGTCCATTTCCCATAAGACCTATACGTGAATTTAGAGTCCAGAAAGAATATCCGTGGCTCATGTTACGCAGAAATTTTAGTAATAGTCAATGGGAATCAAGTGTGGTTAACACACCAGCTTCTTTACGATCTACGAAGGTAGGTGCCTTTAAAACTGCAGTCTTCAACAGATTTGACAGCATACAAGCAACTGGCAGACAGATCACCAAACGCATGCGGCGGAACTTACGCAATTTTAATATTACTGGCATTGAAGAAACGATCGAGCGAAACCAGGGCTCCAAAGTCTTTGCCAGATAGAACCAACTGTCAAAGCTGAATACCGAGTGTGGCAGCATCGTTTCCGGGACAATTGAGATTTTGAGGGAGATTGAGAGGTTCTATGGCAGCTGCACACATCAGCGTTGGAGCCACAAGCAAGTGTTGAGTAACGATCCAAGACCAAGTGTTATCCGACATTATTCCGATGATATCCCGGACGTCCTTCAATGAAGGAAAAATTAAATATCCTGATTTAGTTTATCAAGACAAGCTGACTATATTAACAGCGAAATATTACGGCTTGCAGTGTCTGAAAAAGTTCTGTAGGCCTAAAGCAAAATCAGAAGATAACTAAACCAGTTATTTGGACAACTATCATTATTGACCATGAATGCAGAGTGGACAGTGATCATTATAGTCCTGATTTTTGAATACTTACTTAATATTATGTTATTTTTATTTAGTTTATAATACCCAAAGAATAATTATTTACCAAAATTATAATATTATAAAACCTATTCTTTAACTAGAATTAAAATTATTTCTTATCTTTAAATCTGACTTATTTCTATCGTTTTACCGTTTATAAAATTTAAACCTAATTATTTTAAAACAAAGAAAAAAAGGACATTTATCATTATTGCAGTGGACCCTTCATCTATTAACGGTAGCATAGTGGTATAAATAAATAAATAGTACGGTTGCAACCTGTTTTAATAAATAAAATAGCCAACTGTAACGAATATTTTTTTAATCGGTGCTTACAGACAATTACCATATTTTTTATTATAAAAATATTTGCCGCAACGGCATTGACCGAGCTTATTTCGAGTCAATAATTTCGCTTAATTTAATTTAAACGCTTGTAACTTGGGTAACATATTCAAAATTCAAAATTTGACGTCTTTGTAGATTTTTAGTACTTTTACTGCATAATTTGGGCCAGTCCATATGGCAAGCATGCAGACATTTTATTCTCCATTGTTTTTTCCAGAGATAGGAATTTTTTTTTCCTTTAGTGACACATTGATACTTGTATTTATTTTTCCCCTTTCCGCCTGGTATCCTTACCTTAGCTCAACTACTACTACAACTACTACTACTACAATCAAAATAACTATAATGAGTTAACTATCTGGTATAATAATAATGTGCGAACTTTATACTAATTGAAATACATTCCAACGATTAAAAATTGCGGGCGTAGTTGACGACGCTCCAGAACAAAATAGCAGCGCCGCGGTCACCGACGCACACTACGATAATATCAATAATAACGAAAAATAAAATGACACTGGTCCGACCTCGAAGCCGCTGGTGCGGTAGTGAATTTAGATGGCCTGGAATTTAGAGAGAATTTAGACGCAGTGAAATATATGGTACTTTTATTTAATTAATTAAAAAATAATAGTACCGATTTAAAAAGTAAAAATCATAGTATAGTTTAAGCAAATGATGATTATTTTGGTATAAATTTTACATCAAAATGATGTAGAACTTAGGAGATATTGGGGCTTGCATCGAGGCTTTTTTGGTAGATAATTGAATTATATCGATTTTTTTTCCTTACGTGAAAAGCATATAACGAAAATGTATTTTATCATTATTAAAGTATAGGTAGTATAGTATATTTGTGATATAAAAATATTTTTTTGATGATCGATATTCAAATAGAATCTACAAATTAAAGCTCCCAAATCATGTCTCTCAGAGTTTTGGCTTAAACATGCATCGAGGATATGATTATTACTAAATAAATAAATAAGTTATCTCAATTTTGCCTTGAGCTAATAAGTTCAATAGTAGTAGAGAAAAAAAAAGCTACAATAGTAGTAGAGAAAACGAACTGTTTTACCAAGTAATTATTATTTCAAGCAACGAACGGAAAACATATAATTTCAACGAGGAAACCTTTTAATTTCGCGATTTATGTAAAACTCCTCTTAATGGATTGCTGATCGATTTCAAGTACCACATATAATGTAGTGTGTAGTACCATACTATAGTGGAATGATGTTAAGCGCAGACAGTTGAGCTGGGTAACATTTCTAAAAAAATACTCATCAATCTTTACCTGCCTATAGGAAATTGAGTAGTTGCCACCATACTATATTTATTTGACTAACTGTAATTTCTTTTTAACGTTATAAGCGTGTTCATTATGTTTGTCTTCAGAGACTCTGTATGGAATTACTTCTGTAACAAGTGTGCTGAAAATTTGCATATCGTGCTATCGATGTCGCCTAGCGGTGATATTCTGAGAAACAGGTAAGTTTGACGCAAATTTTTTTTCTACAATTAATTTTTTATACTTTTATAACTTTTTTCTTACTCTTGTAAATATGTTAATTTGTATACTTTTGTAATAGAGGTACAATGGTAAGAGAAGTTGTATAGAGATCTGGTTTCAATTTCTGTTTAAATAAACGTACATTTCACAGCAAAACATGTAAACAGTTTGTACGTAAAATGAAATGGAAGATTCGAAGATAGAAGGTGGAATTGCCCTTTAAGTATTGCCCCGGACCTAAACTTTTGATACTTTCTACTGCTATGATTTTATTTCTATATCATCCCGTCAAAGTCCATTCAAATTTAGATTTGACGTGATAGCCACGTTTGGCAAACGGATTGGCAATGCGGAAATAATTTTATAACCTTTTGAATAGTTGTTATCTCTTGTCTCTTATATGCTTAAAACACGCACACTACTAAATGTTCTGATCGTTTCTCTAAAGTCGCCATTACACTTGTACTTTATAAGAAGAATGTAGAAATCTGATTGTGAAATATTAATCAGGCCTAATTTTAGGCAATTAAATTTCAACTTAATAAAAATCTTGAGATCATTAATTAGATGATTGCGAATGAGTTTATAAATCAATTTGTATCCGTTGCTTTATTTTCTAATATCCATTCCCCCAGGTGTCGCAGCTTCCCCGGCCTCGTCAATAATACAACGATCGATTGGCAGTTCCCGTGGCCCAAGCAAGCGCTCTTGGCCGTTGCAAACGTCTTCCTGGCTGATGTATGATATTTTTGATATTATATTGTATTCCTTATATATCTCTATGGAACTAAAAAAGTAAAAGTAAATCTCGATTAACTTATGTTACATTCCATTGTGTGCCAAACACTTATATAAGCTTCCGTAGGCGGCATCCAAAATTATATAATAAGCAACTAAACTTCATTCTCGTATCATTAAACATATTTCAAGAACATGTAAACCTATATCAATTAAAAAGGACCCACACCGAAAAAAGGAGTTTCAATTCTCATTCTTTCTATAAAAATCCAGTGCTGAATATAGGTTTCCCCATATATTGTCTCATAGGAGGAGATATCTGCCTTGGCAGGAGGCCGGGCAACCACTGTTATTGAATGATTAATTAAATTGTTGCCAGGAAGATGGTGCTGCCCATCCCCTATTTCATTTCCCATTGTTGCCTGTTACGATACTCATGCTACGATTAGGGGTAGTGGATTACTACAATGGTTTTGTTTTGTTCATAAAATTTATACTATTTACCTGTCTTCAATTATTATTTAATGTTGAGTTCAGATATAATGTAGTGTAACTCTATTACATACAACACAACCTATTACTTACTTTACGTACTAATCAATAAAGTACATTATACAAGTAGTTGATATTCATATAAATTGAAATATTTTACAAACTGTCAAAATGTTACTTTTCTTGAGAGCGTAGGGTAAAAGTTAATGTTGTCATAGTATCATGTTGTGAAATAAACATCTATTAGCATCATAAGCCCTTGGAAGCCCACTGCTGGACTTGGCCCTCTACCGGTGTAGTGCGGATTGGTCTTAATCGTCAAGCTTAGGAAGTGGATTGACAATCACAGTATCAGACATCTTGCACCTTTGAAGCTGCTACCCGTCGCCGTTCTAAGCTTTTTACGTCTGCTTATATTGCCATCTATCAGTAGTCATAAGGCTTTTTAGCCTAATCGTTAGATGCGAAAATGGGCACATTGTCGCCTCTAACGACTTCATGAGACGAAACACTGGTAGTGGATTTTCCTATTCCGCCACCACACGGCAATGGCACTTTTTTAAATTACGATTACCATTATAGATTATCAAAAATCGACTGCAAAACATATTTGCCATGGTTGAAGCGCTGCCAGGGTTGGCAGGGTTTTATTTTCATACAGATGTTATCAGAAATATGCTGCTGCACGTCTCCTGGTTCAGTTTCAATCTGTCGCCTCTTACGACACCTACGGGGTGGTCTGGGTTAGTGGATATTCCTACACCGCCACTACACGGTACTTTACATAATTTTAAATAATAAAAATCTAGATAATTGCACTTGAAATAGAAAATGACCAAATATAACAGATACAAATTATATTATAATGTTATTTATAAATGATGGTGTCAACCATAGAATAGAACAATACAATAGAATATAATACATACATAAAAGAACGGGGGAGAGGGCGGAGCCCGTGTAGCCACTAAAATGCCACTAACACGTCAATTCACACGTATAAATGTCAACACGAGATGTGTTTTGACGTTACAATCGTTTCCAAATTTCGCATGCAAATTATTTAGAAATGCCAAATTGCACGCTATTTACAAATAAATATGTATTAAAATCCGTCTGTCAACACAGCGAATCGGGTTTGTTTTAGTAATTAACTTATAATACGACGTAATTGCTTGTATGTCTGCTCCCAGCGACTCCGAATCTGGTACAAAATAAGTCTGACAGCCATTCTATTGTGCGAAACTTAAGTCCATTACTGAACCTTCTCCAAGAAATATCAACTACACAAGTAGCAAAAACGAACATTAAAAATATTAAAATAATATACAGGTGAAAAAAATCCCCGATGAGTTCCGGAGTATAATAGTTGAGCACGTGGTACACGTGCACTTGTCTGTGGCGCGTTACTCAGCCGAGTTCCTAGCGAGGCTGCGCCGCAACAACTATGTCACGCCCAAACACTACATGGACTTCCTCAACGGTTATATCTCGCTTCTCGGTGAGAAGGACGCTTTCATCGTAGCGCAGGTAAGTCGTTTTAGGTCTAGGTAGGTATTCTTTTCTGTCCTGTCTTAGTAGGCACAACCGTATTGATCGTAAAGTTTATTGACCAAATTGGCGATACATTAAAGATGAGTCAGATTAAGAGAACCCTTAACCGACGAACACGTAGGCATAGGTACTATAATATGTAGTATCGTAGTATATTTCAGTAAATTGTACTGTTACGAGCTTGAGGTTCGTGACAATAAAAATTGCCGATAAAATTACCTAAATTAACACTTTAATTTACTTTACACAAATTAAAGTTAAAAACACTAACAATTAAACACACTAATTCACTTTATTCCGCTCCGAAGCTTCGCTTGTCTCGCCAAATCAACACTGCCCCGATCGCATCTTGCAGCGCCTATTTATTAGCAAAGAAATATCCAGAATGTTCAGGTAAACACGCGCAAGGTACCGAGCGTTCGAGTTTCGACTAGGCGCTGTCGGTTGAAAGATTTGTGATGTCATTTTCTGCAAAGCTCCCCTCGCTCTCGTTCCTGACACTAGATGACGCTAGTGTATGACGTTGAGCGCGTAACACTGCCCCCTCCTAAGACATGCTCGTCCCGAGCATTATCGGCCCCATAATAACGCGCCAGGCGATCCACATGGACGATCTTAGGAGTCCCTCTTGCGCCTTTCTGTAACGGCTTCGCAATGTCAAGGGATGTCCTATCCCGTGGTGCACCAACATTGTACAATTTCGATGCTCCTCTACTCCGTGTCTGAGGTCCCCTCACAGCCGCACAACTTGTACATGTACGACACCAATCCTCGACATCGTCACGATAATGGACCCAGTAAAACTGTTCTCGGACCTTCAGTAGAGTTCGTTTAACTCCCAGATGGACTCTTGAACGACCATTATGGCACAGCTGTAGAACATTCGGCACTTTAGCTTTAGGGACAACCATTTGCAAACGACAGCTGTCTCCTCGACCATTGTCCCATTTACGGCACAGGACTCCATCCTGAATCAGCAAGCTGCCCCATTGGGCCCAATAGCTTTTCGTGGTTGAACTCATCGCTGAGACGTCCCTCCACTTAGGATTGGTAGCACGGGCCTGCATCCATCCCAGAATCGGCTTGATGTCGGGAGCTTCCTGCTGTGCATGTCGTAGGCTGTCCTTCCACCCGTTGCTGAGGTGGTCTGTCCTGAGCATCCTCACGGATACCACTTCCTTATTCTCTTGCCTACTACAATGGTTGCAATCTCAGGACAAGGTCTTCTTGACGATGCATCTGCGTTGCCATGAGATTTCCCGCTGCGATGTCTGATAGTAAAGTCGTATCCCGGCTGCTGCTGGGCGGTGATGTTAGCCGCACTTCCCTTCTGAGATCGTTCACCTCCCCTTTCTACGGTTCGCTTAGGGCAGCTGGATCGAAGATGGCCCTTTTCCCCACAGCCATAGCACCTAGGGCTGAATCCTTTATTATGGTCGCGAACCGTAACTGCTGCAACCTCCCTAGCGCGAGGGGAACGACGATCCGGCCACCGCCAGGCGGTGCCGTTAGCTGCACTACCCTCTCGAGATCGATCAACTCTCCTTTCTACAGTTCGCTTATGGCAGCTGGAGTGAAGATGGCCCTTTTCCCCACAGCCATAGCACCTAGGGCTGTATCCTCTGTTGCGGTCGCGAACTGTAGCTGCTGCAACCTCCCTGATACGATGGGAACGATGATCCTGCCGCACGGCTTCCACCTCCAGTGCATGGGCCAAGGCGTCCTTAAGCGTCTCGTGGTGCCCGAGCCTCACAGCAGCTCTGACTTCCAGGTAGCGGATGCCGTCGATGAATGTCTGCACCAGGATCCCTTCAATGAGCGTAGGTACAGACCGGTATGCTTTCCGCAGCAGCTTCTCCACCTCTAGAGCCCACTGCTGCAGGTTTTCGTTGATGCGTTGCACGCAATCTTTAAGCTACGCACGAAAGACATGTTCCAGGTGAGCGTCGCCATATCTCGCCTCCAATGCCTCAAGGAGTTGCTCATAAGTCACTTCCTCCCCGAGAGCTTCCAGAACTGTTAAGGCCTGGTCGCGCAGACCTAGTGTGAGAGCAGTCATGGCCTGACTTTTATTCCAGCCGTTCGCCTTCATAACAGCCTCGAACTGGATTTTGTAGGCTGACCAGGAAGAAGTCCCGTTGAACGGTGGCACTTTGAACCCACGTAGCGAAGGTGCAGTAGCTACTACGGGAGCTGTAGTTCCATCCCCAAGTTTGAGTTCATCCAGTGTTTTCTTAACTTGGTTGATTTGGGTCTCAGCTTCCGACAGGCGGTTATCATGTTGAGCAACCTTATCCTTCACCTCCCTTATCTCTTTCCCGAAGGTAGCGTGAAGGTCCTTTATGAGAAGCATCTGTTCTTCCTGGCCGCCCCGTAGCTGCTCTTCCAACCGACGGACCTGTTCCTCCTGTCGGCGAGCCTGTTCCTCCTGTCGGCGAGTCTGTTCCTCCTGTCGGTGAGCCTGTTCCTGTAGCATCGCCATCAGAGCACCTAAGTCAGGTGCTGCAGATGTAGGAGCTACTGACGGGCCCGCAGCCTCCGTGGCTGGCATTTGGCCCTCCAACGTCTGCGGCGTTGCACCACCAAATCTCCTCTGGGCCGTCTCCTGCTGGCGTTGACTTCGGGTACGGACACCCTCCATCTCGTCCTTAGGTAAAATCGGCATGATTTTATCCCACTTCTGACACCAATTGTTACGAGCTTGAGTTTCGAATCAATAAAAATTGCCGATAAAATTACCTAAATTAACACTTTAATTTACTTTACACAAATTAAGGTTAAAAACACTAATAATTAAACACACTAATTCACTTTATTCCGCTCCGAAGCTTCGCTTGTCTCGCCAAATCAACACTGCCCCGATCGCATCTTGCAGCGCCTATTTATTAGCAAAGAAATATCCAGAATGTTCAAGTAAACACGCGCAAGGTACCGAGCGTTCGAGTTTCGACTAGGCGCTGTCGGTTGAAAGATTTGTGATGTCATTTTCTGCAAAGCTCCCCTCGCTCTCGTTCCTGACACTATATGGCGCTAGTGTATGACGTTGAGCGCGTAACAGTACTATATATTATAGAAGAATAATATAGTACAAAAATACTATATTTTTATCTCTAATTCAATTACCGCGCTTTTTTGTATTAACTGTGATTGGAAGTCTAGGCGATGGAGAGGTGTGTCAAGATCGTGCTATATGGAATCTAGCCATATCTCTGCTTAACTTTTTGGGGCGACAGGTGTGTGTTTACGTTGTTATTTTTTAAGCACACGGGAAATACTAAAAAGAAGTAAGAAAAGAGTGATATTTGCGATGATGGTGATAATGTTTTCATTTTTTACCAGCTCTTACACGGCTGGTCATAAAGTGTTTCTTGCTTTATGAAGAATTTACCGCAATCGTCACGCACGGCAGGCTGTCTTTCGATCACAGTCTTCGGTCAACAAAAAGGACTAACTCCTGAAATAGAGGATTCCTAGTTCAGGTGCAAGGGTTCAATCAGAACCTGTATATCATTTTTATTTGGGCCTAGTAAATATATTAAAGTATTTTCGCCAGCAAGTCCGTAGTGAAAATTTGCAGTGCAATAAAATAAAGCATTTGGATTTCTAGTGCGAGCGCTTAAAGGGCGGCCTGGCGAAGATTGAAGAGGCCAATGTTCAACTTGAAGACCTTAACGCTAAGCTGGCTGTGCAGAAGGTTATCGTCGCGGAACAGACTAAAGAGTGCGAGGATCTTCTTAAGGAAATATCGACTGGTGAGCTACTTTAAGATTTGAATATATTTTTCAATAAACATTTGTATTGTGGTGTAGTGTATGATAAAAAATAAAATTACAAAGTAACGCCTGATTTTATTTTATGGGAAATTTTAGCTATTGTCAATTGTAATATTGTCCTACGTCCACTGCTGAACGTAGTCCTCACCCGCAGATTGCCTCTAGGAAGGACTTTTGCCATAGTTGCCACGCTTGGCAAGCGGATCGGCAACGGCAGTTTTTTATTATTTTGAGTTATCATCAGGATTATGTCGATATCCATCTTCTGTTTTGTTTCCCAATGTCGCCTCTTACCATAAATTATGATTACGTATAGATATATTTAACCATAATTCAAATTATGGGTATGTGTAGATATTGTTACGAGCTTGAGGTTCGTGACAATAAAAATTGCCGATAAAATTACCTAAATTAACACTTTATTTTACTTTACACAAATTAAAACTAAAAACACTAATAATTAAACACACTAATTCACTTAATTCCGCTCCGAAGCTTCGCTTGTGACGCCGAGTTCAACTCTACCCTGATCGCATCTTGCAGCGCCTGTTTATATAATTAGCAAAGAAGCGTCCCGAACATTCAAGTAAATGCGCGCCAGGCAACGAGTATTCGAGTGTAGATTTTCCAGAAACTTAGTTCTTCGGGTGGCGCTGTCGGTCGAAAGATTTGTGATGTCATTTACTGCAAAGCTCCCCTCGCTCTCGTTCCTGACACTAGATGGCGCTAGTGCTCCGATTTTAGCGCGTAACAATATCATTACAGCCCCTCACAAGTCCACTGCTGAACACAGGCCTGCTTCAAGTCACAAAGCCCGGTCTTGAGCCGCGTGCATCCATCGACTTCTTGCATATCTACCATTTCGTCACGTTCGTTGTGGGGGCTGTCCTACATTTCATCTACCGTTACGAGTCTGTAACTCGAGAACCTTTTTGTGTAGATAAACTTAATCATAATATGTAGTTCTTAAATATTTGCAATCTTTGTACAGCTACTGACGCAGCGGTAGCCAAACAGCAAGTAGCAGCAGAGAAGAGTCAAGAGATCACGGAACAGAGCAAAGTGATAGCAGAAGAGAAGTCGGAAGCGGAGGAGGTGCTGTCTGCGGCCTTACCAGCGCTAGAGGCCGCTAGACTTGCGCTCTCCGACTTAGACAAGAACGACATTACTGAGATACGTTCATTTGCTACGCCACCCGAAGCTGTGCAGGTGTCATTTTACTGTCTTGTATTGTGAAATCTAATTTTTTTAATGGGATAGGGTGACAAACGAGCACACAGTCCACCTGACGGCAAGTGGTTGCTGCGGCCCATAGTCATCTACATCTATCCTCGATTACGAATCAAAATGCAGATGCGTTGTTACCCGTGAGGACTAAGATAGAATGCCTCGTTTCCAGTAAAAAGGGTCTCCTGTTCTCTACACTCACCATACGAAAAACAGCAGCGTTAAGCTCCTATTTCACGCTGGTATTTTGTGAGAGCGTGGTCCTTCTCCGGTCGAGCCGACCCATTCGTGCTACAACTATACTTCTAATATAACTGCAGCATGGCTCTACCACGTATAAATTGATTATCGTACTTCGTTTCGACGTATGGATTGATTCAAATTGATTGATGAAAATAAACATTATAAATTAAAAAACTAGCTTACATCTTCGAATACAGTGTCAAAGTCATTATGACCTAAAAATATAAGCGTCAGATTGTGCTTTAATGTCTTATTAATAAGGGTTTTAATAGCGAAAATGAGTGTTTACCCATGAGTGGCAAACGAAACTTTTTCATTATTCAATATAAGTCGTAGTGCATCTAAAGAAAATATTAATCCATCATCATCATTACAGCCATTCACAAGTCCACTACTGAACATAGGCCTCCCCCAAGTAATGCCACAAAGCACGGTCCTGAGCCACCTGCATCCATCGACTTTATTCATGTCTTACCAAGTCGTCACTGCATCTAGTGGGGGGTCGCCCTACACTATGCCTACCGGTACGAGGCTGCCACTCGAAAACCTTTTTTCCCCATCGGTTGACTTCAAGTGCCTAACTTAATTACACGCAAGGCAGGGGTTGATCTAATAAAACCAAACTTAAATCCCACAAAGTGGTGACTCGTAGCATTCACCAACCCGCCTGCTCAGTATGGTATATCTGAAGACATGTCTCAATGCGATAGACTCATAAGGCTGAAAAATATCTTACAAGTAACGTAAAAAGTGAATATTATGTACATGCCAGGAAAATCTAGTAGTTTCTGATATATAATAGAATGATCATTTCCATACCAAAAATAACGTTTATACTGTTGCGCGCTATAATTAATGCCCGGTATATGGCGGGTGTTTATTAGCGCCATCTAGTATCAAGTAACAGAAATAGGACCGTCGAGATCTTTCTATAACTTTTTCACTAGCGCCATCTAGTGTCGATTAGCGAGGGCTTTCTGTAGGATTCTTTGCTAGAACTGTCGACATTCTACTCGAACATTCTAGATGTTTTCGGTGGAAAATGTCCTATATAAAGTCGGTAAGGAGCGCGACCGGGGCAGTATTGAATTGGCGATACAAGCGAAGCTTCGGAGCGAAATAAAGTTAACTAAAGTGATTAGGTTTTAATTGTGTAATATTGTTGGTTTAAATTTTGGTAATTCAATCGGCAGTTTTATTGTCACGAACCCTAAAGCTCGTAACAATACTGATAGTAGTATTTATAAATTTGAGTGATAGGTAAAAACAAAAAGCGTAACTAAAAGAAAATATCTTGTAAATATTTGTTTTTTGTAGGTGGTATGTGAATGTGTGGCCATTATCCGTGGCGTAAAAGACGTGAGCTGGAAAGGTGCAAAAGGCATGATGGCCGATCCGAACTTCCTTCGCAATCTGCAAGAAATGAACTGCGATCTGATAACACAGGCGCAAGTAAAGGCCGTCAAGGCGCATATGAAGAAAAGCAAGAAACTGGAGACAATGCAACAGATTAGTAAAGCCGGGTACGTGTTTGTTTACTCTGTTACGGCATACTTATATTATGCTTGATGAATTAAATGCTTTAATTTTTATATATTTTGGCTAATTAATTCTCCGCCTTAACTTAATATAAATCTTTTTGTCTAAACATTTTGACGACACTCCTAATTGTGATGTTGGGTTTTAGTAATTCAAATATAGTAGATAAACGTAGGTAACATAAAATACTGATAATTTTATGTTTAATGAAGTAAAGTTTACATAACTCCATTTGGTCTTAATTTGTTAATATTCGTAGACACTTCTTTTGTAATGTAAATAAAATTTACATCACATGTGTTTCCCCACAAGATGAGGCCATAGGAGAATACCGACTGAGCATGTGCATAGTAAGGGTCGATCCTCATTTGCCTTTCACAGTTCATTCTCGGTCTGATTTATTATAATGGAATGGGATCCGACCGAAATTTGACTGTTACCGTACGTGTGTGTTATGAATGCACACACATATTTTATACTTGATTATATTTTATCAGACCGAGAACGAACTGTGAACGGCGTTATAATGAGGATGGGCCCTAATAATATTTGACATATTTGATAAATGGTCTTGACACCGTCGTTAATTACTGCATCTTAAAATTTAAATTTGCTATTTTTAGTAATGTCTCATTTTTTATACATATATAGAATATTATATAAATACAAGCGAGCACATAGTCCACCTGATTGTAAGTAGATGCAGTTGCCCATAGACATCGACAGTTGTTCTCTGAGTTCACCCTTGAGGACCAGGATAGAATGCCTCGTTTCCATTAAAAAGGCCTCCGGCCAGCATTATTAAGCTGCGATTTTACGCTGTTTTTCTGTGAAAGCGTTATCTTTCCCCGGTCCAGTCAATCCATTCGTTCTGCAACCATAATATAGCTACAGCATGTCTCTATCACTTATTAAATAACATTATTTGAGTTGCTCTTTTAGAATAAATAAATTCAGCATCTAAAAGCCTGGTAAGCTACATACAAAAATTTCGTGTAAAAAAAAAGTAAAATTGCAGCATATATATGTCCCAATGCTGGGCACAGGCCTCTTCTCATTTCTGAGAGGGTTTTAGGGCAAGGAAGTGTCCGCCGCGCTGCCCCAATGCGTGTTGGGACTTCACTGTCTTCGAAATATTTTTTTCTTATTCTTCAGACAGGCAGGTTTCCTCACGATGTTTTCCTTCACCGCCGAGCACGTGGTAAATCAGCACTTAAAATTTCAATTAACGATTTCATTGGTGCCGGCGGGGATCGAACCCGAGTTACTCGCGTTCTGTTATATTTACAGCGAGCGTTAACCATCTGAACTACCACGTCTCTCGGCTAAAATGTGGTGTAGTTACGTATTTTTAATGCAATGTATAAAATGAACAGGTACGGTCTACTGAAGTTTGTCACTGCCGTGTTAGCGTACTGCGCAGTTTACAGAGAAGTGAAACCAAAAAAAGACAAAGTTGAAGCACTGGAAAAGGAGTACACAGAAGCCGTAAATTATTTGGCGTCATTGAACAGGGAGATAGAACGTTTGCAGAAAACCTTAGACGGGTTGAACAGTCGTTACGAAACTGCAATATTGAGAAGACAAGAGCTGCAAGAGGAAACCGATTTAATGATGAGAAGACTGATCGCCGCCGATAAACTGATGTCTGGACTGTCCAGTGAACAGAAACGTTGGACTGAGGACTTGGAGGCGTTGCATCTAGAACAGTCTCGATTGATTGGGAATTGTTTGCTTGCTGCGTCGTTTCTGAGTTACGCTGGACCTTTCTCTTTCTCTTTCCGCGATACGATGATTTACGAGGACTGGCTCGGTGATGTAAAGGAAAGGGGCATCCCACTCACGGAACCTTTCACTATTCAGAAGAATTTGACCAACGAAGTTGAAATAAGCAGGTAGATGGCACGAAAGTTATTCTTGTTTTAATTTTATTATCCGTCAATAGCGAATACAAAAATGATTGTTGTTTTCCCTATTTTGGCTAGTGTGCAGTGTGCACGCCTGCCGTAACTCCTAATAAGACTTCTGATCTTATATCACAATTGAGTTGTAATTATGTAGGTCAAATAGAATATATAACGTCTTCTTAAAATTAGTACGGCTGACATAAACTATCAAAAATTGCAGACCGAAATGAGCAAATATGTCATGTATGTAAAGTAACGCAAGGTATATATTTATTGAGTAGAGAAAAGCTTTTTTTTATATGATAAGGATGACAAACGAGTACACAGTCCATCTGATGCTAAGTAGATGCCGTGGCCCGTAAACATCTACATCTATACTCGATTACGAATCAAAATTGTTGCGTTGTTTACCGTGAGGACTAAAATGGATTGCCTCGTTTACAGTAAAATGGGTTTTCGGTTCCCTACACTCAACATACGAAACACAGCAGCGTTAAGCTGTTGTTTTACGCTGGTATTCTGTGAGAGCGTGGTCCTTCCCTGGTCGAGCTGACACATTCGTGCTACAACTTTACTACTAATATATGCAGCATGGCTCTACCGCGTATTACTATAGTAATATAGTAGTTGTATACACTTCCATTTGCTACAGTCCTGACAGACCTCTTTTGTTTCTTTCACGTCTATATATTATCTACGCATCCATTCTCGTCGCTTAAGAGCATTGAAGCAATCCATCTTAGTCCTCAGAGGTGTCAATGAATCTTCAGCCTTCTTTGTTTGAAGTTGTTCGCAGACATCCATAGACTAAAGTGGCTACTCACCATCAGGTAGGTTAAAAGTTCGATTGTCACTTAAATTTCATAAAATAACGGCTCCATACTCAATATTATTGGTCACCTGGATGGTGCCATACCATTATTTATATACATTCTTTTATAATGACACGAAATTTGGACATGGATGATAATCGCTTTGTTAGACTTGTTTATACGTTTTTTATAAAAAAAATTGATACCATTATAAATTATATATATAAAAATTTAAATATCGCCTTACATCGCTTTCACTTTTAGTTGGAACTCCGAGGGTTTGCCACCGGACGAACTTTCCGTACAGAACGGTATATTGACCACCAGGGCATCTCGGTTTCCGCTCTGTATCGACCCACAGACACAGGCTCTCTCCTGGATCAAAAAGAAGGAAGCTAAAAACAATCTCAAGGTATTTAAAAAAATAATCCTTTAAAGTTTTTATCTATCTATCGCATGTAACATAATATTTTACAAACTTTTCAGTCACACAGCATTACATGCAATATAATTTATATTAAAATAGTTTTTGTACTCTATATTTAAGTTACTACTACTATTATTATACTCCATACTTTATATTTTAATTTGTATATTTCTGCAGAACTTCTTATGTGAAACAGATTTTATCCTGAGGCTAACTATTAACAACTTTTTATAATAAAGCCGATAATGTAGGAACGATACGTCCCAAACCGACAGCAAGTTATATTTAGAATGAGCACAAGTTTTAGGGATTTAAATCCAGAACTCACGATATAGGCACGGATGCTAATCACTGAACCACAATATCGCCTCATAAAGTTAAAATACCTTTTTTTTGTTATAGAAAGACAAAGGCCCTTCTTTTCTATATAGTCGGTCTGGTGCTTGATTTTCTTATTCTTAGAAGTTTAGATCGTCTCAAAATTAGGCCGCCTAGAAAACCAACCACCGATTCAAACCTTATGGGATCCAGTTATGGAAGTTTTGGCCCAAGTCTTGCCTGTCATATCCAGCCCGGGCTTATTGTCTATAAAATATCATCAATATTTTTAAAATATGTATTTTTGCTAGGTTCTCTCTTTCAACGATCCGCAGTTCGTCAGGCAACTTGAGATGGCGATTAAGTATGGTATACCCGTGCTATTTCAAGATGTCAACGAGTATATAGACCCTGTGGTGGATAATGTGCTTGAGAAGAATATCAAAGGTACCGTAATGAAACATGCAACACTGTTCTAAGGTTACAAACGTGTTATTGGTAGTAGACCCATGCTGCAGCTAAATTGTGTTTGTACCATGAATCTGGGAATTCTGGGAAGGACCACGCTCAAAAGAGCAGCATATTGCTTCTGTTGTTGCGAGTGTCAAGTGTAGAGAACAGGAGAAATTCTTTACTGGAAACAAGGAATGTCTTGTTTCCAGTAAAACGTCCATACTGGGTGTTAATGTAAACACCTTTATCCTTGAAACCAGTGTTTTGGTTTCACTTATAGAACGTAAATTCAATGAAAAATAACAACATTTTTATTTGTAAAAATCTCAATTTTTCTTTAATTCCTCAATATTTGCCTGTCCTAAGCCAGGATGAAAGTATGAAGGAAAAGTTACATCACAGGTATGTGTACATACTGTGTTTTTATTGGAATGTGGTGTAGGTAGAGCGCGGGCGGTGATCTTTACAGTGATTAGGTCACTCGGGCGCGTAGGGTATCCATGAATTTTTACGGACGGTGTCGGACAGAAACTTTTTAAATTTTATGAAAGAAAAAAGCGTTTTTTTTTTAAATTCATTGAATTTACGTTCTATAAGTGAAACCAAACCACTGATTTCAAGGATAACGATGTTTACACTAACAACCTGTATATGACATTCCCTTTATTTTTTAATTTTCTATAGCGTTAACAATCGTAGAATGTCATCTTGGCTTACCCGGCCGGTAGAGCCGCGCTGCAGCTGTATTATGTTTGTAGCACGAATCAATCGGATCGACCTGGAAAGCACCACACTTTCACGGAATAGTAAAGTAAGTAAAAGTAAAGTTACAGCCTATATACGTCCCACTGCTGGGCACAGGCCTCCCCTCATTTCTGTGAGGGTTTTCCGAGAGTAAGTAGTCTGAGAGGGAGGGTTCTCACGGAATACCAGCGTGAAATTGCAGCTTAATTCTCCCGTGTTCATTATGGTGAGTGTAGAGAACCAGATACTATTTTTACTGAAAACAAGTTATTCCATCTTAGTCCTCAGGGGTGACAGCGCATTTGCATTTTGAGACTTAATCGGAGGTAGAATACAGATGTCTGTGGGCCACAACACCCCCTGACCATCAGGTGAACTGTGCGCCCGTTTGTCATCTTTATCTATAAAAGAAAAACTATTTACACTGCTCATTGTTCTTAGGTTGCTAACACTGATCACCTTATATAGGGTAAAATTAAAAGTGACCAACTGTCTAATATTTACCCGTTAAATGTATCTAAAAGATAAGTAAGTATCTGAGGGGAGAATTTTAAAACGTATAACATGTTTGAAGCTTCTCCGTGCTGCTGTTTATTTTATATTAGCAATCCGCCGGCCAAATGTGGTGAAAATCCTCATTCAATATTACGAAATCACGTCTAAGAGTAAAGTGTAAATAAATATAAATATTTTAATCTTGGTCCCAAAGTTTTATCCTGGACCCCCTGTTTATGCCCCTGCATAACCTTGGACCCAAAGTTGAGTCAAATATTTAGCCGTCCATAAACATATTTGTCTAGTGGAGAGCGGGCGTACATTCGTCATGTTGGGCAGCATGGAAGTGGACTACGACCCGAACTTCCGCCTGTACCTGACCACGAAGCTCGCCAACCCGCAGTTCAACCCGGCCGTATATTCCAAGGCCGTCGTCATCAATTATACCGTCACCGTTCAAGTGCGTACCGTTTGGAAAGTATTTTTGTGTCATAATCAAAGTTTGTTTATTGTTTTTTTATTATATAAATTAGTGGTAGATCTTGTGAATTCCGCTGGATAGTTTATTTATTTATTTATTTATTCTTTTTTTGTACACCACAATACAGAAACATCAATATAGTTAAAACTAATTAAAGTATGTACAATAGGCGGTCTTATCACTGAAAGTGATTTCTTCCAGACAACCTTTGCGTAGAGGAATGATGCAAACAAAAGTTACAAATAGAGGGGGGGCATACAAAATAATAATAATAAAACACAATAATACATACAAATAAAAGTAAGTGAAAGTTATATATAAACTATCATATAATAGATTAAATGAAAAGAGTAAGAGAAAGGTAAAGTAATTTATCTAATAGCGTTCTAAATAATACGATTTAACAAGAATTTTGAAAGAGTGAAGAGATTTAGCACGACGAATACGGAGAGGTAAGGAGTTCCACAATCGCACAGCGGTTACGGTGAAGGATTTCTTGAAAAAGGAAGAAGAGTGCAAAGGTGTAGAGAGAGAAAGATTGATGGAGGATCGAAGGAACCGATTATGGGTAAGAGAAAGATACTGGAAACGGTTTTTTAAATAAGGAGGAGTAGAAGGATTAAACAGCACACTATACAACGCGGAGGGAATGTGAGTATTCCTGCGAAGGCGGATCGGGAGCCATTTGAGCTGTTTGCGAAATTCGGAGATATGATCATATTTGCGAAGCCCAAATATAAATCTAATGCATACATTTTGAATGCGCTCAAGCTTATTCAGCTGCTCCTCGGTAATGTCAAGATAGCAAATATCAGCATAGTCAAGGATAGGCAGAAGAAGAGACTGGGCGAGCGTAACTTTAGTTGCTGTGGGAAGGAAATTACGTAATCTACGTAAAGAGCTTAACGCAGCAAACATTTTTCTACTGACCTCATTAACCTGTGAGGTCCAAGACATACAGGAGTCAAGATACAACCCCAAGTTTTTAACCTTGTTACTGTAAGGGATTAGAGTGCAGTCTAGTATAATAGGGGGTAGGGAAGACCAGTCAATTTTACCAATTAATCTAGAACTACCGATGACAATGACCTGAGTTTTCTTAGGATTAATCGTTAAACCATAACGTTTACTCCAATTAGAAATACAAGTCAGATCAGCGATAATAGTGTCAACTGCTTTAGATAGATCTTCAAGAGAGGACTGAGTATAGATTTGGAGATCATCAGCATACAAGTGGTAGGAAGAGGACAAATTATGACTTATAGAATTAATGAAAATTGCAAAAAGGAGAGGAGACAACACGCCCACCTTGTGGTACACCAGCAGCTGTAGTAATCCAGGTGGAAAAAACCTCTTGCACCTGAATTCGCTGTCGGCGACCAAACAAGTAACTTCGAAACCAGTCAACTACAGTTGGAGATATGTTGAGAGAGTGTAGGATGCTTAACAAGATATCAAAATCTACAGTATTAAATGCGTTACTAAAATCAAGCAACGTGAGAATAGTAAGCTTTTGTTTCTCCCTACCATAGCGAATATCATCAGTGATTTATAAAAGTGCAGTAGTCGTACTATGACCAGGACGGAAACCGGATTGCAAGGGATTTAAAAGATTGTGTTTTAAAAGATAGGTGCTTAATTGATTGTGCACAAGACGTTCTAGAACTTTGGAAAAGAAAGGCAAAATAGAGATAGGTCTATAATCGGAAAAACTAGAGGGATTTTACTTTTTCGGAAGAGGAACTACAAATGCGTCTTTCCAAGCTGAAGGGAAAAAAGCAGAATTCAGTGATTTATTCAGGATAGACGTGATTATAGGTAAAAGGAGATCAATGAGAGGGATGACCATTTTTCGACTAATGCAGTCACTACCAATCGAATTTGAATGGATGGACATTATGGCTCTCTTACAACTGTTAAATTGGCTAAAATTAAAAGCAGTGGTGTCCGGAGTGGGAGCTTTTGAAAGAGAATCTAAAGTATTATGTTTTGCTTTATCGTTAATGCAAGACGAAGATGAGAAATGCAAATTAAGTTGATTGAGATCAAGGTTATGTTGTGTGAGATTTTGTCGTAATTTCCCAACTCCTAAGGACTTAAGAAATTTCCAGACCTTAGCAGGATCAGGATCTTGTACTGATTCATGGATATGGCGTCGTTGTGCTTTTCTACACAGATTGTTGCAACGATTCCGTACTAATCTATACTTCTCTCTATTCAAATCGCTAGGAACTGACTTGTATTTAGCTTTGGCACAATTTTTAATGTGGATGATTTTTTTTATATCATCGGTCAGCCAAGGAGAGGGAGGATGCTTTACACGCACTAGACGAACAGGAGCATGAACGTCGTAAAGCTGAATTAACAGAGAGTTGAACAAAGCAACCTATTCATCAACAGTAGACGCATTGACGACTACATTCCAATCAATCTTTACAGCGTCATTTAAAAGCTGCTCCAAATCCAAGTCACTAAAGTTACGCTGAAGTAGTATCCTTGACTTAGCTTTAGGGGGACGGATTTTGTATGACAAGTATAAAAGGTCGTGATAGGAAAAAGAATCAGCAGCATGTTGCCCAAATTTAAGAACATGGTCAGGTAAAGACACAAACATTATGTCGACAAGAAAAGGGGCACAGTTCGGGAAAAAGTGTGTGGCAGAAGTAGGAAGAAGTTTTAAATTTGCTGCTTCAATAATAGATTTAAGTTTTATTGATCTAGCGTTGTTTTTTAAAAGACAGGTATTAAAATCACCCATAATAATACTGTGACAATAGATAGGTGTAAGATTGTCAAGAATATTTTCTAACGTGGTGAAGTAGTCGACAGTGAGAGAGGGACTGTAAAAAACTCCAAGAAGTAATTTTGTATGACCAAGAAAAACTTCGATAAAGAGAAATTTAGCTTCGTTTCCAGTCTGCGAACCATTTTTAAACTTGAATTACTGAAAAAGGTATATGTGAGCGCAGATAAATAGCAACACCACCACCGCCCCGATCGGTACGGTCGTTACGAATCTAATGAAAACCTGGAAGCGAGTAGGAAGTTGATGGAAGACATGGTTTTAACCACGACTCCGAAACAAGGATAGCGTGTATGTTTTTGCTATTAAAACTTGACAACATGTCGGGGTAATGAGCAGGAATACTTTGAGCATTTATGTGAATAGCGTTAAAGTTTTTGTTAGATTCAGAAAAAGTTTAATCTAACATAATATTTAAGGGTTCAATACTTTCAAAGCTGTCAATACTGCTTAATCCATCAGAGGCAGAATCAAAGGCGAAGGAATTGGAACTCCGAACACTATCATCTGAAGAAATCATATTAAATTATATCTGATTACTAAATATATGTAAAACTAAGTAAATATGTATTATTATATGTATGTATTATAATATATATAATTATAAAATAAATAATTCAAAAATAAATAAGTCATCAGTAAACTACCTGCCAGCATTATGGAAAGAAATGTTTAATTCACTTAACAATAAGTGAAGAAACGGAACGTTAACATACCATAGACACAAAAGTGAGAGATGTTAATGTCAGATGAGTCAAAGTGTCAAAGTTACAGTACGTTAACTAGCAATTATCTACCTTACAATATACTTTTATCACTAATACTAAACATTCCAAAGAAAGATTACAATAACAATTACCAACATACAAGAAAAATTATAACACTAAATAATAAACAATAAACATTCCAAAGAGAGATTATTAATCATTAGGTACATTTTACTATCTAATCTACAATTAACAAGGAAAAGTAATGAAGATATAATGATAAAAAAGAAAACTAAAATATGAAGTCCAGAGAAAAGTTATAACAGAATTACAAAAATTAATAAAATATAAAATAAAATTATTTACGAAAAAGTTCATTTTTTACCGGCCCTCTTAGTACGCTGTGGTGCACCTTTATCTTCGGGGGGCCTTATTTGCCTCAACCACAATAGGATAAACGGGTGAAGCAGAAGTTGACCCGTTGCATAATGCGTCAAGCTCAGACAAGGTCTCAAGTTGGTGCCTTGTGCCATCTGGAGTAAAGATATTGATAACTCCATCCCTGGTCCAACATTTGGTGATGCCATACCTTCGCCTAGCTTCTAGAAAAACACTATGGCGCCTCCTTATTAGAAACTCAGACTGGGTTATACCTGTGCCCTTAAGTTTGGTTTTGGAGTACCAAACCTTGTCTCGCATCACAGTATCGCTGAATTTGACAACTACAGGCCTGGAAGATTTATCAGAAGGGCGTCCCAGACGATGACAACGGCTTATGGATGTTTTACTGAAACCTGGGACTAGGAGTTTAGTGCTGATAAGTGTACTTATGACGGCGGTAGTATCCTCAGATTTTTCTTCAGGAACTCCATGTAGTAGGATCATCTTTCTGCGGCGACGCATTTCACTACGATCCAGTTCTCTTCCCAAAAGATCTACTTGGTTATGCAAAGATGTTAAAGCAGCCAAGATGAATTTTCTAAAAGCATTAAAATCACCTGGTAGATAAGATGAAGTTGTGGCAGCAGAACTAGATTGTTGTAGTTCCCGCTGAAAGTTATCCATTTGACTTTGGAATGACTTAACCATCTTCTTTAGTTTAACCATATCTTTACGCCAGGCATGGAATACTCAGATCAGCGACAGGGAGCACTGTCAAAGATGCGAGATGTTTGGCATTGTGAACCTCAATCACTCGTTAATCCAGCAAATGTGACGATTAATGCAAGCCATCGCTGAACGGGAGAGGCTCGTGTTCAGCAGCTGATGAAGAAGAAGAGTTACAAAGCGATAATCCCATTAACACGTTTCGGTCCTTTGGTGTTGTAAAAGACACTGACACTGAAACACTTCATGGCCTCCGATAGATTGTTGCATATCTATACGAATAAATAAAATTAAAGCGTCTGTTTCTAACGTAATAATAACAGCTTTTTATTAAATGCACTTATACATCTTTTTACAAAGTTAGAAATTTTTTTTGTCTGCCTTGTTCCGGCTAATAGCTGAAAAGGCGGGACCGATTTTATTTATTTATTTATTCAACGATGTATGTACACACGAAGTATTTTACAGTGAAAAATAAAAAGAATTTATGTACAAAGGCACTGCTTATTTCATAGTGAAATTTCTTCCAGGCCTTATACAGGACAGATTCAAAGAGAAGCAGATTTAGTGTGCACCCTCATAATAAATTTTATAATATTAATAAACTTAATATAAAATAAAGATAATAAAAACATATACATACATCCATACATACAAACATGCATATACCTAAATACTATACTATATATATATATATATATATATATATATATATATATATATATATATATATATATATATAATACAGGTAGATACACATATATATACAAGTCATACATTGGATCATTGGGACGACAAAGAAAGATAGTGCTCTTTAACTCGCCTTTTAAACACTGAAACTGTTTGAGCCTCACGAATTGCAGCAGGAAGAGAATTCCATAACCTAACTGCATGTACTGTAAAATAAAAACATTTTATCATCAATCAATCAATTTTATATCATTGAGAGTAGTACTTAGTTCTGAATGAAGGGAAATTTAGGAGGGTTTTTAAATGTGATCTGCAAACTGCATCGGGAGAACGAGCAAGGCGGAATCGATCACGTAGATATGGTGGTGATGTTGGATTGTAGAGTATGTTAAAAGATTTTGACTAGACTTTCACTGGCAGATAACTGATGTTATAAGGAGTAGCTTAGGATACTTTTATTTTAGAAAAGAATATGGTTCCGCTCAAAAGAATGAAATCCATCGTAATAACTTCCACGCAGATGAAGTCGCGGGGAACAGCTATTATGGTAATTATAATGTGTTCCAAATCAGTCACGGTGACCAGTCTCATTGGAGACTATCCATCTGCGCAGAATTGTGCACGAGTGTGTGTGCAAGCAGGGATGCTCACTCTCTCTATTTCTTCACTTTCATAGGCTAATGGGACGGCGGTTCAAATCTGAGAATTTACAAAATCCGACGGGATAATGTGGAGATTTTCTTAACTGAAAAACCGATTTGTACCAACGAGATAGTTAAACATAGTCGGCATATTACCATCCATAGAAGGCATATGCAAAATACCTAAGCTCCAGTGACAGGACCCCATCGTCACCAGGCTAAGTTCCTTACATTTTAAATTCCCACATAATTCGAAGATTTATTATCCCTTCTTCCTTAAAAAAGTTGCTCTTTCGTATCATACGTGGTATAGCCATGCACCAGATATGTTGGTAGTATAGTTGTAGCACGAATGGGTTGGCTCGACCGGGGGAGAACCACGCTCTCACAGAATACCATCGTCAAATAGTAGCTTATCGCTGCTGTGTTTCGTATGGGTAGTAGAGTGTAGAGAACCGGAGACCCTTTTTACTGGAAAATAGGCATTCCATCTTAGTCGCAGAGGATAGATGTAGATGTCTATGGGCCACAGCAAACACTTACCATCGGGTGAACTGTGTGCTCGTTTGTCGCCCTATCCTATAAAAAAAAGCAAATGACCACATTCTCACAAAGTTTTACTACAGTTCAAAACAACATGCTTAGGCAATTATAAAGTTAAACCTTGTTACACTGAATTCCTTTGTACAGGGTTTGGAAGACCAACTTCTCAGCGTGGTGGTCCGTGCTGAACGTGCGGACCTAGAAGAACAGCGGGAGAATCTCATCATGGAAACCAGTGCCAACAAAAGTCTACTGTCCGGGCTCGAAGATTCATTGTTGAGGGAGCTGGCCACGTCCACCGGCAACATGCTCGACAACGTGGAGCTTGTCAACACTTTGGAGAACACCAAATCTAAAGCTGCGGAGGTAATCCTACCGATAAATTAGTGATACTGATGATATTTGCTGCGTCATGGTGGCATAAGGTTATGAGCAAGAGCAATTCATAACAACTCAACATAACCTTCCAGATAACAATTCTTATCGTGATAGATGAAAGAATAATAATGTCCTCCAGACCGAATTTCGGTCACGGCGGGCACCATCAATGGAGGCTAGACATCGGCGCAGGACACGACTATAGAGCCCAAGTGTATGCGCAATCCCAGGTGCACTCTCTATTCCCTCACTCTCATAGCCCGATGGGACGGTAAACCGACACGACCGAACAGAGATCAGGCGCAGGACCAACGGCTTTACGTGCTTTCCGAGGCACGGGGGTGAGACACCGCCAACTTCTTGACTCCGGGCGACTACTGAGAATTTCTTGACGGAAAAACACAACAATAGATTTTTTGTCCCGGCGCGGGTTTCGAACCCAGGACCTCATGATCTGCTGTCGCATTACTACAACCACTAGACCAACAGGGCAGTCACTAAAAGAAACGAATATGGGAAAAGTGAGGGCCTCCTTTGATATACGGCGATGAAACAATCTCGTACGCGCCGTATGCCTCCCCTATAGACTACCTCACAGTCACAGCCTATCACAAGTCCACGGCTAAACAATAGCCTCTCCCGTAGATTTTATTATAGGGGCGATGTTTGCTTTAGCAGGTAGGTTGACAACCGTAGTTTTTTTAATCATTTTGAGATTCTATCAGGAAGATATTAAAATTTTACATTAGTGAGCGTAAACTTTCATATATAATTTGTTAAACAGGTAATGGAAAAATTGGACCTAGCGGCGGCAACGACTAGAGACATAGAAAAACTCCGGGATGGCTACCGACCAGTTGCGAAACGCGGTTCTATTCTGTTCTTCGTTCTGTCCGACATGGCCGTAGTCAACTCTATGTATCAGTACTCACTGTCTTCTTATCTTGATGTAAGTATAACTAACAATGCCATTCAAAGAATTCAAACATTCAGTAACTTGCTTGCACGCTATCTTTCTTTATCACATAGAATAGGTACTTAATAATATTAATGTTTATTTTCTCTTTTCAAAAACATATCCTACATAATAAAAGGTTTGTTTTTAATTCAATAACGTTCATAGGTCAGAAACACTGAATAAACAAATTTTACAATTTTTTTATTCCTTAGTTTTAGCGATTACTGCATTTAATTTTAATTTATTTTGAGTGCATTCCAGCGGTGGACATGATATAATCCCTAAATTATGATATCATTAACATCAAAAGGCTGAACCATTGATGTCAAGATGGACAACAATAGCATAACATGAGTAAAAATTAAAAAAAAGTGTTGGGTACACTAAAAGAACAACCATCTGTTAATGGGGGTCATTATTGCAATACTTTTTGTATAGAGAAAGCTTATGCAGCGGCCTAATTAAAGCTAATAGATTATAGAATACATTTAATTAAAACGTTTTATACGTACTACGAACAATATGCACTTTCCTTTTCATATCTACCAAAGGTGAGCTATTGATGGTTATAATTAAAATATAAATTCTTCAGGTGTTCTCATTTTCACTTCGTAAAGCGATGCCGAACGTGATACTAGCGAAGCGCTTAAAGAACATTATCGACATGCTGACAAAGAACGTGTATGACTACGGGTGCACTGGTATGATATTTATATGTAGTTAGTTGTAAATAATTCCTTGATTGGTTTACACGAATGAAACGTCACACTAATGAAACGTCCGCCTTGTCGTGGTCTTCGTATGTCTCTTCATTTGTTGATGGTTGAGCGCGATATACGCTATTTTGATTGTTTGTCACAATATCGTCGCCATTAGGATGGAACTGTGATTTCTTTTTAGTACACTGGATAAGGCACAGAAGTATAATCTGAGAGTGGCGAGGCAACTTGTTAGGCAAGTTGCCTTTGCAGTAAATACAAATAAAGTCCCCATCTATTTTTTCGGCAAGTAAAGGGAGATTGTTGATCAACAAACGTTATGAACACAGTCATAATTAAAACAATGCATAATTGAGGAAGAATCGTTTGAATCACGACGTTGTTCCTCTTTTGACAAAGAAATCTCATATGACTGGCTATAGTTTAAGCAGTCACTGTCTAGACGCATGCCACTTGCCGCTGTACTTGTACTCGCCACTTCACTAACCACTTGATACTTGCCGCTCTACTTGTACTCGCCACTTCACTAACCACTTGACCAATGTAATCAGGTCTTACTGCCTACGGCATACGTTCCATTGCTTTGCACAGTTATGCTCTCATTTATAAATTAGAAAAGTATTGGGACAAGAAAGAATACACCGCGCTGCTCCAATGCATGTTTGAGGAAATCACGTTACGTTCACACGTTTTCACATGCGGGTTTTTCTTACGATGTTTCCTTTCATCTCCAAAAATTTGATAAATCAACACTTATTTTATCCCAGAAAATGTTTAAACAAGTTTAAACGTTTTATTAAGAAAAAATTGTACAAAAAGGGATATTAAAATATAAAATAATACATAAATGAAAATAACCCCTGGGAATGAGGTGGTCGCCACCATGTTAGTTCTATAAAAATTCATAGAAAAATTGTACTAAATAAATTTATTCTAAATTGAAATACATATGTTAAAAAAAGTTCCACTGGGTCTCTTGCTGGTTCTTCCCAGGACAAAGGTTTTTTTCGAACCAGTGGTATATAAAAAATGATTGTCAATAAGTATTATACAAAAATCAATATTGAATAAAAATCATTCATTTCATTTCATTTGTTATTGCAATTAACAATTCACCTAGTACAGGTGGGGATTGAACTCTGTATGCCTACGCGAAGTGCTTATCTTTGAAAATGCTTATGAAAAAAATAATGCAACCATACAAAACTTTCATGTGTGTGACAGAAGCTTGCTAACTCTTTCGTTATTTCCTAATGTACACATAATTTCAGGTATTTTCGAACGTCATAAGCTACTGTATTCGTTCCAAATGAACATAAAGTTGGAACAAAGTGAAGGTAATGTTAGTCAGGCGCAACTGGATTTCTTCATCAAAGGAAATGTTTCTTTGGAGAAGGCGTCAATAGCTTGTCCGGCCTCTTGGATCTCTGGGCAGGTAATATTGCATATTATTTAAAAAAAATACATATAATATAATATAGACGACACTATCGCTTCGCTGTCTTCTAGCATTTCTAACATACTTTAAAAGTTTGATATTTTTGTAGAGTTGGCAAGATATAACGAAATTAAGCGTTGATTTCCCGGAGACGTTCGGCTCGTTGCCCGGTGATATCAGCCGTGGACTGGAAGATTGGCGAGAAGTTAGTATTTTTATGGTTTTATTTCTCTTGAGAGTTCTATGCAGGAATCTTAATCTTCAGTAATAATCCACTGTTGAACATATCCCTATCCCATTGTGGGGACAGTCACGCATAATAATAATATTTGCCAATGCTTAACTACAACCTCACCCTAACTCGTAGCTGTATATCTTAATTCGCACTGTCTTAGCGTAAAAAGCCTATTTACATATTTACTCTAGTCTTATTAATTTTTAAAAGTTAAAAAGTTTCTTAACTTTTCTAATTCAAGGCCTACTCAATAATATGCTAACCGATATACTACATACAACTGCAACTGATGTCTTGATGTTTCTCAGGTTGATTGGCGTGGGTGAGATAGAGTCAACTCTGGATTGCACCTTTTCCTTTTCTTGTGATGACATTAATCTCCACTTTGTTTCTGCTCCTGTAATGGTCACTACTGTACGACCTCAAATGGTAGACTATTTAGCTTTGTTTCTCTTTCGCTCAAATTCCTTCTTTTTAATTTTCTACAATTACCAAGATGATATTAAAAAAATGTTCTAGCTATTAAATCCAAGGATGTGGAACAATGACTTGTTAAGCAAGTTCTCCTCACTTAACTCAGGTCAGTACCCATCTCTCCGGAAAAAAGCTTTCATGCGTCCTATTCCCAAAATTTCGAATCCCACGTTACCTAATCATCTTCGTTCTTTATCTATATTGCCCTTTCTATCCAAAGCTCTGGAAGGCTGCGTACATTAGCAAGTCGCCAATTTTATACTTAAACATAACTTACTCAGCGATTATCAGTCTGGGTTTCATGTCGGTCAAGCAATCAATTACAGCATTACGTACTCCAAGTTAAGGAAGACCTCAGACAAGAGATAGAAAAAAAGAAAATTACTGTAATGGTGCTTGTTGACTTTTCGCAAAGCTCCATTTGTAGGCTGACGACCTGTAAATTTACTTACAATTATCTATTCAAGAGCTTTCAAGAGCTCCATGATGCTATTATTGTGTTAAATATAAACTCAGAAGTACTAAAAGAATACTCTAGGCGTTTTGGAATATCAGTAAATCCAACGAAGTATCAAGCTATATTTGTAGGTAGCTCAAAACTGTTGTCCGAAATTGATTTGGCAAGCCTGCTTGTCTGTTACATTGACATACTGATACCGTTCTCTTCCTCTGTAAAAAATCTTGGCCTGTATATAGACAACACAATGAACTGGGGTAGGCATGTCACCGAAATTAGCCAGAAGTCTTTGCCACCTTACGATCTCGCGGTCGAAAACGTAGTAAGTGACTTCATTTTTAAACAAAACTGTGATGAAGATGAAAGATGATGATATATTTAGACTCTTTATATCATAGTATGTATTATATATATATATATATATATATATATATATATATGTGTGTATATTGATAGATTAAGTAGACATTAAGTCACATGATAATGTAGCTCACCATCATAAACTATATGTAAATATAAACATGTGCCTAGCGATGGGACATTACTTGTTGAATACCATGATGATGACCATAGATGATCAGCTGCCTAGATATTTACTGCTCAGGAGTCTGTCTGGATTGGTACTACATTTTGACCTATTTCTACCGCCAAGAAATAGTTAACCCACTACTGTCTCTAAATATATTCCTAGAACATCGCCGTGTGGTGGCAGCCTAATAGAATACAAAATCCCCATTTCTTTCCGTGTTGTCGTAAGAGGAGATCACGGGAATCACAAGAAGGGTTATGAAAGATTATGGCTTCCGAGAGATTGCCATCTCGTTAACGCCATATGTAAATTATTCAGACTGGCAACAGCGAACCATCAGTTCGATATTCTGCCTACCAAGTGTGTCTATTAAGGAAAATCCTCTCTTCAGCGGTAAGGTCCATGACCAGCTGTGGAATTTTGCGGGCCAACCAGAAAGAAAAAGTAGAAAAAGAGTATAGACGGAAAACTGTGCCCAGAAATTCGTTATTTGTTGTGACTGTTTCGTGACATTTCACTATTGTCGACAGTGGTTCGACAGCGACACGCCCGAGTCGAACAAGATCCCGAACGGGTACAGGGAGCTCGCGAATCCGTTCGAGTTGCTGATGCTGCTGCGCTGCTTCCGCGTGGACCGCGTGTACCGCGCACTCAACGACTACATCACAGTCACCCTGGGTGAGGAGTTCATCACGCCGCCTGTCATAAGGTAGGTCCTGTAGGATGAAACAAGACTCGAGAGAGTTTTAAAAGTTTTTCAGTTTTTCACGTCTCAAACAAATACTTCACAGTTGAGGACATTGCTCAAACAAAAGTTTTGTAATTATTATTACAAAATACGTCTGCATTAATCAAAGAATCTATAATACATACATAATAGTATGTATTATACTATTATGTATGTACATACACGTCAATTCACACCTATAAATGTCAACATAATCAATCGTTTCCAATTTTCGTGTCAAGCGTCGCTGCATGCAAATTATTTTAAAAATGGCATAGAATAGCGGTAAATGAAATTTAAATAAGGGACACATATTCTGCAACCAGTAAGTCGAAACTATTTGTATTTTGTGAATATTAGAAACAAAAATAAAGAAACATTTATGTGTCAAAAACATTAATCAAAAGTCTAAAATGTGTTTGTAGTAGTGATAACTGATAATACGACGTAATTGCTTGTATGTGTGCTCCCGGCGACGCCAATCCTCCTACAAAGTAAGGTTGACAGCCATTCTATTGTGTATAATAGTATTCTATGGCAATAATAATTTTGCGCGGCTAAGTTGACATCTGGCACTAGAGGCATCTGGTGTCGGATAACAGAGCGAGGAGAGCTTTCCAGAAAATACATGACTCGTATTTCAACCAACAGCGCCATCTAGTATCGAACAGAAGAATTAAGCTTTCTGGAAGCCGCACACTCGAATTTTCTGCACTTGGTCGGTTGGCGCGCGTATTTACTTGAATATTCTGGAATATTCTGGATGTTTTCGTGGAAGAGCCCTATATAAAGGCGCTGCAATACGCGATCGGGGAAGTATTGAAGTTGGCGAGACACGCGAAGCTTCGGAGCGAAATAAAGTGAATTAGTGTGATTAATTATTAGTGTTTTAAGTTTTAATTTGTGTAAAGAAAATTAAAGTGTTAATTTAGGTAATTTTATCGGCAATTTTTATTGTCACGAACCTCAAGCTCGTAACAATAATAATAGGAAAGTGACTTCTTCCAGGGGCTATATTTCTTAAATGCTTTTTTTCCTTGTGTATTCCGTACATAGTTGATATGATAAGGATAATTTACGAAATATTTAAAATAGCAGTATGCTAACCGTGTGGTGGCGGTGTAAGAAGATCCACTACCCCCATATCGTCCCGAGGGTGTCGTAAGGAAGACAAAAGGAAGTTGTAACAGTCGATGGGCAGAAGCATGATCCTGATAAATAACAACTTGCCACACGTGTCAACTATGGCAAAATCCCCTCTATGAGAATATCTTGAAACTTATATATGATGTAATATGGTAATGGTAACAGCATGCATTTGATTACAGCTTAGATATGATATTTGAGCAAACAACGCCTTTCACCCCCGTGGTGTTCATACTGAGTCCCGGATCCGACCCCACGGCCGATTTGATGAAGTTGGCTGACCGCAGCGGCTTTGGTGGCGGCAAGTTTAAGTATTTGTCTCTCGGACAGGGCCAAGAAAGTGTAAGTTGAGATTTTTTAGGATTTTTTAATAGATTATAAACAAGAGTGGAGGTTAGAAGAGTGTGTGCATCCTGCTAATTAACGAACGAGAAACGTTCGAAAAAGCTGTGTTTAAATCCAATGTAAATACACTTTCGCACTGGTAATACTGCCTGTATTGTTCACTGTTGCCTGCTCGCCTCGCGGTGGTCAGTGTGGTGGGCTGATATTTCACGGTTATATGCCATTACTTGAACTACTGAAGTCTTTTGATAAATTAAAATGTGTACAAAAATAGAAAATGGAATTTTAGGAAAAATCTCTTTCATTCGCTTTCACTGTTTCCCTACTACATTTTTGTTGAGTTGATGGCGCCCGCTTTCGTAGGTGGCATTAGTAGCTGGAACAAACGTTGAAAGAAAAACACCGTGATTGGAATAATAGTTATTGTTAAAATAATAATTAAAAAATGCTGTTGAAATTTCCTGAGGCATATAGCAGATTAATCATCTGTTTTGAAATATTATAAATAAGGACCCGAAATATTTCAAATAAAAGATGGGATATTTTGGAAGTACCAAGATCTTATCCATTTTTATGACAATAGGGTAGGAAATGATTACAATAGAATTCTCTTGATTCGTAAAAATAAAAATCAAACAAACGGCCGATTTTAAGAAGCTAAAAGAACAAAATATACGAGTTAAATTTTTGACCCTTTTGAGTGGACTAAGGAATATCACAAGTTCAAGGTAACAATAAGAATGTCTTCTAAATACTTACATTAAAAACTTATCAAAAATAGAAAAGTATCAATCAACAGTAGTCTGTGGAAACGAGGATGTTGTAGTGTGTGTGCACGCTCGTTTAGCTGTATACATCTATATATGTTGTAGTGTGTGTGCACGCTCGTGTAGCTGTATACAGCTATATATGTTGTAGTGTGTGTGCACGCTCGTTTAGCTGTATACATCTATATATGTTGTAGTGTGTGTGCACGCTCGTGTAGCTGTATACAGCTATATATGTTGTAGTGTGTGTGCACGCTCGTGTAGCTGTATACAGCTATATATGTTGTAGTGTGTGTGCACGCTCGTGCTGTTACAGCATATATGTTGTAGTGTGTGCACGCTCGTGTAGCTGTATACACGGTACACTGGAGACATTCGGGAGTATTGACTCCACAGTCAAGACGTATCATTTTATTTCCCGAACCTTCCAACATTACAAAGTTAGTTAATTGATAAGTTAGTTGAGCTATCCCCTAGCAATGTAAGTGCATACGATCATTCATACACACACATTCAACCATACTCATCGCACTGGGCAGAGGTTTTCTAAAAGGCGCTCGCACTGCCAATAATGCTCCACATCTCTCATTAATTAATTTCATACGGCAAAAGTCCACGGCTAAACAAGGGCCTCCCCATAGATAGCCCTATAGAGGGATTGTATGTTATAGTAACCACACGTGGCAGACTTGTTATTGGCGACTGCATTTTTTATTGTTTTTAAATTTTGCCAGAAAGATGCTGCTACCATTCTCTTGTGTCAATTTCCCTCGTCTCTTACGACATCAACAGGATAATAAAACGTAGTGGTTTCTCTTACATCGCCCCTACGCGGCTTTAATCTATAATTTGGATTCATTTTTTTAAAATTGGGAAGGCAAAAAAGTACACAGCCCACCTGATGATTGGTGGATGCTGTGGTGCATATAAACCTACGTCTATCCTCGATTAACAATCATAATGCAGATGCGTTACCCTCGAGGACTAAGACGGAATGCCTTCTTATCAGTAAAAAGTGTCTCCGATTCCAGCAATAAGATACTATTTCACGCTGGTATTCTGTATGAACGTGGTTCTTTCCCGGTCGAGCTGTCCCGTTTGTGCTGCAAACATAATATAGCTGCAGGGTGGCTCTAACACGTTAAATATTCTGGGTTTCTGGATGTACTTTCCGCCATCAGTCGATCGTTAAAGAGTCGTCTTTCAATCAGCAGGTGCAAAGCGTGCCGGGGATGTTCCGCACTTAAAAAAATTGATCGCATATTCCCCTTATCATTAGTCACGTAAGTACATCATCATTATCATTATAGCCCCACACAAGCCCACAGCTGAACAAAGCGCCTCCCCCAAAGATTTCAAAAAACAGTCCTGAACCTGCATCCATTAACTTCTTGCTTACCAGGCCGTCACTTCATTTAGTATGGGGCCATTTAAGACTCCTCATACTCGAAGAAAGGTTCTACACAAGAACCTTTCTTCCACATTGAAGTAGACTTGTTTATAATCATACATTATATTTGATATTGTGGCACAGACGGCGTTGTCACTTCTAGAAGGTGCTATATCACACGGACAGTGGCTGATCCTGCAAAATTGTCACCTTCTCATCGCGTTCCTGCGTGAAGTAGAGAAGCAATTGGAGTTGATGACAAAGCCACATCCTGAGTATCGATTGTGGCTCACGACCGATCCAACACCAACATTTCCTATAGGGATTCTACAGAGATCACTTAAAGGTTCGACGTCAATTTTTCTTCTTTATATTCTTTATATTTTACTTAATAATTTAAATGCTTACGTTATACCGTTTTTTAAACACTTACAAATCCTATCAGCACCAAAACTTCCGGTATTTTTATCCTTATTGTTAATTAATGAGCTCTATTTTAAGACATCACTGCAAGATGAAATCAATGTAGCATGGAGTGTTAAAAATAGAAAAAGAATATGTCGGTATGTATGCCCGAAAATAAATTCGTACGTTCGAAGGGTAGCGCTTATACAATTAAACAAGGCGCTCTTCAAAACATACTATATCACACAACAGCAAACTACAACGAACTAAGCAGTCGTATAAAATTAGTCCTACTATATATTAGACAGGGTTATTTTGCAATACCGGCCAAATTTGTTGAGAAAATTCAGAATAAGTAATATAGGCAAATGATGAAGAAAAATAATTAAAACATCTCAAACAGTCTGTCCTTTTTAAACTAAAAATGCGTGCTAATGCATTATTTTAACTGATTTTAACTGCGCACGCAGACATTCGTAAGGGTCGATCGGTAGGCAAAAACGTTGTTGCCCATTTTTGTAACATTCAATTTGGGATAATTTCAAATAAAAGTAAAGGTCTTATTTACTCGTATTCTCAAAACCTGTAATAACGGTATATTTGAACTTAATTGTCTACTCTTAGAAAAATAACCCTGTATATTACTTAGGAAATATCTATGGCCAAGCCCAGGTTTTATTTATTTATTTAACTTCATATACACATTAGATGTATACCTATAGGCGGACCTAATGCCTGAGGCATTATCTACCAGTCTACCTTAGAGTAGTGCAGAGATAAAAGAGATAGGTGTAATAAGAAGTATGTACAATATATATAAGCTCATACATATATAAGCGTATAAATATATACATATATAAACATTATGTAAGTATATATACATAAAATTAAATACAATATATACACACACACATATATATATATATCAAATTTACAGAAACAAACAAATCCAATCTTTTGCCAACGCTGCTTCTTCTGCATATCAATGATATGTTGCAAACCCGTAACATTCATTGCTATGCAGATGACAGCACTGGTGATGCTCTGTACACCGGTCGTGCCAATATTTCTCGGGAAAACGTCTCCGAGTACCGGGACAAACTTGTGTCTGAAGTCGAGTCTTTGCTGAACAGAGTCTCGGATTGAAGACGACTAAGCCTAGTCCAGTTTAATCCTCAGAAGACACAATTTTGCGCGTTAACCGCTAAAAAGAACGCCTTTGTCGTATCTCCTCAATTTCAAGGCACTCCCCTTGTTGCCTCAGCCAGTATCGGAATCCTCGGCGTCGACATATCGAGTGACGTGCAGTTTCGTGGTCACTTGGAAGAAGAGGCCAAATTGGCCTCTAAAAAGCTTGGTGTGCTCAGCAGAGCGGGACAGTATTTCATGCCGGCACACCGCCTGCAACTTTACAAGGCGCAGGTTCGGCCGCACATGGAATACTGTTCCCATCTCTGGGCTGGGGCTCCCCAGTACCAGCTCCTTCCACATCCAGAGAAAACACACAAAAGATACCAACACCACACTACTTACATTTCACTAGGAGTTATCTTCCGCTCTCTGTGGAATAGTTTACCACCGGCGATTTTTCCGGACCGATACGACCTGGGGACCTTCAAGAAAGCTTACTCCTTTCTAAAGGGCCGACAACGCACCTGCAATTCCCCTGGTGTTGCGGTTGATCATGGGCGGCGGTAGTCACTTAACATCAGGTGAGCCGCATGCTCGTTTGCCCCCTCTTCTATAAAATAAAAAAATATGTGTTAATAAATGTTGTAAACTTTTTCTTTAATTTTAGTAAAACTAAAATAGAATTAACATTTTAAAAGTACTTTTTACAAAATTATGAATAATTTTTTCTTTACCTTCTATGTCAGTGCTTGACTGCTATCGTTCGATGGTAAGTCGTGATGCAGCCAATGATGGTCAGGCACACTGACCTAACAAAACTCTTGAAAACACCCACATTGAAAAAGATTGGCTGGGTAGATGCTGGCAACTTGTGAATTATAACTAATATTATAAAAATATTACCTTTAACCGTAACGCTTACGTTAATATTTTATTTTAGTGGTAACAGAGCCACCTAACGGCTTAAAGTTGAACTTACGCAACACGTACTTCAAGATGCGCGCGCAAGTGTTAGAAGAGTGTTCTCATCCGCAATTCAAGAAACTCGTTTACGTGCTGGCATTCTTCCACGCTGTTGTACAAGTAAGTCATATATATTTTTTACATGGCGCAAAGTATTTTCAGTTATTGATTTAAAAACAAACTTTGTGTTTCTAGGAACGCCGCAAGTATGACAAGATAGGCTGGAACATTTCATACGACTTTAGCGAGTCGGACTTCGTGGTATGCATGCAGATTCTGCAGTGCTACTTGGAACGTAGCGCCGACGCCATACCTTGGGCCACGCTCAAATATCTTTTTGGAGAGGTTGGTATCATTTTCTACACGATAATGTTGCTTCCTTTATACAAATTAGATTTATTTTCTTTTTAACTGAATTTTGATCTCTATCCTATATTTATAAACAAATTACGAACTTAAACATAAAGGCACGAGGTCTTTTATAATTAAATAAATTTCAGGTAATGTACGGTGGTCGAGTTATAGACGATTTCGACCGTCGCGTGGTTGGCACCTACATGGACGAGTACTTGGGCGAGTTCCTGTTTGATAAGTTCCAGCCATTCCATTTCTACAAAGATGAGAACTTTGATTACGTTATACCGCCGGACGGAGAACGAGAAAACTATATTGGTGGGTTATTTAAGCATAACAAGGAGAATATCCTGCTTTATCAGAGCTATAACTTTAAATTTGGGTGTATTGGTAACGTTGATGCGTCTATTTATTACCAGTGTTATGTACACACTATTAGTAAGTAGTTTGAAAGTTTGCTTAATATGGTCTCAAACCTAATTTTTTTTTTCAATCATTACAGCCCTTCACAAGTCCACTGCTAAACATAGGCATCCCCCAAGTAATGCCACAAAGCACGGTCCTGAGCCACCTGCTTCCAGCGACTTCCTGCATGTCTTACCAGGTCCTCACTCCATCTAGTGGGGGGTCGCCCTACACTACGCCTACCGGTGCACTGCCACTCGAGAACCTTTCTTCCCCATCGGTTATCGGTTCTTCGAGCTATATGGCTGGCCCATTGCCACTTCAGCTTACTAATTTGTTGAGCTATGTCGGTCACTCTGGTTTTAATGCGGATATCCTCATTTTTGAGTCTATCACGCAGAAAAACTCCGAGCATATCCCTCTCCATAGGTCGCTGAGCGACCTTGAGAGTCCTCATACGGCCAGCTCTGAAGGACCACGTCTCAGATCCGTAAGTCATCACTGGCAACACGCACTGGTTGTACAATCTAGTTTTCAGAATTTGAGGTATACCTGACGAGAAGATGTGTCGTAATTTCCCGAACGCTGCCCAGCCGAGTTGAATCCGTCGATTGACCTCTCGGTCGAAGTTGGACTTACCTAGTCAGACTATTTGTCCCAGGTAAACGTACTCGTCAACAACTTCGAGCATAGTGCTCCCAACAACTACTGGCATGGGTGTGACATGGACATTAAACATGATCTTTGTTTTGTCCATGTTCATCTTAAGACCTATCCGTTGGGAGACACCATTGAGGTCATTGAGCATAGTGCTTAGGTCCTCCAGCGATTCTGCCATAAGGACTATATCGTCGGCAAATCGAAGGTGAGTGATGTACTCGCCATTGATGTTAACACCGTATCCTTTCCAGTCCAGTAGCTTGAAAACGTCTTCCAATGCAGCGGTGAAGAGTTTCGGGGATATAACGTCACCCTGTCTTACACCTCTCTGCAGTTGGATAGGTTTCGAACTCTGGTTCTGTACTCTGATAGCAATCGTAGCCCTACTGTACAAACACTTCAGCACTTCGATGTACCGACAGTCAACTTGGCACCGCTGAAGGGACTGTAGCACCGCCCAAATTTCGACGGAATCAAAGGCTTTCTCATAGTCCACATATGCCAGGCAAAGTGGCAGATTGTACTCTTCGGTCTTCTGTACAATTCTGCCGCAGGGTATGTATGTGGTCAGGTACTAGCCTTTTCAAACAGGCTTGTTCCCTATACCTAGGTATTATATTCTGTATTTTACAACGGATTAAAAAAACCTTCTTTTTTAAGTCGCCTAAAAACATATACTATTTTTATGTTTCGTATTTATTTTTGTATGTTACGCGACATCTTGGTCAATTGAAAATATATTTTGATGATTATTTTTTTATTCAATAAATTAAGTTCCCTAAAATATTATATATTAGTACCCGGTTGAAAGAGCTTTGCTCGGTATTTTTCGCTCGTTTTTTTTAATTCGTGTGTTTTGGAAATTATATTTAGATACAAATTACATACTGATGAAATACGAATAATATTTTTTGATCTTAGCGACATAATAGAAAAAACTGAACTGAAAAAAAAATTAAAAAAAGTCGGTCGGTCGGTCTGGGCTCGAACCATGGTATTACAATTTTGTGACCGCCCAATATACCAATTAAGCTATTTGTAATCATTAATAAATTGTCAAAATTTACCTTCTTATTCTAATCATATTGTAGCAGTTTTTCATTGCCTAGAAACACGGATAAAAAGACGTTTTCTAAAAATAAATCCTAGCTAGATCGATTTATTGCCCCCGAAACTCCCTGCACACAAAATTTTATGAAAATCGTTGGAGCCGTTTCCGGGCTTCCGATTATTTATATATATATATATATATATATATATATATATATATATATATATATCGGAGTAAACTTTACACTCCTAAAATTGGCAAAATAGGGAATTATTTTTTCAATGTACCCATTTGGACGGTATAGGGATTATGTTTATGCGACATTGTTTGATCTACTTAAAAGGGTTAGAAATGAATAAAATATTGTCACATTCTGAAATCGGGGCTATAATACTTCTATACTCGTTGTCTTTACACAGACTTCTGAATGTGATATTATTTTTTTTTCAGTTTTTTGAATTTGGCTTTTACTTTTTTTGAAGTAGTGAAATAAATTTTTATAGTTCCCAATTAGCATCAACGATTGTAGATAGTGAACACATTTACGCCACTGGTCTGGTTATCCACAGCCACACATCTCTTCCGTGGATTTTACATGGTAAGGTCACTCTATGGTATTTGTGTTATTGTGGTAGAAACACAAACGGATCGGCTCGATCAGTGGTGGCTCGAAGGACCACGTTCATAGAGAACACCAGTGTTAAATAACAGCACAATGTTGAGATAACCGAGACCTTTTTACTAGTAACGTTGCATGCTTAATCCTCAGGGGGTTACAATGCATCTGCATTTTGATTCTTATTTGACGATAGGTGTAGATAGGTCATACATACACTTGCCATTAGTAAAAGTAATGCTCTTTTGTTCCCTTATTATAGATAAATAATGAATATTGTCTATTGCATAAGCCTTACATAACATAAGGGATGATTTGAACGAGTGTATGCTTCCGTGTTAAAATATACAAAATGATCATTATGGTTTCTCTTCTAATGTTAGAGTTCATCGATACGTTGCCGCTGGCGAACACGCCCGAAGTGTTCGGGCTGCATCCGAACGCGGAGATTGGGTACTTCAGCCAGGCCGTGCGCGAAATGTGGACCCACCTAATCGACCTGCAGCCGCAGACTAGTTAGTGGCCTTTAATGTTTCCGTCTCCTTTTTAACCAATAGGGATGATACAGGTTATTAATCTTGTCTTTCTATTTATGCTGCTAGTTAGGAAATTGGATTGTGAGTATTCTAGTGTCTTTCGACATTAGGGATATCTGATTTGTTGTATATTTGTTTATTTACATTAAATTAAAAATATTATAACAATAAAAAAACTGAAGTTGTCATATAGTCCTACTCTCCTCGGTATAGTACCTCCTTGCTAAATTACTGTAAAAGAATTGGGCTATAAAAGAACCAACCCTCTTGTCACTAGTTGTGACGAACAGTCGCTATAAATTGTTTGTCTGCGTGATTAATAGATATTTGCTTGTATGATATTTATTGATAAATCCCAAATTATTTGGTCATAATACAAAGGTGTGTAATATTATACACGGGGACAGTCCCCATTGAAATGCTTGTAAATTTAAAAGTTCTTGATAATTTTCATGTTTTTCAAGTAAAGACAGTGTACTTAATCGAAGGTTCTGCTTTGTGTCTATGTGTATGGGGCCCATGCTCACTTGTAATAGGCTTTAATGATGATGATGAAACTGATTCATTCAATGTCAAATTTAAAATTGAGGCGGTAATGGTATTTAGTGCAAATAGAGATCAAATTCTGATGTTAATAATTGTGTTGAATAGCCTTTATTAAACAATTACATTGCTCATGTTTAGCAAATAATTTATTAATATTTTTTAACTTTTATACTTTTTGCTGCTAGTGAGATCTAAAGGTAAATATAAACTTATAGTTTATTATTATACAACTATGATGTCTAAGGCTCCTCATGCACGATACCTCACGAAAATGAAACCAAAAATTGGTCAACAATTTCCCCTTACATCACGGACACCCCAGTCTACAAGACTGGTATTGATTGATTTTCACGTGGTATTGTGTTTATCATTAAAACTACGAACGGATATAACTTCTTATTGTTGCGCGCCACAGTTGGTGGCACTAGCGCCATCTGGTATCCAGAATCAGAAACAGGAGTGTCAAGATCTTTCTGGAACTTTCCACCAACAGCGCCATCTAGTATCGAACAGAAGAATTACGCTTTCTAGAAGGGTCCACTCTCGAACTTTTTGAACTTAGTCGGTCGGGCGCCCGTATTTGCTGGAATATTCTGGATGTTTCGGTGGAAAAGCCCAATATAAAGCCGTTGATAGCCGCGATAGGGGCAGTATTGAATTTGGCGTGACAAGCGAAGCTTCGGAGCGAAATAAAGTGAATCAGTGTGATTAACTATTAGTGTTTTAAGTTTTAATTGGTGCTCGGTATATAAAGTGTTAATTTTGGTAATTCAATCGGCAGTTTTTATTGTCACGAACCTCAAACTCGTAATACTATATTCCTTTAAATTTTCACTTAGATTCACTTCTTCTCTAACATCGCTGCAAGTTCTTCTGCACATGTCCATGTAAATACTGCTTAGGTTAGGTAGATCTATCGCTGTAGAGCTGTACTTGAACAACAAATCTAGACAACTAATAGAAACTACTGCAGCTCAGACTGATTAAACATATGAAAATTTGACGAAAACGTCTTCGTCGTATACCCACTTTTACTCTAATAAAGCTGCAATTTAAACATTTTTTATATGAACAATATGTATAAAAAGGATTGACTTATTTTTCTTTTATTTGTTTATGTTCGTTAAATCTGTTTGACAAGCTTTATAATATTGTCATTTTATTAATTTTAAAATGTTCCTAGTATTCAAAATTATTAATTTATAGCAAGAATCAAAACATAGAGATATTTCAGAGTGAAAGATACAGATTGTATCGTACAAAAATATTTAGGTACACTATAGTAGCGTCAATCAAACTATATACAGAGTAAAAAGTGAGGAAATACGATTGTATGGACTAAACACCACCACCATGCATATTCTCGTGCATACGTAATACGTATCTACCACTGCATTGTGCATACTCATATGTATTTAAACTAAATTAACTGATTTATTTGTTAAAAAAGAAAAAATAAGTAGAAAATTAATTCAATTATCCCCACGAATGGTTCTCTCTACTTGCACAGGATTCTAATATTTATAACTACCTGCTTAGGAACACATACAGATAATTAATTTATAATTATAAAGTTTTCTTTATAATTATAACGACTATGATCTAACAACTTTGCAAAAGTATATTTTAAATAGAATTTAAAAGTTTATGACAACTAAATATTATAATTTTTACTCAGGCGAGGTCGGCGGTGCAATGAGTCGCGAAGACTTTATAGATTCAACTGCGGCGGACGTTTTAGCGAAGCTGCCCCCGCTATATGAGATATGGCGCGTTCGCAAACAATTCGAAATGAACATCACACCATCACTCGTCGTGCTGTTACAGGAACTCGAAAGGTCAGTAAAAATTTCTTAGTAAATATAATATACAGAATGATGCTCGACAAAACATTTTACTATATCAGCTTTTTCAGTCCAGGACTACAGAAATGAAAAAAATGAATTAAAAAATCATGTCTGTTGGTCAGCGATCACAGTACTTTTTAAATAAATGTATTTTTTAAAAGGTGTTTACGGATTTTATCGTATATTAATTTATTTTATATCACCGACGTTTCGAGCACTTTACATCACGGTTACTAGTCTAGGCAACAAGTGTTTTTTTTTTAAATTTTTTCAGCAGTATCGAAAAAATATAAACGAGGTGTCATTCGATAGCTTTTGAAAAAAAATTTCATTCGCAAAAATTGCTAAATTTATAAACAATTTACAAAAAAATGGGTTTTGGTTTTTAGCAAATATCTCCAAAACTAATTAAGATTTTTTTTAATATAGAAAAAGATTTAAAAAGGGAGAAAAAAATAAAAGGTAAAAATTCATTTGTTTTTAACAAATTGCTTATTGTTGCTTAGACTGTACCTCCAGATTAAAATAATCTAGAGTGGTTGATTATGACATTGGGACGACGAACACCTCAGTTTTCTCCACAATGGGTGTTGTAAAGTGCTTGAAATTTAAGGAATATAAACTAAGTTAATATACGCCGTAAAATCCGTAAAATGTAATTTATTTAAATGTGTAGTATTCGTGTAAATATAAGAAAATATCATTTTGGTCACTGTAACGGATTACCCTTTCACTTTTGATGTCAATTCCCGTCGCTTGTCCAATATTTTAATTTCGAAATAAGCATACAGTTTCATTGAAGTTTCACAAGTTACTTTTCGCGCGATATTCGTACAAATAGACTTATGATTATTACAAAAACTTTTGTACTAGAATCAAGTACTTCCCAAATGTGCTGCCTCCTACTACTTGATTATACAGGTTGTTAGTGTAAACACCGATCCTTGAAACCATTGGTTTGGTTTCACTTATAGAACGCAAATTCAATGAAAAATAACAACATTTTTTTTAGTAAAATCTTAATTTTTCCTTAATTCCTCAATTTTTGCCTGTCCTAAGCCAGGATGAAAGTATGAAAGAAAAGTTACATTACAGGTTATGTGTACCTATTGTGTTTTTATTGGAATGTTGTGTAGGTGGCTAGCGCGGGCGGTGATCCTTATAGTGATTACGTCACTCGGGCGCATAGAGTACCCATGAATTTACGGACGGTGTCGGACAGAAACTTTTTAAATTTTCTGAAACAAAATAGCGTTTTTTTTAAGTCCTTTGAATTTACGTTCTATACGTGAAACCAAACCGCTGGTTTCAAGGATAACGGTGTTTACTCTAACACCTTGTATAGTATTGTTAAATAAATAGTGATAATTTGGCAGGTTCAATCGGCTGATCAAAAAGATGCGCAGTACGTTGTGGCGGGTGCGCAAGGCGCTGGCGGGCGAGATCGGGATGGACGCGGTGCTGGACAACGTGGCGTCCAGCCTGTACAACGGGCAGCTGCCGACCGTGTGGCGCGCGCTGGCGCCCGCCACCTGCAAACCGCTTGCCGCCTGGATGGACCACTTCACCGAGCGCGCGCGCCAGTACACCGACTGGGTACGTCTCAACTAAAAACATCGTGCCCAGCCTAGTACATACACAGTAACTTTGTTTCACTTTGCATTAACTTGATTTTACCGACTTCAAAAAGGAGAAAATATTCAATTCGACTGTATGTTTTTACATGTGCGTTACCTCAGAACTTTTCTCTGGGTGAACTGATTTTCATGAATATCTTAAAGTTAGTTTTCGTATAATCCAATATAAATTTAATCAATCAGATCGTTTTTGAGTTATCCTTAATAAAGCCCATTTAATTGATTGATGTTCTCATTTTAATTATATTGAAGTCGGTTGCACAAAATTTTTAATTTTACCAGTTGTCATACTTTAACATGTTCACGTTACTTAGTCTACTTCGTACAAATAACATTAGAGATTTAATGAAAACCCCCTTTCGATTGCATTACGAAAATCGTATTTTTTAGTTTTCTTTAAAAGTGAGTGGGGGGAGGGGAAATTTTACGCTTAGACAAGTAAAGATGATTAATTAATTATCAAAGATCCGCTTGTAAAATAAAATTAATGTTTCTCATCTAGTTTCGAAGGGCACGTCCTTAATTGCGTGCTCTATAGCGTCATCAGTTATACTAAAAATTGGAAAGACACACCACTGTCGATAGTACGACATGTAGTTTTGTACATTCCAACCGTACATTTCTGCTGGCGTTAACATTTTACGCGAAACAATCGCTATAGTTCGACAATTATAAAAAATTTGTTAGTTTTCACGTAATCACCGTAACCGCGACGGACGCGAGTTCATTAACATAACATTAACATTTTTTAACATATTTTATTCTTATATTTTTTACATCTCTATTAAACTGATTTTACATAAAATTTTAATTATTATTAAACATACGTACATTACCCGAACATTTTTTGGTCCTTCGAGCCATCCATAGGTCGCTGGTTCAGGTCCGGCTCAGATGATGACGATGATTATTAATTTCAATCGCCGTACCGATAAGACTCGCAATAAAAGTGTAAAGCTTCGTGTGTACCTACTAAGTGTACCTACACTTTCCCATCCTTTGTATATTAACTTGCTCCCCCCCCCTCGTGCTGGCGACGCGATTGAAATAAGCAAGTCAATTTTTTTAATAATTTCTTTCAATCCTACTGCGGCGAAGTTTCAAGAAAGTTTTGAAGATGCTGGCTTGTACAATGGTAGCATAGTCATTGAAAACCATTTTAAAAGGAATTGGGAATTTGAAAAAAAATCATTAACGCAAAATTATTATTTATTTAGAGACATGAATACCAAGAATAGCATTTTTATGAAGACATTGATGAAACATAGAAAGCCAACCACACTGTGCTGCAGACTTAAACAAATAAAACGTGCCGTTAGAAAAGGTGGGCGCCTCATAATTTGCCATGTGTGAAAGTGATTAAAAAAATATTTTAATCTAGTGCAGTTTTTAATTTATATAACTTTATCTATGAAATTACTGGCCATTTCAAGTCAAAATAAGTTTGCTAGGCTATGAATTCTATTTTCAAATTAATTTTATTTTGAAAACATTGAATTTTGTTTATTTTATTAATTTGTTTATTGTTTTTATCACATTTGAATTTTTTACATCATGGATACGTTAAAAATTCGAGTAATTATGGAATACGAGTGCCGTCGTGACAGCAACGCGGCACAAGCAACACAAAATGTCAACGACGTTTACGGAGCGAATACTACAAACGAGTGATCCACCTATTATTGGTTTGCCCGCTTCCGTTCCGGAAATATCGACCTGAAAAATGAAACCTGTGGTCGTCAGAAAACTGATCGACTAAGATAAATTAAAGGCGATTGTGGAAGCTGATGATACTCAATCTACAGCTGAATTAGCAGCAGCTTTCGACGTTAGCATCAAAGTAATATTGGGCATTTACGTCAAATTGTCAAGGTATAAAAGCTTCTTGACAAATGGGTGCTTCACAAAGTCAATGTTCGCCAGAGCGAATAACGCATCGAGACGTGCCTTGCACTGCTCAACAGGCACACAAACGAAGTAATTCTGAACCGTTTTGTTACCTGCGACGAAAATGGATTCTGTTTGACAATCGCAAGTGTTCAGAAAGTAGATTAGATCCTAGTTCATACCTAAACAATGCCCTAAACGAAAACTTACTTCCAGAAAAGTGATAGCAGTGACTATCACTTTTCTCTCTCTAGTAGTCTAGCGCCGATGTGATTTATCAGTTTCTTACCAAACTAAAAAATTACGAGTATTTCATAAAAAACGGCAATTCCATAGTTAAAAACTTTCTGTTGATATTGATGAAGTTGATTTTTTTAAGAATCGAATGTCGTCTGTACTTACCTATTTTTAGTTGGTATGCCTAGTCCAATAAATGTGACAGCTGGTAAGAGGTATTTCTTAGATTTGGTGTATATAGTCCACAGTATAAATTATTGTTTTGTCACATTGAAGTAATATGTAGTACTTCTAGGTACTAGAAACACGCCGAGATTTTATTGTTTGCAACACGCGTCAGAGCCCGCGCACTCAAGTTTTTTTAGCCCGTGCTAACGTGCTTTACAAATGTAATCTGTGCCTCCTTCTTCCATGCGCTTAGCAACTGTTGTACAAATTTTGTCTGCGGTGTCTGTTCTAGTACTTACCGTATATTATTTCAATTTATTGTCATAAGTTTTTCATGTGTCCGACACGTTAAAATATGAGACACGTTATGTGTGAATGTCGACGATTGACAAAGAAGTAAAGCAAGTCGTGTTCGCGTGCAGGCGAGTGTGGAGGAGCCGCTAGTGATGTGGCTGTCGGGGCTACACGTGCCGGAGTCGTACCTGATCGCGCACGTGCAGACGGCGTGCCGCGCGAACGCCTGGCCGCTCGACCGCTCCACGCAGTACACGCGCGCCACGCCTTACCGCGCGCCCACAGACATCGAGCAGCGCCCCTCAGCGGTACTAACATAATAAAAAACACTCACGCCTGTCTCCAACAGGGTTAGACAGACTACAGACTTGTATTTGGCACGATCCGTACACACTCGCTCCTTTTTACATTCCTATACCTACATACATGCTAGACGGACTCTACAGCTTTAATACACTACACACTAAGCTGCGGTCAATTCTCTGTAACTCCTTTAGTCCATATCTAGCCCAGTCCTTTTTGTTGTAAATACGACGTTGTTTTCGACAAACTAACACTGATTTTGTTTAATGTGACAACATAAATGGTGCCATTATTTATGTGTACTTCGATTTAATTTTTACTTCAGATAAGTATATAACTTTATATATTTTTAAATAATCACTGACGTTTGTCACTCAGAGGGGTAGGCAGAAACTAAGGACTTCCATTTGGCACGATCTTGAAACACCTCCTACCTACGCATACATGTTTGTCATTTAAAGGTACTCTTAATCTGGCCTAACGTCAACATATCGCCTAATTTGGTCAATTAATTTCTTTTAGGGTTCCAGGACGTCCTTTCCGACTTTGCCGTTCACTTCTGCAATATATTTGCTTTATCACTCTTTCCTCGTCCATTCTTTCTACATAACCAAAGCACTCCTTTCTTAATCCTGGTCACAAAATCATCTTGCAAACCACACCTTTTTCTTACGGTTTAATTTTTAGCCGACATTTATTTATTCTACTCTCGTGATACTTCTACCATACAAAACTTTCACTACCATACATTAAAGTAGGAACTAACACAGCGTTGTAAATTGCCATACGTGCCTTTTTTGACACGTTCTGACTTCTCATAATAGAAGTACGATGCAATGGCGATACTCACACTAAACTTCTTTTATGGTAGTCACATACATAGCTATAATCACATATATAACAACTAATCTTAATATATATATAAATTACGTGTCACGTTGTTTGTCCGCGATGGACTCCTAAACTACTTAACCGATTTTAATCAAATTTGCACACCGTGTGCAGTTTGGCCCAACTTGAGAGATAGGGTAGTTTTTTTGCCCATGAGTGTTTTCTTTTGCGAATTTATGTATTTTTAGTAGGACATGACAGTGTCGTGGAAAAGGGCAGAACAACGTCTGCCTGGTAAGCTTTCCTGGTAAGAAATCTTTAATACTCCCTATTAGAATAAACTGACATTTTTTTTATATTGCTTTCCAAGAATGAGTACATTTTAATTTGTGTTCAATTAATAATAATTCACCGGTAAGTTAATGAAAAACAACTCATTTTATGCTTTTTTGCATTATTTTTCAATGACAGTACGCCATTTTTTAGCGACCCATTTTTTGGCGTATGTTTAGTGTTCACAAATTTTTTGACTCGGCCGCCTCCTCTCGCGCATCACGACTGCCGCACGTGGCACACAGATTTTGTTCGCGTCGTCCGTTCTACTACATAGTACATTATACTTCAATGATTTATGTGCACACTTTGTCAACATGATTTTAAGTTTATTTCAAATAAGTATGTAATTTTATTTCGTATTTGCCTTAAAACAATAACTGTCGTATATGAAAATACAACTGCGTGACATATTTACCAGCCAGTAGTGCCAGTAAACTACCAATGCCATCCACAATTGTGACAAAGTTTTTGTTCTGAATTGCCAGTCTACATGGAATGGACAGTAAACATTGAACAGTATGCGGCCATCTTAGTGACGTAGTCGAACTGTCAGTACCGTTCGCAATGAAGGTGGGCAAAGTGTATCATTTTTGCGATCGGAACATTTGCATCTCGATCACTGAAATGTTCCGAAACACTGATATGTTTCATTTGGATCATCGACTCAAAAGATATAAAATACAGAATGTTACGAACTTTGATTATATACCTGTATATAACCAAAGGTTACGAATACATTAAGTTGCGTCGCGGGCATTTATTACTGACTGATTCAGTGAAATGTTATGTGGCAACAATGCTAATTTATATAAGTGCTTAGGTTAATTTTATTATATATTATTTTTATTGTTATTTATTTTGTACCGTAATAAGGTTGTATATAAAATCGATCCTCCTGCATACTTTATACAGGCTTAGGACTGGCGGCTAGTCCTTAATTTATGGCCATCTGGCTATTATTTATGATGAAAAGGAAGAAAGTAAGTCACAATAATCATTAATCACTACGCAAAGAAATCCTAAACAGAACTCGGTATGTTTTCAAAAACAAGCGCGAACGAACATAAACAATTTGACAAGTGCCGGATCAACGTAAAATGACAACGTGTTAATGCAAACATTATATACAAAAAAACGACCGTATAGTATTTGATACGTAAGCGCCTTAGTGGTCATTTTTACGTGCATGAATTACTATAGCGAAAATCCGTACGAGTTGAGTGATACACTTCTCATTTGTTATCTCTTTCTGACTTGTGTAGATTGCCACTCTCTTGCTCGCATAAATGAGCACTGAGCAAAGTAATGTTCCAGATCCAAATGATGCATTTGAAACGTTGTTACTGAACCATTCTTTTGAATCACTTCAGTGATTCGGATCAGTGAGTCGGTTCTTTTAAGAATTACACACTCCTAGTTCGCAAGGTCAGCCAGCGCTTACGCGTATAGAGTACCTCTACCACGTATTTTTATAGCTTTTTATTATCGTTATCTTGTTTTATTTTTGTTGATAAATTTTGTTATTTTTATCATATTTATTCTGTTACAATCAGTAAGAAAGTAATTAATAGCTGTGCTCGTGAAATGATTAAGTAAAGTAAAATTATTTATCATCAATATGGCAGACGACATGAATCTAATACATCTGAATCTAATACAACGGATTCTAAAACTAGATCCGATTTAGATGATTATATGAGTGGAATTGAAGAATTAGTCGAGAATTATTAAATTGTATTAAAAAACATTTATTTTTTAATACTTGGTTTTATATATTAGTTGTCCATTTAAAGAGGTTGAGAGGTTTTACGAAAACGTATCAAACAGACAAGACTTTACAAGACACCTTTATCATATTAGTAGGTAATTTAATAGGAAATATTTGTAATTAAATAGCTATAAATATGTGTATATAATATAATATAAATACCTATAACCCTAGAGTCCCTCCCTTCTTTCTTTCACCAGAGGTGGCAACACCTTACACGAAAAGAAGATTAACTTTTTTGTTGTCTGTACTTTTTTTGCGGTGGATGGTACGGGGCTTATTTATACATAGAAGTATTTGCCTTTTACAAATATCAGTCTTACAGTTACTCGTATATAGGCAAGCCGGAATCATCTATAGCTTTTAAGAGGTTTGAATAAACCTCATACACAAACATGTATACGTGCATACGCAAAAATACGCATACGCATACAAAATATTATACATTTCGCAGCCTAATAATAAGACTACCGCAGAAGGCCGTTATCCTTTTAGTCAAACTATAATGACCGTAGTGGCGGTGTAAGAATATCCATGTGGTCCCGTGGGTGCCGAAAGAAGCGGCAGAAAGAAATAAACCAGGAGATGAGCAAAAGCATCTTCTTAAAAATAACTAGAAAATAAAAAGCTGCATCTGCGGACCCGTGTGCCAAGCATAGCAACTATGGCAAATGTCCTTTACAAGGCAATATATGGGGGAGGTTTATGTTCAGCAGTGGACTCTGAATAAGTTATAATAGTAAGTCGTTATCAGTTTTATTTTGTAACTTTAAAAGAATGTTTAGAGAGTGAAGTTATCGGTAAATCTAATCTTCTTTTCCTGCCTGTATACATAACAATTTGCAAACATTTGTTCTTATTGTGTATAAATATTTTATCAGGGGTGCTACATCCGCGGGCTATATTTGGAAGGCGCGCGATGGGATCACGAAGAGGGTTGCTTGAAGCGTTCACATCCCAAGGTGCTGGTCACAGAGCTCCCGATCATGCACATTATACCAATTGAAGCTCACAAGCTTAAACTGCAGGTAAAGGCAACAGTAGCAAATTTCGGTCCATACTTTAACAAACTGACTCGGAAAACTCGTATACGTAGCGTCACACCCACAACAAATGTGCACAAAAATTTTAACGTGGGATTCTAAAATGTCTTCAGGTAAATTGAACATAGCGAAAAATTTCACTGAAGTTACGTTTTCACTGTTGCGACATAAAGAAAGAGAAGTTCAAGGTCGAAGCTAATGATAATACTACATTCAAAACACATGCTAAACAGAAAGCCAGGGCTATAAGCATTTTTTGCATCGATCGCTTAGGTAGGGAATTCTTGTTTTACATTTAAATAGGTTACTTTCATTAAAATATAAAAAATAGATATAAAAAATAAAATAGATACCTATATGCATTTTTACAAGTTGCGTTAAGAGTATTAAAAAAATTTGAGTCACTTATCGGGATAAAAACTATCCTACCTCTCTATTTGAAGCATACAAATTTATACAAACAGTTGAACCATTTTGTTGATTAGAGTGAACGAAGATCGTAAGACGGGATTTTTATATATGTATTTATATATTATAATGTCCTCCAGACCAAATTTGGGTCACGGCGGCAAGCCTCTACAGAGACAGGATCAACCGCTTTACATGCTTTCCGAGGCACGGGGGGAGGGAGGGAGGGCACCGCCAACTTCCTGACAGCGGGGAGCTACTGGGAACTTTTTGACGGAAAACTAAAGAACTGATTTTTTGACTCTACCCGGGATTTGAATCTGGGACCTCATGTTCAGCAGTCGCGTTTTACGTAAATAAATAAATAAAATAGGCTTTATTTGTACTACAATACAAACTTGACTTATGATTGATTTAGGTAATAATAGTAAAGAATAGTTAATATGTATTTTTTACGTATAATTATGTATGTATATATATGACTTAGTTAATATTAGTAGTAGTCGCCTCTGCGGCGTAGGCCTATCCTAAACCTTTCCAGATATCTCTTTCTTGAGCCACTCGCATCCATAGGGGTCCATTTCTCTGATTAAAAATATATCTCCAACTTTTACTAGGTCTCCCTTATTTCTTTTGCTGTCTCTTGGTCGTTTTGTCGTTTTACAACCACTAGATTAATGAGACAGTTCGTTTTATATCATCATCATCATCGTCATTACAGACCTCCACAAGTCCACTGCTGAACATAGGCCTACCCCAAGTAATGCCACAAAGCCGTTTTATAAATTAAGATATAATTAAATACCCATAATGTGTATGTAACATGGTGTAAAGAATTTCTTGAAACGGTTGTCTCTTAAATTAATTCGAAGGGCCCATGGCAATAGGAATACTAGTTATTGTATTTGATGTTTTATAAGCTAACGTTCGTTTTATGTTTTAATACAATTGCAGAACACGCTCCGGACGCCCGTATACACAACGTCGCAGCGACGCAACGCGATGGGTGTAGGCTTGGTGTTCGAGGCAGACCTCTGGACTACGGAGCATTGCAGCCACTGGATTCTGCAGGGCGTGTGTCTCATAATGAATACTGACTGATATGTTTTAAACACTTAGATTATATACTTTCTATTGAGTTAATTACGGAATTGATGCTGTTGGTTAAGATATTCTAAATTTATTATTTGGTTTTTCTTTCACATAGCACTCATAAATCCTACTGCCTGGCCTCCACCTATTTCTGAGAGAGTTATATTAAGGCAGTTAGTCTGACGCGCTGCTTAAGTGTGTAACGAATATCATATTATATCTTCAAAACGTTTTTTAATTTCTCAGGCATATATATGATATTCCTCGCAATATTTCCTTTACCGCTGAGCACATGATAAATCAGCACATAAAATTTGAATACACTATACAGACTGTAAAATATCAATGAGATTGAAGTCTGGTTGCTTGCGGGCTAAGCAATTTACCACAAACACTTGGCCCTAGGATACTATGTATAGTACATATTACATATTTTACTGTTCATTTAGTCCAAGACTTTCCGACTATATGAAATCTATTTGTGCATGTTAATGGATACATGCAGCCAACTTCTAACAAATGCACTGTTTCCTCTGAAGAATAAAATGGAATTCCTCAAAGCCCGTAATAATATTATACTGCCTTCCTATATTAATTTAATTATTATTATAAAGCAAATGTTTTTAGTTAAATGTTTAATTAAGAAAATAATTAAGTTATGTAGGTACCTATAATATGTATTATTAAATTGATGATAATAAAGACTGATTTTTCAAGTAAGCAACACATTGTTTTAATTAAAATCATTTTTTTCCAGAAGTTTCATTTTAATTTATGAATTTACAGATCCGGCGTTTACTTGTGGCAAACACAGATTGTAAAAGGACGTACTTAAAAAGTCACTTAACGGCTGCCATTTCACCCATCCTTTGTTTTTTAAAAAATCTTTAGATTGCTCCTTTCCAACGTAGTGAGGATCCTGAAAAATTACAAGTAATTATATAGTAATATAATTAATAGTACCGTGTAGTGGCGGCACAAGACTCCACTACCCCGTATGAAATTGAAACAGGAGATGGGCAGCAGCCAAACTGCCTGCCAAGTACGGCAACTATAACAGCTATAATGATTTCTCATATTTAAGCGAATACTAATACATGGAATAAAACTAATGTTACGGATTTTATCGCGTTTAATTTTAACTTTTTAATTCCCGACGTAAATAGATCCTTTTGTGTTCAACCATTGATATCTCAACAACCAGTGAATGTACAGAAAATTAAAGGGCAGTTTTGAATACGATTTTTTTTTATTTCTTTCGCAATTTCAATTTAAAAAGTAAAAAAATTGACTTTTTCTATAGTTTTGGTACGCTGCATCTCAATACTGATAGGAAAGCTAAGGTTTTCAAGTTTTTTTTTGAACATTTACAAACATTTACAAATAATTACAAAAAGTTGTTAATTAAGAATTTGCAACATTGTTCTTAAAAAAATTGTTTTATTCAAGAACAATGAAATAAAAAAATACTTTTTTTTTAATTTTTAAACTTTTCTGATAATGTTAAATTTAAGGAGCAAATCTTGCTCTTTAATTTTTTTCGAGACTATATTGGTCTGGAAAAACCGCTCGATGGATTGATCTGCAAATTTACAGGACTATTGAGAGTACATTGAGATAAACAATTCCTGAAAACCTTATAAGCATCGATCACGTCCAACTAGCTGCAGACTCCGTGCTACAACAGGTCCCATCCGCAGAGATCGTGATGCGCGGCCATTTTAATGCTACCACACTGAATGGCTTGGTTCACGTTTAACCGATCATATGCGGGTAGACTCACATTCCCATCGCGGTTGCGTTCTGCAGGTTGCCGCAGTATTTGCCACTATAGGATGCCTGATTTTTTCTTTATTCAAAATATTAAAAAAAAGCAACTGATACACAAAGTGAATTTTTTTTTGTGATTGGGATAGGATGCTGTCTTTTTCTGCATCCTACCCGGGTGGGTTTCGCCAGATGACCCCAAAATTGTTGCTGATTCTGTCGCTGATGTGGTGCTATAGGGAATGAAACTTTTTATTTCATCATCTCTGATGCCTGTCGTAGGCAGAACTCAGACATGGTTTGGTCACTTCTGCAAAATTGCATCACGCCATAAGCAGAAGTGCTACGCGGTCTGGGCCGACGCATCAACGTCTCTGGATACAAACGCCAGCGTTCTTAAAAAAAATATAATTCTGCCTCCAGGTCCTTCAAAAAGTCATTGCCAAGGCAAAGTCAGAGCACATCGGCAGTGACGAGAAACTACACGTGCATTCTGGTCTCGCCAAGGCCGTCCAAGTGAACTTCTGTCAGCCATCTCTACCCTCTCTGCAACAGGGAGGTCGTTTCACTGTCCCATGCCGCAAAAGAGAAAGCCGATCTGCTAGGCTCTCTCTTTGCGTCCAACTCGACTCTCGATGACGGGGGGAACACATCGCCGACCATCCCGCGGTGTGAATAATGGTGAATATAGCGCATATCGCCATATTATAGCGCGCTATCTCCATAGTGCATAGCGCGTGCTATGTGAGTAGTCGCCATGGCACTATGGCGCTATTAATATCTAGCGGCAACTAGTTCTGGCAACAGCACACTGTTAGGAGTGGACGTGTGCCGCAAATTTAATCTAGTAGCACGTTTATTTATAAGTGGTCGAAGAACACGGTTGTCTGCTCCAAAAGATGTTTTTAAATGTGAATAAAATATGGATACAAAAGTATAAATAACAGTTCATGTAAACAGGTGATTTTTGTATACATACAATCAATAAACTTTTAAATACGCCTTTGATTTATAATTTACATTAACGTTTACATCGACTATAGACAGTCCTAAGCCCAAATATTTTAAAGAGTGTTCATTCGTATTTCTTTACTGCTTAATTTTATTTTAGTCTAAAATGCGACTTATTACGAAATAATGTTCTTATATAACACATGGACGATCCAACGAACGACACGTAATGTAAAGTGCTATGAGATATATAGCTTTCTTATAAATAGCGCGCTACAACGCAGCGTACTTATTTAATAGCCCGCTAGAAATTTAATAGTTTGTAGTCTGAAGCGTGCTATTGATTTATAGTCGTTTTGAACAACTTTAGGTGTGAGTGCTCCACGCAAGATGTGCTGTTAACGCAGCGCTCGGTGCGCAAAGCACTCCTATCCCTGGACGTCAACAAGTTGCTATGTGAACGACAACAGCATTGGTGATGGATGCTATATACACCTGCCGTGCCAATATTTCTCGGAAAAACGTCGCCGAGTACTAGAACATACTTGTATCTGAAGTCGAGATATTATAACAAAACCTCGGACTGGATGCAACTATACCTAGTTCAGTATGAACCCCTGAAGACAAATTTGTCGTATCTCCTCGGTTTCAGGGTACTCTCCTTGGTGCCTCAGTCAGTATCGGAATCCTCGTCGTCGACATATCAAATGACGTGCAGTTTCGTAGTCACTTGGAAGAGAAGGCCAAATTGGCCTCTTATAAGCTTGGCGTGCTTAGCAGAGCGTGACAGTATTTCATGCCGGCACACCGCCTGCAACTTTACAAGGCGCAGGTTTGGCCTCATAGGGAATACAGGAATACTGTTCTCATCTCTGGGCTAGGGCTCCCAGTGCGAGCTCCTTCCATTTGATCGCATCAAGCGCAGAGCGTATCGAATCGTCAGCGACCGAGTTCTTGCTGATCCGCTTAACACACTGGCACTGCGGAGAGATGTTGCATTATTTTTGCGTATTTTATCACATCTACCACGGGGAGCGCTCTGAGGAATTTGTTCGGACTAATTCCAGCCGCTCAATTTCACCACCGCACGTCGCGAGAAAACTCGCGATTATCCATATCATTGGATGATTTGCGGCCCACCTGCGCGATTTAGAAGTTTTCTTCCTGGCACAACTTCTTTATGGAATCGACTACCATCAGTGATTTTTCCGGACTGATACGACTTAGGGACCTTCAAGGCACGATGAAAATTGCGACGACGATGGCGGGGCGCGTTTTTTTTATAGATTCCGCCATCTCTCCTTTCTACTCGGCGTAGCGAGCCTCTCATTGGATGACCAAAGATGCGTCCACCAGTAACTAGCTCCACCCTACTGGGCAGACTCGTGCGGGGAAGGAACGGAAGAGAGGGAGGGGGATTATGTCAGCCAACTCAACTAACAAATACGAAATGCAAGTATGTGCGTTGGCGCAACCACAATCACTACAGGTTAAAGATATCATGTTTTGTGAAATAACGTCATACATAAAAGATACGAGTGTACTTACTCTCATATTTGACAAAGTATAAAGAGATCAAAGATAATCACTTGTCATTAAAATCTCTACGCATAAATTACACGCAACATCTCCTAATATGTCTATGGGCCAGAGCATTCTCCTACCATCGGGTGGATTGTGTGCTCGTTTCTCGCCAAGTTCTTATAAAAAAACATTTCTAAGTTAAATACCATCATTAATTATCTCTCCTTATCTCTTATCGGATCATACATACACGTAATGTATAACGTGCTTCAACCATGTAGTGTCGGCGGTAAAATTTCTACTACCCCATATCGTACTGTGGGTGATGTAAGAAGTGATAGAGGAAAACTAAAACATGAAAAGCAGCATCTTCCTGACAACATTTAACTAAAAATTTAATAATAGTTAATAAAGTTGCACCCCTTTGCATTTTCTATCGCATCTACCACGGGGAGTGCTCTGAGGAATTGTTCAGATTAATCCCAGCCGCCAAATTTCATGAACGCATATTGCGCAAAATTTAAGATATCCTCCTCACCATCTGGAGGCTTGGCGATTCGCCACTGTGCATTTTACTAGGAGTTTTCTTCATCAGGTGAGTCGGATGCTCGTTAGCCTATAAAAGATATGCAATAAAAATCCTATAAAAAATGGACTTAGCAAGAAAATAAAAACTGAAATTGAAGATGAATAAAGAGATTTGAATACTATTTATATGATTCGAAAAAAAAATTTCCGAGCCCGTGGCGCAAGAAAAGAAGTGTAAAAATTTAGAATTTTTTTTCGCGCTGTTTTGTTGGATTGGGTTGAAACCGTGGTTCCAAAAAAATTTTTGTTAAACAATCAGAAAACTATGATCTCAGAGCTACAAAATGTTTTTTAGTGTCTAGAACTATTTTTCACTGAGAGCTCGTGAAATTTTTTTTGCCCCCTCTCAATTTTTGTGAGATGTGTATATTCTGTATGGTATGCATGGAAACATCAAAAAAATTACCACTATTAATAGGCTTGTATTCCTGCCTAAAACCCGTATTCCCATTATGCCTTTTGAAGAGCAGTCAATATCTCCACCCATCATGACAGGACTTCCAAAATTTTCAAAGTGTAATTTCAAAGTTTCTGTTATTTTCTCTAATTCATCACCCTTGTTAACATGAATGATTTTACATGGAATATCATACAACTTGTCTATCACAAGGCATACCTGTAACAAAATATAAAACCTGCACGAACTTTGTATGTAAGATTCTTCAAACTTAAGTTTAACTAAATGTTTGGGTTTATTTGTTCATTGCGAGTATTGAAGTATTAATGATAAGTAGCTATCTTATTATTAACAGTAATAATCATCATCTTAGACCTATACAATTTCAAGGAATGCCACTACACATGGTCCTCAACCACCTGCATCCAATAACTTGAGGACATGTCTCACCAATTCTTCATTCCATCTAGTGGAGTGACTCTCTATACTCTGTTTACTTATCCAAGGTTTTTCAGGCAACATGATCAGCAAATTGCTATTTACTGATTATTTGATATCCTTTAATATCTGTACTACAGATTCTATTAAGCATGTCACATCATAGCTCACTGGGTAACCTTAAGCTTCTAAACACTGTCAGCAGTGACAACTGTGTGATACTTATAATCCCTTTATCCCTCAAAACTTTTGTGTGATAGTAGTAAATAGATTTCATGACCCCATGTCAACCCTGGTGATTTTATAAGAGTTGACTATTAGAAAAGCCAGAAAAAAATTATAATCTGTGACAGATGGTGTCATGAATTGTTTATATTTAAAAAAAGAAAGGGACATGGTCTATAAATTTATAAAGATTACATAGATCAGTTGCGAAGTATATCGGATTTCGAGTAGAGATTTGCCATAAAGGCTAAACTTGACATGTAAATAAGGGGTCAGAATATCAAATACCTAACACCTTTAACACCTACTTCCAGTCTTCTGTCTGAAATTTGTATACTGTTATTAATTCAAAGTGATTATAGGCCACAAGATCTGGACTTTGGTTTCTTATGACACCGACAAAAGTAAATTTGGTGGTGATTTCTTTTATTTGTATTTAACTGAGTATTAATTTAATAAGTATGAAGTGTTTTTTTTTTATATAAAATAAGGGTGACAAACAAACACACAGTCCACCTGATGGTAAGTGGATGCAGATAAGTTGTCACCCCTGAGGGCTGAGATGGAATGCCTTGTTTTCAGTAAAAAGGGTCTCCGGGTCTTTACACTCACCATACGAAACACAGTAGCATTGGGCTGCTATTTCACGCTGGTATTCTGTCAGAGTGTGGTTCTAACCCGGTCGAGCCGACCCATTCGTGCTACAACCACAATATAGCTGCAGCGTGGCTCTACCACGTAAAACAAATTATCTTTTAGCACCTTTTATCCATTTGATAATAATCAACTTCACTCAACGTAGTAAATAAGAGCTACTATCAGAGCGACTCACTATGCACTAACAGTAAACTCACGACTGACTACCACTCAGATTTCGCAGTCCCATTTATAGTGTTTCATGCTGTCGCAATTACCCACAAACTTTACTATTTTTACCTATCTTAATGGTTTTATGATTTATCAGATCTGAAGTATATATTATACACCCAATAATCATGTATGTATAATAATTTATTATATAGGAGTTGATACAGAATGCATTGGTAACAATTATGATAATTATTAAGATAATTAATTAAATCAATATTAAAAATATTATATCGATCAGAACAGAAAAAGGATCTTCTCAGCTAGATATTTTCTCAAACTCCTTAACACAATTTAAAAATTTTGCAGCTCAATTAATAACAGAATAATTTGATTCTTATGTATGATAGGTAATTTTATTTTAAATATGTGTGAGCGTTATTTTTATTTTTCTCTCAATTTTTAATTTTGACTTATAATATAAATTTTTATTTTAATGACATTTCGGCTTGTTTGCAATTTAATTGATGTTCTTATCTCTTAGTTTTTAAATGATATATTGCTCTTGATATAGTTAAGTGTAATGCATTGATAAAATTTTATTATTGTTAATAGAACTAATAAGTTAATCAATTGTATAATAACTTCCTAATAATAATTCATACATGTTAATATAAATAATTTAAATTTCTTCACAACATAAGTTAATGTAACTTCCTTATAATAATTCATATGTGTTTATATAAATAATTTAAATTTCTTCACAACATAAGTTAATGTAGGAGACTTTCAAAGAATGCTGTTTGCGCCTATAATTGAAGTAGCACTTTATAAGTTTTTTTTTATGTTTCTCTAATATTTTTTTATGTAATAGTGTGTACTTTGTTGGTGCAATAAATAATAAATAAAAATAAATAAATCTGCAATAAAATATTAATGTTCTAAAATACAAAACTCACTGATTAGTACTTATCATTAATATATTATATAATAATTAATAAGCTCAAGTGACAATGGGTCAACCATATAGCTAACAATCCATTTAAGGAAATTATATATTAACTTGGCCTCAATACATTTACAAAAATGTGATGTATATAAACAAAAATGTAAGTAATTTTCATGAAATAACTGTTATTCACTCTGTAAATATAATACTAGGAACATACACAAGTTAAGTAGTACCAGTTACTCAACTCCACAGTCTGTAATTCATTCTTCGGGTGATGTATATCTTTTACAACAAAATACCAAAAAATACAATATAACTTCAGCCAAGTTTAAAAACTTTATTAAACAAGTAAAAATGGTTATAATATTAAGGAATATATGGATGATAATAAACCCTGTTAATGGAGTGATCGCTACCATGCTATTTCTAATTTATTTTGTGTTGTTAATTAATGTTTATTTTCAAAATAAAATGTTCAGCTGGTTTCTTGTTGGTTCTCCCCAGGACAAAGGTATTCTCCCATAAGGGTGACTTTCAAAAAGTATTAAGCAAAATGTTAAAGATCATCCTCACACTGGATAGTGACAATGTGGTAAGAGATGCAGAAAATCGGTAGATGCAGGTGGCTTAGTACGGCAAGCTGTTTGAAGCATTTTTGGAGGAGGCCTATGTACTTACAGCAATGGACTCGTGGCTGTGATGAATGAATTAATTAATATACTTATCATAATCTAAATATTAACTGAAGATAAACGATTTCCATTTTTAAATTTACCTCAAAACTGCCAATCCACTGTCTTGATCCAAAAAAATTCTTAGGTTTATCATCTAGTTGAACTAAGATTTCTTGGATCTCTCTTACAGACGGCACCTTCTTTATATCCTTATAGTTATGGTTGATCCATGAGCATATTGTTTGGAGTGTTCTGTACCCACATCCCCAACCCTGAAATAAAAGATAATAGAAGTTAATGCTGTATCAAACCTCTACAGAATTCCTAATGATATCAAAAACATATGAGATATTAATTACTCTGTCGTCGAAATCATCACACAAATAATGGTAATAGTGGTATTTTCCACGTACTACGTAGCAATTTTCATCAAATTCTTTACATAAAACATCATGAACATTTGTCAACAAGTCTGTTGAAGTTGCTGATGTTGTCATTTTTACCATACCTGTGTGACCAGACAAAAAATTATAAAAATTATAAATAGTACAGGATGCAGGCATCAGGCGCTCAAATAAAATTACAAAAAAATATATTCCAAGTGATTCCAAAAATATGAAGGTTAAAAAAATGTTTTTATTGACCTTACTGTACCTACTTTCATGTATAACACTGCGACAAATTAATGAAATTTGTTGCGTTTTTAGTGTTCTATTATACCTCACAGACTATTCTATTAGAACTGCTGTAAAGAGTAAGAGTATCTAGTACTTTTTTGCAAAAACTTTCCGCTAATTTCAAATGCAAAGCGCTCCAAATTTCACCAAATTATGATATTGAATATGAAATATCGGAATAATTTAAAATAACCAACTATTTCAAAATTTTTCGTTAACGATATATCATGAACGAATCAACCGATTTTGACCTGACCGGCGAAAAGCTAATTAGTTTTTAAAATCGATGGGTAAAACCGTTTAAAAGTAATTCCACAAAAACAGTTTTTTCAAAATTTTCATTTTTGAGATTTCTCAAAATCTATCGTTACGAATTAATTTAAATTCATAGGAAATCTAAGAATGATGAAACATTTTGGAAATCCGCTTAGTTCATTTCAACAACCACCTACCCCACCCCCAATTTCAGACACACCCCATGGAACCAAACCCCCAAAACAATTTCATAAAAAAATAATTTTGACAAAAGTTTGAGAGCCATTCGTGAAAAAAAGTATGAAGACCTAAGTGGCCCACTTATATTTTTAATGATTGATTTATAAGATTTTATATATTATTCATCACCTTGGCAAATAATTAAACAAATAATAGAATCCATTATAAACTGCCAGCTCAGGCCTTGGAAAATTGTGCAATTGGATCACCAGCTTTCTTGCAGATCAGCGCATCAAGGTCGTAGTAGACGGTGCATGCTCAGATTACAAGCTTATTAAAGCTGGCGTTCCACAAGGCTGCGTGCTATCACCAACGCTGTTTCTTCTGCATATCAATGATATTATGCAAACCAGTAACATTCATTGCAATGCGGATGACAGCACTGGTGATGCTCTATACATCGGCTGTGCCGATATTTCTCGGAAAAACTTCGCCGAGTACCAGAACAAACCTTTGTCTGAAGTCGAGTATTTGTTGGCCAATTGCTCGGATTGGGGGCGATTAAATCTAGTCCAGTTAATCCTCAAAAGACACAAGTTTGTGCCTTTACCGCTAAAAAGTACGCCTTTGTCGTATCTACTCAGTATTAAGGCACTCCCCTTGTTGCCTCAGCTATTATCGGAATCCTCGGCGTCGACATATCGAGTGACGTGCAGTTTCATGGTCACTTGGAAGAGAAGGCCAAATTGGCAATTTAAATTTAAACAATCTAAAAAGCTTGGCGTGCTCAGCAGACCGGGACAGCATCTCATGCCGGCACACCATCTGCAACTTTACAAGGCGCAGGTTCAGTTTCACATGGAATACTGTTCCCACCTCTGGGCCGGTTCTCCCCAGTGCGAGCTCCTTGCACTTGACCGCATCCAGCGCAGAGCTGCTTGAATCGTGGACGACCGAGTGCTTTCCAATCGGCTCAATTCACTGGCAATTCGAAGAAATGTTGCATCCCTTTGCATTTTCTTTCGCATCTACCACGGAGAGTGCTCTGAGGAATTGTTCGGATTAATCCCAGCTTCTAAATTTAATGAACGCACATCGCGGAAAAACTTTCGATACCATCCACACCATCTGGACGCATGGCGTGGGAGTTTTCTTCCGGGTACGATCTCACTGTGGATAGTTTACCAACGGCGATTTTTTCGTACCGATACGACTGAGGAACCTTCATGAAAAGAGCTTACTCCTTTCTAAAAGGTTGGCAACGCACCTGCAATTCCCCTGGTGTTGTTGTTGTTCATGGGCGGAGGTAGTTAGGGGTCTGTATGCTTGTTCCCCCCCCCAAACTGCTAACATTGGTACCACAGCTTAAAGACCTTATAATTGGGAAACGAATGTACTTGTGCAGAGAACGGAGGGACTTGCGGGGCAGGGAGTGGGCCGACCTTATACTAGCGCACTTCACTGAGTATGCTATTGGCACGAGCGTGTTTTATATATGAGTTACTAAGTTCAATTAAACAAATGACGGCCATGCTTATGTTTCCCTCATTTTTTTTTTTGATAAAATTGTTTAAGCCAATGATAACAAACTACATAATTAAATTAAACAATCGAACACTGAAAACATCTATAAAGACATAAGTGTCACGAAAGTATTTGGCAGTGCAACACTTGTAAACGTATTTTTTCTTGACGCACTATAAGATTATATGTAAAATCTTATTTATCAAGTGATACTATACAGCTTTATTGTTTTGACTAGATACAATGTATATTTTTTTATTATCCACCTTATTATCTATTTTTAACACAAATAAAACATCATAGTTATAGAAAAAATATAAATTTATGAACTTTTGAAAATATTGAAATTAATGTATGCTCGGCCAAAAAAACTTTAACAGACCGTGTTGTGTGACAGGGAACTCCACCTTGCGTAAAACTGAATGGTTCCCCATTCGGAAACCATTCTCTGAGCTGTGGAATCAACCAATTTTGTAAGACTTCTTTGTACTGATCTTGCCTCAGTATATCTTTTACCTCGTACCTACAGACGTCCAGTACCCTTGCCGCTGATGACTGACCTAATCATCACTTTTGTAGGGTGCTTTACAGTCTGAACGACACAGTCTGGATGAAACTTTTCTCCATGACGACGACACACAAACAGAGCTATATTTTGCAAAATTTCAAATGTGCTTTCATCGCTGAAGCAAACCTGTAAGAATAACAACAATTAATAAACATTCTAAACATCTGTGCTGGTTTTTCTTTATTTTATAGAAAATGATATTAAATGTATTATTTCTGATGAAATTATACCAAATTACCGTTCCCAGAAGTCCTTGTCTTTATCACGCAACTGTTTGGCCCATTTCAGATGCTTTGCTTTCAATGCATTTGTTAACTTGGGCTTCCTGGCGGGGCGGCAGGTCCTAAAATCCGAATCTTTTCATTCCCTTTGAAAAGTGCGATCAGAAACATTCACATTAGCATCTTGGAGTCGCGATTTTATCAGTTTTATGCTTGTAAATCTGTTTTCGGGGCCAATTTTCTTTAAACATCTTTCTGTCCTTGGAGTAAATATAGGCTTCCTGCCGCAACTTTTCTTTAGTTTCGGGCTCAATACGTCCCCTGACGCAATTTTCTTCTTTAAACGTCATACGCTAGCTTCAAAAACCTTCAATCTTCGTGATATTTCGCAGTTAGAAAATATTTTAGCATTTACGGGGGCCTTTACTTCAGCTATTATACGTGGTGAAAGATCGCTTTTTTTACCCATGATTTAAATGTTCCAATTGATTATTTAAGCACTGGACACAAAACAAACATAACTGCGTAATATAAAATTGCGATATAAATAAACACAGCGCATATCGCTACAGAAACACGTCCACAACCGAAGCACGCGAGAACGCCATTGAAACAGATTTATGCACACGTTTACGTTCGTGTGTCAATGTTATGCAATACATTAAAAATAAATACATTGTATGTTTAAATATAAAAGTACTGCATCTTAACTCGTGCACAACATGTAATTATTAAAAATTTCTAGTGGGTCTAATAATTTGGCCAGGGACTGTAGTAATAAAAATGATGTTCATAATTTTAATAAATGAAAATAAGTATTATAATAGCCGAAATTATTTTATTTCCATTTTCGTGACAACCCCTACTAGCATAAGCGCTGGCCGCGTCAATACCTGCGCTGGCGGCAGCATAGCCTAACGGCGCCTCTACACGTTGGCCAACACAGTGGCGAATGTAGTGGCCAATAGCATTGGCTAACGTGTAGACGGGGTGTTTGGGCTTCATTGGTATGTATTGGAACGATGGCCCGCAAGTTGGCGCGAGATCCGTGTGGTGTCGGTTTTTTTACAAAAGATCAAAGGATTGTTGGCAGAGTTTGGTCGCCGCGTCCACACGTTGGCCGCGCGTTTAGTTTGCTACAAGCTCCCAGATTGATTACACGCATCTGATTAAAATTTTATATTCACGCTTTGTAGGGTGGATGACCTAATTACCAGCCTTTTAGTGCCAATTTCCACTTTAAACAATCCTACTACTTTAATTAGCGCGATTTAATTATTTTTAAACATTTGTTTTAATCGATAAGCTATTTATAAAAAAAATTAACAGTTATTTGCAATCAGATTATTACGAGAACAATTTTAAAACGAAAAAAAAATGAAGCACGTCGTTTATACGTGGTAGAATCATGCAGTTATATTAGAACTATAGTTGTAGCACGAATGGGTCGGTTCGACCGGGGAAGGACCACGCTCTCACAGAATATCAGTGTAAAATAGTAGCTTAATGATGCTGTGTTTCGTATAGTGAGTGTAGAGAACCAGAGACACTTTTTAAAGGTAACTAGGCATTTCATCTTAGTCCTCACGGGTGATAACGCATCTGCATCTTGATTCGTAATCGAGGATAGATGTAGATGTCTGTGGGCCACAGCAACCACTTACCATCAGGTGAACTGTGTGCTCGTTTGTCACCCTATCCTATATAAAAAAGCTTCGATTTCTTATAATTTAATCGTGCAAGTTTTCGAATCATCATCATCATTACAGCTCTTCACAAGTACACTACTGAACATCCTCCTCCAATGAATGCCGCAAAGCGTGGTCCTGAGCCACTTTCCTTGTCATGAGTTTTTCATTTATGTTCTAAGTTATAATTAGTACATATTATTAAGTCAGAGTTAATTAAATTTATTGCTATTGTTTTTGTCTTTCTCAAAAAATAATTAAATTACCAAATAAATTATAAGGTGTTTTTATATACATCAAATGTCTGATACAAATGCAAGTACATATTTTGTTAAACTTTAAAATCAAAACCCAATTTTAAAACATAGACTAATCGATTATAAC